ACCAGTAATTCCCGATGTCAACCCTATTATCTAAAACAAGTTATTAATTACAGGATTATTTCCTCTTTGATCTTTTATGATAATTAAGGTCATGACCCCTCTGCCAGTTCATGCAAACATGCAATATATGCTTGGAAATACATAATATGTATCATGACTAAAGGCAATACACCTGAATAGGTATAACCACACAAATAGGTTATGCATGTGTTTTTGCATGAATTGAAACAGACACCTGATGTGTACATCTATACTATTCAGCCTGTACGCTCTAAAGTAAGGTCAACTATATCTTCTGTCCATATACAACTGCTCAAATAACATGTCAAGGGTATATATGCCAAATTACTTCAATTTCATTATTTTCCAGGGAAATACCTGAAATTCTTATATATATATTTATATATATAAAATCTGTTAAAATAATGTATTACTGTACAAGTTATTCATCTTTCAAATGTAAAACCAAATTAATTTCTGTACAATATTATTTACACATTAAATAACAGGTGACCTGCCATACCGGTGTTGGTCACGTCAATGAGAAGCAGAAGAGAAACTACAGAGAAATACAAAGAAGTATATACAGGTAGCTATTACAGTTGATTCTTTTTTGTCAATGACCTAGCGAAGACATAGGGATGTTTTTCATATCAATCACTGGCATCATATTGATAGCATTATACTCTCTTATTTTGAAGTCGATAGCAAGTCAAAATACATCACTCATCTACAACACGAAACCAATGAAAACTCTCTTATTGTAGCTTTTATGGAAACAAAACTCTTACAAGACATGTGAAGCACACCATCACAAAAGTATTTTGTAAAGTTTGATTTACAAGGTTCACTTTCATTTTTGCAGACACGTTTTTTCAGAGGCTGATGATAATGAATGACAATATTTGAACATTAAGATTAGGATGCACATGCATTTGCACTCAGATCCACAACATCTGAACAAATGTTAAAAACTTCCAACCTTCACAACAGCTATAAGTTGCACACATCTAAATCTACTTGGTTTCTTCGCATGTACATATTTTCCCTAAAAATCCATATAAAAAGAATATTTGGGTTATACCCATTACAATCACCTGAACATCTGTGCAATTTGTTGTTATGATGAAGTAAAAAGCACACAGGTGTTTCACACACTGGTAACAGGACAACATAGAACACAGCAGTGTTTTATATTCAGTACCATTAGCTTAATATTGTAGAAAAGTAATTAAAAAGCAATTTTTAAACACAATATTAAGCCTAACAATACGCTGAACATCGAGCACCACATTGCTGCAACCATTGCGTGTAACTTTTGCCAACGATGTGAAATGATATGCCTATTACAGGTGTCACAAGTGGAAATTGGGCGACTAGTAAATGGCAAATGCTTAAAAACCTGATGTGAAATCAAGGCTATTGCTATCATAATATAAAATACTATTAATGGTTTGGCCTGTGTAGCATGCAACATTTTCCTTTCTCATGATTAGGTATATTCACTCCTAATCACTAATCCATCGATATAAAAGTACAAAAACACTCAATAATCACTTGCATTGTATAAAAAAAATTAAAAATTTATCATGCATCTTTCAATACTTTTATAATCAAATAAAAATGATGAGCATTTTGGCAGTAACTGCATGAAAAATACCCTACTACTATGGTTAAATTCAATACAAGGTGAATGGTTTACAACCAAGTTTGTGATTTAGGGAATATCTGGACTTAAAAAAGAATAGCTAAATAAGTATACTGCTTCATAAAGCAAAGATGATTTTGAAATTGACAGTACATGTACAATGTCAGGTAATGATAAACTACTACTAGTGTTGTAAGACATACTAGAACCATTTTTAGAGTGTGAACCTTGCAAAAGGTATGAACTGATCATGTATCAAACACAATTTAGTATAACATACAATTAATTGCTACAGAATTCACACTGGCCATATTATAAAATAAAATGTTATTGGTAAAAAAAATGTTGAAGTCGCAGTTGATGCAGGGAATGATATAAAGCATTAAGGTACACACAAGTTCAAAAGCTTGCATTACAATTGTAAACACCCTAAACTTGACTATACCATGTTTCTTGCATAACCATAATAAGCACCCTAATTTTACCATCTGTACAGAAAACCAGATACATCAAGACAATTCCCATACAGCAATCAGTAAGAAAGGATTCCTATTATGCTAATCTTGGGACACATATGTTAAGAAACTTCTGTTGCAGCAAACATGAAAATAATAAATTAAATTGCAAGCTTCAATCTTAAGCTACCAGTTCTGGACAAGCATTCAGACTTAAGTTTTCAAGTCAGGATTAATGCACAGTATTCCGTGCTAAGGAACATATGGAGGGCTTTAAGTTGTGTCTAGGGGCTAGGAATGTGCAGTGGGAGTGGGGAAGACATTGTCAGTGCTAGTAGGGAGCAGTATTGTGATGGTCACAGACCATCAGAGACATTCAGCTCCAACTATTGTGATAAAAGCCCAGTAATAGGGCAAAACTAGGTCAGGACTATAATACACAGGTTGTTCTGGTATCCCACCCTCACCATAACCACCACATTTAAATCTATTATAACCATGGTGCGTTTTTGATCTGTCCTTTTTTGTTATATTACAAAATTCTATGTAAATATCATTGAACACAGCTTTAATCCAATTTCTCAACCCAGCTACTTTGGAATTCCAGGTAGGTTTATTTCTTCAAAACCTTCATTGATATTAACCAAGCTTCAAATTATTCAGGATAATTCAGAAATTAGGATAAGTAAAGTCATGTCTGAAATGATACAAGCATTAATTTCAACTAGCTTCACAGAAAGTAACTGCCTCATCTTATGGAGCTTAGTGAAATATGATAAGGTTCAGAAAATCTGCAGATCTGATCCCTATCAAAACCTGGCCCAAAAACTAGGTCACACCAGAGCCAAGAACCAGTAAATCTTTAACATGTATAGGTTTCCTCACTCCCCGTTCTCCACCATGTAAGGATCACAGGGTAGAGAGCAAGTCTTGTTATCAGACATAAACCTTCCCTTTGTCTACAGCAGCAGGTTCACATTTCAAGTTTTTTTTTCAAAGTATCATCCAGCTTTCATTTAAGAGAGAACAAAGTTCATCAAATTTGTACAAATTCATGTTACGGCACTGAACAAAACCCCTTCTGTAAGAATTTCTAGTGAAGAATACTCTGCAACAGGTGCAAGTCTATCCCTAATCTATTTGGCAACCTCTCCTCCAAATGACAGAAAAATGGCATGATATGGCTTCTGTAAGATAAAGAGCAATGATCCAATCTGTTATGGAATATTAACACTGAAATGTATGAACTTCAAGTCTTTGGTTGACGCATGCAGAGTATATTGCACATGTCTGAGGTAGCAATCTATATCAATCAAGCAGAATTGTTCCAAGCACAAATATTCAAATGTTTACTTTTAACTTCAAAGCTATCATTACAACAAAACCTATTCCTCTATAAGTCGCCCATGATATAGTATTTAACATCACTAGAGCATTGTAGAGGTGAAAAGTGTGTCACATCAAAATATATTAAGACTTTTTGTGGGGATATGAACATGTGTACTAACGAATGAAAACGGCTCACAAACATCCTATAATTTCTTTAACAAACCAACAACTTTGATATAACTGCTATAAATAAATTCTTCCCTGATTTAAAACAGATCTGAAGAACGGATAAAAAACAAAGATTTTTGTTTGTTCTTAATTTCAGATATTAACAAATGGAATAACTTTCCTCAAATTGAATGAGCAATCAGAGCGGATGTAATTCCGGAAGTATATTTTGTTTGCAAGGTGACCATAACATAGTGTTCTTTAAGAATAAAAGATATGTATGTAAATAAATAAAATGTCTTGCATTGTGTTCATGTCAATGGCATTTAGGTGGTTGCAATCAGGAAATGTTTTTGATAATATAATGGAGTATTAGAAATGCTTTGGAAGACTCGGTAACAGATGATTCTATACTGTTACATGTACTGGATACTAGCAAGTCCAACACATAGGCATGTGTTCAACCTGCAAAACAAATAAACTCAACAGAGAACTTTGCCTTAGATTAATTTTGTGTGTATGTGATTACTGATAGCTTCTAGTCTCTAAACAGAAATAGTTTTAGAATGACACAACCCTGACGTATAAATTTAGAGATAGGCCGAGTCCCCTGCATTACAAAACTACACACAGAAAATCATGAAAGGCCAACAAGTTATCTCCCCCCCCCCCCCAACACCAAAATCCTTCAGGCATTTCATCTGATGGTAAAAGCATGGGGGGGGGGGGGGGCTTCTTGGGGCTCAAGCTCTGATGCTAAGAAGTGTTGAGGTTCTGTGTTGTTGAAGAGTCCTGCACTCCACACACAGCAAAGAAAGTATGCAGCAGCCATTTCACTCAATGGTGTACAGGACACATGTGATAACACTAACCATCACCATGGGATGAGCTTAATAGAGCCACCAGTCTTATCTGTAGCTGGAGTGTTGTCCTCAGCTGCTGCTACGGTAGCAGCAGTATATATATTTTTTTAACCTCTCTCTCTCTCTCTCTCTTGCATGCCAGTTAAGTGTTTCTAGCTCGCTTCAGCAGGTGTGCTTCTTACTGCCTTCAATTGCTCCTCATAAATAATTTCCTAAAACACAAATTTAAATTAACCTTGGCCTCCTAAAACACAAAATTTGAGATTAACTTTTCAGAGATCAATTGAATATTTTTTCTCTTCTTTTTTTCCCCTCCTGTTACATGTTTTATATAAATAACAGAGAAGAAAAAAAGACATTGTTCGAGAGAAAAAAAACATACAAAAACTTGTATTTTTGGACTTGGCTTCACACGAGACAGTGGAGTCTCTCACTACCAAGCCCTGACTAGACTTTACAGCTGGAGTGTAATACAGTCCTACACCTGTGTTAATGCAGATCTGCTATTTATAGCACTTGAATCTTACCTTGGCAAGAATATATATAGTTACACTTTGTACATGTAGGCCCACTCACAAGCTACATCAGAAGTACACATTCTTTGTTGGTAATGTCACTTGTATGAAACATGTATATATTCCTGGACAAACGGTTTTAGGTATTGCAAGTATGACTGCTCACAACACATTGATTCAAATAAATTAAGGAATTGTGGGGACAATGTTTCTTTTTTGATGGGAATTGATTTTGTGAACATTGAGATGATTTTTTCCAACTAGCACTCCATGGCTAGAGGTGGTGGCGTGGGAAATGCACTGAGAGCTGTGTCTGTACATGGAAATGAGGATAGAGGTATTGTAGTACCGGTCCCACTGTCAGGTAAACTGTCTGTATCAACACAGTTTGTGTCCAAGAACTCAGAGTCTCCATCTCCGTAACCACTGTTACTACTCGAGTTACTCTCTGTCTCATCAGTTGACTGAGAGCGATGGATCTTTGAGCTGTGAGTTTGGTTGTCTTTGCGGCAACTTAGACAGGGCTGTAACAACTGGGGGTCAACCAACACTTCCCCATTCAGTCCTTTGAATATAGTTCCACAACACACCTGAGTTCTGAAAACAAAAACATTTATAAATAACATGCAAAAATTTATGTATCTAAACTGTTCATAAACCTCAGTAAATCCTCTAAAAAAGATTAACTAGGAATCAAGGTGTATTATTAAATGTCTGAATTCTAACCAATTAACATTGGCTTATGGAGTAGATTATATTCCACAGGATAATCAGATTTGCTGGCTCTGGTCTTAGCAATGAAAATCTTTCAGTCAAAAGTTAAATACTTGAAGATAACTTACTTTTTCCAGTAGCTGAGATCTAGGAATGAACTGATTCTAGGATCACTTTGTTTGCGCTTGTGCTTTGATGGTCTGTCAATGGGGCCAGTACTTTCATCTATGTCTGAATCGTCACTATCACTAGCCCCAAACACATCTTTGTCGCAACTATCCTCGTTCACTTCATATGGGTAAATAATTAAACATAAAATCAGTAAACTGAAATATATATTTTTCAAATAATTTACATTTCAAGGATTAATTGGTACAAGTTATAAATCAACCTTTTTAGTGATTTAGTAATGTCTAGGCCATAAAATTCCTTAGATGATTCATCATGCAAAATTCTAGATGGTTATTTCCTGGTTAAAGACAGATGCCTTTATACATGACCCACACATGTTTACTGTACCAGTACATGAATCTGGATGCCTGCTGTAAAAACTACCTCTAACCCATTTCTAACTATTTATAAACTGATATGCAGCAAGGGTCAAGGGGAGAGGTATACAGTGTAAGAAAGATATTCATAATTAAATCTAAATCCTGAAGCAATTTATGTATCCATCTGAAATAAAGTAGTCATGGCAGCAGAACCTTGTTACCATGACAATATTTAAAACTTATTATTACATTCTTAACGGCACGTCAACACATAAAAGGTCATTAGGACCATTAAACGGTAATTTAAAACTAAACATAACAATTAATAAATGTACTAATAACCGGACATCAACTATTAAAAAAGTTTCATAAATCAAAGCTGTTAATTCAAATGTAACTTCTCTCCTTTTTCTTTAAACTGCATGTTTTTAATTACTGTTGAACAAAGAACATAAAATAACTGACCAAGCAGGATTGTATTATTAGCTGCATTTCTAGGTCTGACCTGTATTATTACATGGCTGTGATTTATCTGTCTGGGGGATAATATATTACGACAGAGCAATGTTGTATATCATTGGGCTATAGTGACTGTGTCATACCCTGCTGGGTTATAGTTTATCATGACATAGCTGTGGCTATATTACATGATCTAGCTGGGATTTATTATAGGTGACATGATAGCATTTTTATAACATTAAGTTCTTCACCTTTCCAACTAATACAGATACACAATTATTATCAAATGACAGTCGACAGAGATGGTTCACTAAAAGAATTTAAGGTGCACAATATCACTAGAGACATGCAATATGTAATCTGCAAAAGACAATTTATTTCTGCATATACGGGTACACATAAGCACTTTTATATGTGAAAACTGAGAGGATAGTAATTGAAGTCTGGTGAACTAATGACCTTTATTGTCAATGCTCTGGAGGAGAAATCTAAATGACTATACAATCACAATGTGAGGGTCTATTGGAAAGCTGGAGAACTTTACGACCATAATAAAGACCTACATACCAGACAATTATTGATCAATAATAACAATATGTTACCAAGTTAATACAATCACTAGAGCAGCATCTTTCAATTTAAGTTAATACTTAAGACTGAAGAATAAACGATACAAAACAATCAAAAATTGACACTACATAACATATATAAAGTCAGGTCAGTAAGAAGAGGCATGGATATGCTAATTCTGCATGCCCCTACACCACCCATTGTTGACCTGTGATGACCCATCAGTGGTCATGCCAAGTTTAGAGTGATATGACCTAGGGACAATCTGGTGTTAGCCTGCCAGTTAGGTCCTGGCTAATAGACCTGATAAAACTATATCCCCTTAGATATGGGGCAGGCAGGCACCCCTCTGACACACAGCTGTGGCAATAAACTGAACTTATGATGAATGTGTATGCATTGGTGAAAGATGATATTTGGAGAGATTTTCATCTCTGGAGTTGATTCAATCTACCAACACTATATATGGTATATACCAATTAACATGCAAGAGGTGTATTGAGTGGGAGCAGAGCAACAAGAAATGTGGAGCAGATGTGGTATACAGCATGTTATCAAACCCCAATGGTTTACAATTACATTCCATGGAAGATATGGGGAGTTAGGTACCTCCATACCTATGGCTAAGGCTCATGGGATAGGGTAAGGTATTGGGTTACTCTCCAATGACCTATCTTCTGACTGCTCTTAATTAACATTACTAATCACTAAAATCCTGCACAGCTTGCACTACCACTGCCAACGAACAATTTCAACATGGCCTCGGCAAGAATTAAGTGAAGCTTTAGTATACAACTCTTCTGCATCTGATCTAAACTACATCAAAAAATATTGTTTTCATTAGGGATCTAAATAGATAAAGGGAAGCAGAACGTTACATTAAAGCAGGATGCCATTCAACAGATAAATGGCAAGAATTTCATTGGCAGCATATGGAACATTTATGTCAAACATTACCTGATAAATCATCAAAATAGCCCCGGGAGTTTGGAATGGCATAGGACTTTTTGGTTTTCAGTGGAGACTTGTATTTGTTGTTTGTTGGACTTTTGCTTTTTATCTTGAGCGTTGATTTGATTCCTGGTCCAGCTCTAGCATCAACAACCTAAAGTAATAATAACAGAAGTGAATGATGACATCAGGTGATCAATTTACTATATAACATTGACAGAAAATTGTCATTACAAGAAATAGCATAAACAATAACTCATTGACATATATATCAACCTATAATAACTAATAAAAGGTTATAATAACTTTTTTTTTTATTTTATGAGCATTCAGATTTAGAAATTCCATTTAAAATCTGTTTAGAAAATGTAGTTATAAAAAAGCCTGTACATGGATCGGTGATATCAGCACTATTTATGAGACCCCAAAAATAGATTACAACATGTTTACATATGTCAAGATAACAAATATAAGTAAATATTATAATTCAACTTATCAATGCAGCTCACAGAACATATCAGGCAGGACTGTTTTTTTGAAAACAGATAAATGAAATTTCTTGGAAAGCTGTCACACACCTCAATGTACACAACATTTAAACTTTGAACTAAGGATGTGTTGTAGGCATGCAATGCCCTTGGTAGGAGTGAAACGCTTCGCTACACATTACAGCAGAGCCTAGACACCCACTGACCCAGATTCTGCTTGCTTCCAGCATACAGTTTATTTCGTGTATCATTTTGTAATTGAGCAAACGAGGGTCTGATGTAACAAGTGGGGTTCAGTTCAAGTGAATTGTTAGTCTATGGCATCCAATTAGCACAATACTTTCAGCTAAAAAAGCACCCTCCTACATGTGATAATATAGTTGAGTGCATTTATTCACAGAGATTTTTGTTTTCGTAGTGAGAAATACAGGCCAACAATAATCTGACTGTGCATTTGGGTGTGGTACAATGTATGACTAACTCCTTTGAAAAAGGGAGTCTTTACTCCATATTTTAAATAAGATACATTACATATACATGTATGTACTTGAACAAATAATTGAATCAAGGGGATATTTGGTCCCTTTTACCACAAAATCAGATATTGTAAAAAGTGATATTTCCTCAATAGATATCCATTTGGAGTCAATGCAACCTACAAACAATTTCCAATTTTGACTTGAAAAACACAAAAAGCTGTCAATACATTTTTCCTGACTGGAAATTTAATTCTAATTGATGTGGTGTTGTTGGTTCATACCAGGAAATTGTGTCTGTTTTAATCTAGTTGTGAAAAAGTGGTTTCTTTGAATGTGAATAAAATTCATCATCATATATTTGAAGACGAGATTTCTTTGAACTTTCTGCACTTCCTTTGAAAATTATGGGGATAGGACAGAAAAATTCTATGGTCACTTGAAAAATAGGAAATACAACTATTGTATTTTTTGCAGTGATTCACAGGCTCAGCAAGTGGTTTTTATACCTGGTTGTTTAAATATATATATATATCCAGCATGTGATGTGGCAATTACATGAGTTAGTACTGTCAGTTGTACCCTACAGCATTCATGATGGCTTTTCCATCACTGAGGTGTGCTGCAGCTTTACATTTCAAATTGGCTGTGAGTATGAAAACATTTGCAAGTTGGTGAGCAAATTGTACAATGTGTGTAACAGTGGTGTGTACAATAGGCAATCAATGACTGTACATGTACAGCCAGCCTCAACTCATCCACCAGTACCAGCATAACATTGTAAAGAAATCAATTCTCTCTAATAGCCTGCAGAGAAATTTAATAATGATCCCTACAATTTTTTTTCTGCTTCTGTGTAAAACTGATTATCAATTGTATCTTGTAAGAAGCTCTAAACATTCCTAGTCTTGTTTGTAGTCTAGATATAAAAGTTAATACAAAACTTTAAAAAAAACCCAAAAAACAATGCGTTTATCTTATTTATTCATTTAACTTCCTTTTCAAACAACAAACATTATGCCAACAAGGTTGATGATAATTAACAGAAGGAAAATGTTTCATTAATGTACTGTGTTTCATTGTAAGAAGATACATTTTTACCATGAATTTAAATAATTTTAATTGTTTGATTCAGTTGACTAATTACCTATGGAATGAAAATATTTTCATCTTTAATGTGAGCACTTCTAAATTCCTTTCAAAGTACTTTCTAGTCTCTGGCTGACAGTGTATTTTAAACCTGTAGCCCACAGGTCAAGTGTTATTGATTTCAAAAGAAAGGTCAGGGAGAGGGTCAACATTACAACCTGTATAAGCCCCTGTGAGAGAAAAGCCTAAAGCAAACCTATTACTCAACATATTATTGTCAAAGGGTCAGTATAAGTCTTTGTGGGCCCTACCCAGTTTTACATGTGCCCCATGGCGATGGTTTGAGCAACTATTCAAGGCCACAAAACGGTTTCAGAACAGATCAAAGTGTAAGGAATACTATAACTAAACCATTGTCTTACCCTTATTTCTGAAATATTACAAAATCAAAACAGGTGACAAGGATCTTCTGAATGTGGCAATAAAAAAATGAAAACAGAAAATAGCCCAAGGTGACCGAGTCCCAGGTAGCAGGTATCATTGACAATATGACAGGTTCATTGTCAGATTTCCATTTGATCAATTTGTGACAAAGTTATTGAACTTGATTGATGGATCATGACTTGAAGGGATCATATTATGTAGGCCATTACTCCCAGGCACTTATTATAATATGTGATGTCCACGGTTTACAAGAAAACAATGAAATGGTGTGGGTGTCACCTCATTGTTGTATAATAAACAATATCAGTTGCTATTTAGGTTTTTTGTGTTGGGCAGGATACTTTAATTATCATCCATCTTGCATATATGTCACCTGTCACTTTCGAGAGTGGTGACCACTTACCCCACAGGGAAAACACCAACAAGTGAAGATAACCAACAACAGAGAAACTATGAACAAATACATACTCAGCATCATGGTGCTTAGAGAACAATCTTCAACCCATGCTTTGTAACTGAAACTTTAAAGCTTGTTGAGGTCTGACTTTCATTGAAAGTGCTTGCAACAGAACATTCTTGATTACTGTACTTGGCTAGGTCATACTGATAGTGTGTATTGTATTATGACATGAACATGCCATGTGTTCTGTGTATTGGATACATGTCCCATGTATAAGGAATTTGTGGAATTTGGGGTGGAAATATTATCTAGACAGCTAAGCTAACTTGTATACTATGACCACAGCTCAATGACAACAAAAACTAGCATGATTTATTATCAGAAGTCTATTTTTTAGGAAAAGGACAATGAAATAGAAAGTTTGGAATTCCTCGATGGTAAAATTCGTACAATATATCACGATAAGCTAGTCAATGATTAAACAAATATACCCAGTCATAGTGTTTGTATATCTATTAGTCATACATATTTATATCCTCCCACCCCACATATGACTGTACAAGAGTCACTTAATTTAGAATCCTTGACTATTATTATACATGTTACTTTTATAGTATTTTATGTCATCACTTTACTTCCTGACTCACTTTTGTTTCTGAGTGCCTCAATGTTTTCTGTGTCATGCACCCTGATATTTCCATCAAATTTTCATAATGGCACTGGTAACAAAGGCTATATGTGCAAGCAACCGAGACTCAACGTTTACCTTGTGCTACATAACAGCTAGGGTGACCTCATCTAGTACAGATCAATAATAAGCCCAGGTACACTCATTAAGTTTTGTTTAACTAAGTAATCAATAGATTCATGTCAATCACTGAAACTGTCTTTGTTCAGGATAGGAAACAGATGGTTTATGGGTCCCTTTCTGACCATGACCTAGTGTGGACACAGGAGATCCACTGGATCTTTGTTAAATAATCCAACATGGGGGAAATATATTGATTCAGATAATCTGGAATAAATCATCTCATTTAGCCAAATGGTCAGCTTAACCTCATTTTCCCAACAGATGGTAGGAGTTGTATGGAAAAGAGTTACGACCATGGGGCACCAGGGGCAACTAGTGGGAATATGTGGACACAAAACAGTGTTTATCACATATGTTATTTAATTGTTAATAACATCATATGTTACAACTGATTATATAATGAGATTTTAAACCCAATAAAAGTGTCTTTTTTTTCCCTTCTGTACAGTATATCTGTTCGATCAACCAAAACAAATAGGCAAAAGAAGGATATAAAAAGATATGATGTTCAGTAATGTCTTCCTGTTTCAGTATACTGACAACATTGTTTAACCTGCCTTTCTAATTAAGTTTTTTTCTTCTTTTCATTTGTAGATGTAGATCTAAGCATAGATCAAGTAAAGGAAATATATACTATTGTCATGAAAGATTTCCTAACCATAAAAATATGTAAGCTGACAAATCATCAACATGTTTTGTGTATATATTTTTCTTTAGAAATATGAAAATAAACATTTGCCATTAGTTCTGTCTAACCTTGTATTGTTGTCTGGAATCAAATATATATCATTGATTTTTTACTGGTATAAATCTTGTCTGAGCCATATTCAGGTTGTGTAGCTAAAATGCGATACCACAACATACGAGTATACATTATTATGTAAACATTGTTGGAATTATGTGTACTATCAGAATTTGTGTTCCTAACTTTAGGACCACACATTATTACTATCAAGAAAAATTTGAAATATCGTAAAAAATCAATTTCCAGCCATCACCATTTGGGAGATAAAATACAGAATGAAGTATGTCAGATAATTTCCATCAGGTAAGCAACTATTCAACCAAGAAATAGTTTGAATGACTCCATGGGTGTGAGACTTCCATCAGGAATGTTGAATGGGGTCAGGTAGTATGAGTATAAGCCTACGCGCCTGTCTGTTGAAAGCCCTCTGCTGACCTACTTTGTGTAGGCGAAAGTGGGAAAACAAGCATGAACTTGGTCAAATCTTTTTAAAATGACTGTACATTTTCAATGTGTCTGAAGAATGGGGGGCTTTTTTATGTTCAGTTCCATAAATTAATTACAATAACATAATAATGTTACATTATCCCTTTAGCTGAATATATCCTGATGATGTGCAAACATATTTTCTAAGTAAAATGTATGAAATATTGTGACTAAAAGGAATTTTCACTAAAATACTTGCATAAAAAAAGTGAATAATTCCATTATTTTACATGTCAATGAATTCTGCATATGCAAAATGAAATAAAAAAAAAAACTTACATGATGCCAATGACGACTGGTTCCAGCTGGTAGTTTTTTCCATCGTTTAACCAACAAAACACAGGCATTGCAAATTTCTCCAGCCCTTTTTTCATTTATCCTGAAGCACTTTTCAAATTCACATTCATACCTCTTACTGTCAGTGAACCGCGAGCTAGAGGACTTTGCCCTACATATACAACATCCATTGATGCTCCTGTAGATTTTAGGTTTGTGAAAACTGAACATTTTGCATCAACTGCAAAATTCTGAAATAGAATGGAAGAGAAATCATGAGCTTCATTTTATGAATGATGATAACAGTATCTGAAGTATGCATAAATTATTAACATAAGCAAGAGAGTGGTAACTTAAAAGGGCGTAACTCACTATAAGTAACAAGAAAGATGAGTGCAGCAACAAAATGCAATCAGTGAATCATGCTTACACACAGATCTATCAGGCCAAAACTTCAGTACACATACACAAGTGCCTGTGTGTACAATTATGACAAGTGTCAATATGCAGATGTTGCTGCAAACAGCTTGTTACATACCCTATTTCAATGTATTCCAAAAGTGTCGAACTATCACAGCCTAAAATGATCTGTTGCACATATTGCCCTAAACTGAGGAATTATGCACGGGGTAAAACCCCATATATCTTCCGTGACCTCGGATAAAAATAACTTCCTCAGCAGACGCCGGGCCGAAATTGTAATGAAAATAGGACTGCTGTAGTAATGCAGTGAAATCTAAACCATTGATTTTTGTTTCGTTTCCAATCGCAGGTCAAAACCACGCATGTGTGCACGCTTGACACTCCGTGTTCAATAGAGAAATCGATAAAATGGGGGATTTTCCCGGTAAATATGTCACTGACCGACGGGTTACGGCTCACAGCGTTTTCCTATTTTGGAACAAAGGAATTTCTTTGTAGGCCAAGCGCAGACTCAGTCCCGATTCGTGCACATACATGTGTCTGGCAACCCGATAGATTTGCCGCTAATGTACAAATGTTATATCGAATTAAAAACGATGAAACTAAAATAAATTGTTTGAAAACACGGTATCAGAACAAATAAAGTGTACTCTTTCTTTTACATGGACTGTCAATGACTAAAAAATCATTTTACGACCACTGTCCCCGAGGATCTGTTGCGAACCTCTTCTTCGCACCGAACACCCATTCCCAACGTCGCTAGGTCAAACGAAATCGAAGTCAAATTATAGCTATATCAGGAAATAACAACTCATGAACTTGATTGGAAAAGTTGAATGTATTCTTCAGTAATATACTACTTATAAAATATTCTTACCGATCTCGTCCTTTTCGTTGTTTCCAGAGAAAATATTCAACCGCACGTAATGATATCCTCAGTTGAACTGATATCAGATGATCAATGAACACGCATGTGCGCGGCCTTTTGTTATGCAAATCATGAACTCTGTGAAAAATCCTACCGTTTTAATATGAAACACTAATAACGTTCTAAATACACAACATAACTTAAATCTGTATGTTTTACACGAAAATTGATCATAAATATCGAAAAAATTAAATCTTTATTAAATCTCGCGAGACCCAGATTGGCAAGTTATTATGGGATAGGAGAAAGATCGTTGATCCGCCATATTGAATGAAACTGCAGAGGAATTCCCGCCTGAGATGTTGATTTTCTCGTAGATTGGTCAAATAGTAGAGTGCATCGTTGCCTTTTATTCCTGGTTGATGACAATATGACATTCAATGTTCTGGTGAATGCTTTTTGAACCCAATTGTTGAGTGACACCCGCTTTCAGATTGTCAAATGTGACGGAAGACGAGAGCTTCAAGCAGTTTATTTTCGTTTCTTGTTTTCACATAGGTGAGCTTTCAAGCGATCACGCCTCTCTTCCCTTAGATTACATTGTGTTGAGACTATCAGAAGTGTGTTATTAGCAAAATTTATGTTATGTCGATGTCTTGTTAATTGTCCATGTACATGTAGTGATGCAGACATGAAATATATCCAAAATGACCCTGTATCTTGTTTGTAATCAATGGGCACTTCCTATCGATATTTTTCACTCTGAAATACCCTTCATTATAACAGCAATCAGGTATCTTAATGTCGATTTATTATATATCTGATACTAATATTTGCCAATACAGAATTATCGAAACTTAATTATGTTACAGGACGAACGTAAACAAACCCAAGCATCGGTCTTACTTGGTGACCCATGTTATATTGAATATTGATCATGTTTAAAATTGATTGTGCCAACCAAACATTAAATGTCAATCGATGATCATACATCAGACTGAAATGCAGTGAAAATATGCAGAATTGAGAAAGTGGAGGGTAGATACCGTTTTGAGGAAATATATAACCTTCAGTTTTCTTAAGCAATTAAACTATAGTGGTTACCATTATAAACAATATTGCCATTTTACTTCTGGAAAAAGGTTTGCAATATCGGCATTTTCAGTTGATGTATCATGCAATCAATGCAGAAATTAGACATGCCAAATAAAGCAATGTTTGACTTGTTACAAAATTTCATTATTTTTTATGCCAGCACACAACAAACCAGAACATAAATCAAACTAGATAGTTTCTAGACACTGTATTAGGAGCAGGAAAATGGAAGGCCAGACCAGGGTTCAAACCAGAAACCCTCAAACTGTAGGCAGATGCTCTACAAATATAGTTAACAGGTTGCCAACAACTGACCTAGTCAGAGTCTGGTATATTACTGCCTCCATCTTCTAGTCTTCTTCCTTGAAGACAAATGTTTTGAACCCAGGTTTTGATTTCCCCTTTGGAAGCATTTACCTACTTTAGCAAGGATGGGACACAAGCACTGGATTTATTCGCAGCAAGAAAATGCATATCCAGACCAGGGTTTGAACACAAAGCCTCCAAACTCAAGATAGATGCTCTATCAATTGAGCTTCTTGGTCACTGATGTTCCAACCATTTCACTTCTGCAACATAACAATAAAAAAGAATACTTGGCTAAACACAAAAACTTGTGTGATGAAGATTACTCATCAGTTTGTTTGTTTAAATCTGAATTTTGAAGTAAAACCTGCAGTTGAGCCACATTATCCTTGTTTATCTTTTGTTACATTATCACACAGCATCTAAGTCCATCAAAAGTGAATGTTTCTACATTTTTTCCTCATCTTTCCATTCTGTTACTTGACTGTCTTGTCACTGTTGTCCTGAAGTCAGAGTTTCATTTGCAAATGTCGTTATCCTGTCAAAGTATTGTGTGACGTTACATTGTTTACAATATCTCCTTGACCCATATTTAATCTGACAATGGTTTAATGTTAGCATCTCAACACACGCTCACATCTTACATGTTACTTGCTACTTTGCTGTAATCATGCAGTTGTAACAAAATTAAATGAATGTTGTTGGACCTGTTTGAATAATATGTATATATGCTTGTGGAAATAAACATGTTTAAGATTTTTCAGTCAATCATAATAACAGATTCCTGATATGGTATTGGGAATATTGACATTTGAAAGTTTTCTTCCATTAATTACATACCAATAAACCATTATTTTATCTTTTCAGTTGCCAAGATGTTTTGGAAGTTTAATTTATTAACATCCTCTCATATTGACACCTTACTAGAAAAAGAGGTAAGTATACTAGAGTATACTAAACCTGGTGAATAATGCAGACAAATTGACATTTGCATCATGACCGTCCTCAACTATGTTACTGCTCTTTCTGAAGAAGCTGTTGCCCTATCTTAAAGGCAATCTTTTTCTTTTAAGTTTATTTTTGCAACAACTGTGAAAAAAAGATTTTTCAACTTATATTAATCACTGTTGTTTATATAATGAAATTAGACCATCTCATCATCCAGAGTTACAATAATGCTATCTAATCTACAAGGGTCAAAAACATCACCAAATACTGAATACTGAGATAGTGGATTTTTTCCTGCTAGATTATACATTTGGAGAGTGAATGTTTTTAGATTGACATTGTGGGGTTTTTGTTTTCAGGATGTAACCTTACATGAACTGATGGATGAAGATGATATCTTGCAAGAATGTAAAGCACAGAACAGAAAGCTAATTGACTTGTAAGTTTGATGTTGATTCAATATCACTGTCAGATGATGAAACATTTGTGAAAGTTGGCAGGGTTTTTTTTTTCATTTATATTTGCATTATTTTGTTGAAGATGAATTAAAAAAATGATTTATTTACTTTCAGCATCATCCGTCCAGAACACATGGAGGAGATGGTTAATATGATAACAGTAGAACCCTCAGAAGATGTTGAAGAAAAAGTGAAATATAAGTAAGTTTTTATCAAAGATATCATAAGAATATGATACATATGAACACATTCTCTTTGTAAGATGCTTTGAATTGTGTTGTGATATCTGTTTGTTATTTACCAAACTAATGCGATAGTTTGTAAGTACAAATCCTAATGGTTTGTTTCTGGAGGTCAACTTGTTTCCCCAAGCATTGCATGCAAAATAGAGTGGTCAATAAATTAAGATACTTTTGTTTTCATTGTTTTATAGATTGTTTAAGGACATAATGCCTGAAGTTTTGAGCATGTTGCTAGATGCAGTATGGTCAGGCCTATCCTGAAGTTAAAATAATGAGTAATCATTGTTTTGTAGATACCCAAACACTTCATGTGAGTTGTTGACATCAGATGTGTCCCAGATCAATGATGCTCTGGCTGGCAGTGAGGCACTTATACATAAACTGTATGCCTTCCTTGAGACCAATGAGACCCTCAACCCACTCTTGGCCAGCTTCTTCAGCAAAGTCATGGGCCTGCTTATTACACGTAAAAGTGAAATGGTAAGAGATCAGCTAGATCACACTCAAAGCCAGTGTGTTATCATTACATTACAATTATGCACCAATACTGTGTCTAACATGAATTGCTTGAAAGAAGCCTAGAATGATCTGAATGGATGCACAGTGGTATATCTAAACTGCAGATTTGAAATTTTTTAGTACTATTGTATACCTTACACCTTAATTCCAAGTTCATCGGTTCACTTCCAAATTATTCTATTTTAGAAATAGAACTACTATGGTATATTGTGTTGTTACTAAAGGCCATGCTATTGTCATGTCCCATCCTGACTTGTCCCAAGTTGATATTATCTGTCTAGCTACTTCCTTTATTTTCAAATTTTGATTAAAGTTTATTGAAGTTAAGCTACAATAATATAAGCTCACAATATTCAGGAAGGAATGTGTTTCATGGGTCATTTGAGATTGACTTGAATGAGCTTTATCTGTGTACTTAGGTCAAGGTCACCATTTCTGTCACAGGAAATATCAACTAGTTTAGTGTCTTCATTTCTGAAACAATTTTTTGTTGATCAATGCAAAAAGATCACACATGAGCATACCGTGGATGAGTTTGTGTGTCAGGTCACTGTTACTACTTGCACAAATTCAGAATCTTATTAAGAATTGGGTCTTTCATTTTAATCCTATTTGAGAATTTCATTACACGAGGATCTGATAGAGCTATGTTAGAATCACTGTGCAAATGATCTAGAGTCAAACATTAAACAGTATAAAATTGAATTACTGAAATGCAGTATTCAGTTATACATATGTAAAAAAAATCATATCATTAGCATTTACATTGATCTGCCAGTTTTGCAAAGAAAAATTAACATTTATATTGATTTCTGGTTTTGCTTAGGAAATCTGTTACCTGGCTCTCAAATGTGAATACCATTTTGCCAATTGAAAAAAGTCAGACGATCACATGACATTCAAATGAGGCATAAGTTGTGCTACCTAAACAGGATTTTACAAATGAAATTGCATAATACTCCAACTATGCCTCTTTATTGCTCTGTCTTCTTAGTGATGATGTCAAAAGTATTTGTAAATTTCCTAATTACAAAGTTTAGCAATGAAGCATCATCAGGCACTCTTTCAATATTACAAATTGTTCATAAATAGATGGCCTTTATGAATTAGAAAAGGTCATAGAAATGGCAATTTCTAACAAGGCTTTGTTAGATCCACATGTAATAAAGAAGGAAAAACAAGGTAAAATACAGATCCAATCTGAACTATACCAATTCAGTGATATTGCTTTAGTGCCTTTTTGTGGGAGATATTGATCAAATTATGTACAAAGTGTATATTTGAGTGTACCTTAAAAAAGTGTCTGGATTTTAAGGTTTAGTCGCAAAGTTAAACTGAATTTGGAACATATTTTTATATGTACCAATAGTATGTGTTCCATATAACTAATGTGAATTCATGCTAAAATAAGTATTTAATACAGTAAGTTTAACCTTTTGGCTTTCTTGGTTGTAGTGAACAAAGAAATCATTCTTCTTTAAAATTATATGTATAGTTTATCATTTTACATCATCTATGTTGTTTTTAAAAAAAAAGCCAACAAAGAAAGCCAATATTTCAGTTTTTACTTTTACATATACGATCATGTAAATAGCCCATTATCCAGTGAATTTGTTCATGTAATATGTCACTATTGAAATATACCCAGGAGCTTATTGGCTGTGGAAGTCAGAAATCCATATGATGTTCGTTTTATTATGGATAATAATGTTTTGAAGTGAAATGAAAATAGTGCAAAAATGGTGTCACCGTTTGATTTTGTTTACTTTTTTACTTTCAACCTGTCACAATATAAGTTTCCTGAGGTATGTTGTGAAAATTAACCTCAAGATGGCTTTCATTTCCTATGAGATGGAGGAAAGTTGCATCCATGTCCTGATTTTTGTTTGCTAAGGCAGGTAGCAATAAAAACATCCCAAGACTTTTCTTAAAAATCTCATATGGCGTGACAACTGATTTAAGATCCTATGTATATATACAGTATATAATTAGTGGTAATTGCATACATTAAATTATAGAAAATATGTAGATGACATTTTATAGCATAAAGGTATAGTATGTATGGGTGAGCAACACCAATGTCATTATTAAAGTGCTTGCAAAATTGAATTTAATTTTCTTAATAGGAGTTAATTTAAGAATATGTACCATGCAAATTTATGCAGCATGGTATGGTTAATGATATACAGAGCATATTTGTATGTTCTTTGTAATAATTTATCTCCGAATTTTTTTCCATTTCTATAGCAAGACAGAATGCTACCATGTTAGTGTGCTCCCTGCAGTTCTCTTTGTGTATGTTAAGTCTGAATAACACAAAATTTGCCACTTTGAAATGAAATTTTTAATGCCAGACTTATGAAAGATTTCCTCCCTGTTAATACATATCAGTTTTCTTTTTCAGATATTTGAATTTTTAAAGTCCAGAGAGGATTTTATCGGGACACTTTTAAAACACATAGGCACCTCAGCAATAATGGACCTGCTCCTCAGACTACTTACATGTGTTGAATCTCCTGAAATCAGGAGAGCTGTGATAGAGGTAAGAACATACTAATGGTGATGGTAGAGAAAGGGTGACTGCTTAAGTGGCATCTGAATGAGTTTGAAACCCTTTACATGAGAGACAAATAATATTGAGGTATCCTGACCCCATATTTATTTCTGAAGTTTACGATGAAATCCTGTGATTGAGCACTAAGGTGCATTCTGCCATTGATTTATATTGATAAGGTAAAAGCTTGAAGTTTGTAGTGAAAAACCAACACAATAACAAAATGTATGAACATGTATGCTTTGATTTCCAAAGCTTGACTATTGTTTTGTTGTTTCAGTGGTTAAATGAAAATCAGATTGTTGAAAAATTAGTTGGATGCTTTAAGACATCAACTGATGAAGATGTAAGTAGTAAATACATGTATAGATTGTTTTCTGTTTATCTTAACCTGGATGTTTGATCAGTATTGTTATTAAAGTTCAGCTGATATCTTGTCAAGCATTAGTGGTTAATGAAAAGCAGCATATTTTCCTGCAATTAACTTTGGTCAAGTTAGAATACTTGTTTATACTTGCATGAATGTTAAACAGTTAAGCCCTCTGAGGCTCTGACTTAACTAGCCCTCAGTAGTGCTAGAGTTGTAGAAATGTTGACAACTTTATTTACTTTATTTATGGTAGCTACTTTTTAGTTAAATTATATGCTGTAGCTGATGAAATGAAATGTTTTTGATTTACTCTGGAATATTGAAGTTTTTTTTTTGAGTGTCTTTTACTTGTATGGTTATAGGTTCACTGTAATGCAGCCCAGTCCCTGTGTGATATTGTACGGCTTGGGAGGGAACAGCTCTCACAACTACAAGATAAGCCAGAGCCTGATCCTCTTCTCAACACAGTAGAAATGTATATATTCGTCATTTCATAGCCGCAATCCATAACTTGATTCTGTGATACATTGGGAACAAGTATGACAACAGCACAATAAAAAAATTATGATATGCATTTAATTACAGCAGTTGAAGATAAATCCTCAGGTAGTAGCATATTTGGTGTTCAAATAATTTTACTTTCTACCTTGAGTACCTTCTACAAGTTTTGCTGTATTGGGCCACTGTGGTTGTCAAGCTCTATTAGGAGTCCATCTACATTAGTCCTTGATTTTTGTGATCATTGTGTAAACCTGTATTTTTTTATGTTGTCTCATTACAGGGAGGAAACAGTGTCAGACTTGCTCAGCAACATGTTGGACACTGAATGCAATGAGTCTGTTATAGTCAATGGTTTATCTGTGATACAAACTCTCTTAGAATTTAGGAAACAGGGGTGAGTAGTAGAAATTATACACATTTTGTACATTTCCCAGTCGCAAATATTGTGGAACTTTGTTTATTTTGCTCACATGTAGGATATACTTTTCTGCAGTATCTGCCTATCATCTACATTTCAAATGCTACGTAACCTGAATGCCTTCATCAAAGGCATCCTCAGGGAATTAGAATAAAAGTTCTTACTGCACAACCAGTTGAAGATTTGAGGGTGATGTTTCGATGACAACACCTTCACCTTCATCAGACAAAATGATCAGACTGAGGCTTACTAATACTGATATATGTAGTATACAAGATGGTACTGAATTATGTCTTTTTCAACAGTATTTTAATTCCATGTACACTAAGATAATTGTGTTATCACCACAGGTATTCTATTGAAATTACCACCTGAAGAATGTTAAAAATCTGTAGGGAAGAGTCATCATACTTCATGTGTCTTCTGAAATGGATATAAACAGTGCAATCATTGGTTATTCTCTTTCTGTATTTCAGTCCTGAAGGATCAACAGAACATATTTCTACACTAGACACAGAACGTTTAGCCCAAGGTGTTAGTAATGTTTTATTAGCAATAACACCCAGACTACGGGATTTCCATCATTTACTCACGAATCCACCCAAGGTATGTGTATATTTTCAACCTGACAGAAGGAATTTGTGATAGCAGCTGGAAGGCAATGCCAACTGTGGTTCTTTTTCTGTATTTTTACACAACCTAACAGCTCTAGAATTAAGGGTTGGTATGAAAATTACAGACTGTTGGTGTATGTTATTCATGGTTTCCTGTAGTAGCTTAAATTCGTGTTCATTGTAATGAATCATTTTTCTCTTTTATTAGGTTACTGAAGGTAGATTTTAAAAATGTAATACACATGTACTCTTTTGATTCAAAATGTCTTGATATTTATTTACTTTTTTGTCTTTGCAGCAAAAATTTTGTACAATGCCTACATCAATAGGAACTCTTGAACCACCACTTGGAAACACCAGACTGCAGATAGCACGTCTTGTATCGGCACTCACTTTAACCAATTCACATTCTGTTACTGTAGAATTAGCCAATTTGGGGACCATGGGGGTTTTAATAGTAAGTATTTAAGCAGTTCTATTTTTTTAAATTTGGTTTTGATAAACTATGGACTATAATGCATTTTTATGTAACATTATGTGGTAACCAAGGTGACAACAGTATAAAAACTGCGCTTGAGTTTGATTGGTTATTGAATTGTTATAATTAATTACTAAGTCTACTTTGAACTTTTTTTTCCCACAGGATTTATATTTCAAGTACTGTTGGAACAATTTTCTTCATACGCATGTTTCACAATGCATCAACACTGTGTTATATAATTCTCCTATTGAAACTGATGGAAAGAAAGAACACCTACTTTTAGTCCAGGTAAATTTTAGATGATACTGCTATTTCATCTCTATTAATGGTCATCACTTATGTGATATAAATATCTCGTCTCTATTTATTGTTATAACTTATGTGATATAAATATCCCATCTCTATTTATTGTCATCACTTCAGGGACATTTTGCTCTGTAGTGGTTGCTTAGCACAGAAGGGAATTTTTTGTATTTCATACAAATGCATTATAATGATAAAGCTTAATACCATGAGTGTAAAGACAAATATGAAGTTAAACTTGAAAGTTGTATTCAGCTTTCTGACTGGTTCCTGTTGATTCATAATACTTATTAAACTAACCAATTTCATGGAACCTATATCATTTTCACCCTGATTACCAGCTCCATCCGATGATTTCTATCAAGAGATTATTCTAAAATTCTATTGTAACTGGATGTAATGATAGGTCCTTTCCTTAGAGGTCAAAACTTTCTATGTAATAGTTATCGCTGTTTAATTGGTAGGTTTATCAAAAGTTTTTACATTCAAAATAAACTACTAGACAAGGTAAATATATTGAAAACTTTTCCAAAAAATACTTTCTAAATTTGCTTTGTCTTTTTCAGTTATTTTCGGAATTCCATCTCATTCAACGAATAATGGATGTGTGGGAAGAGAATGATCAGCAACAGTAAGTTCTGTTCTCAGTAGAAGTTTAGATTTTGCTTTGAACAATGTTTCTGGAAATATAGAAAATTATTGTAAGTTTGAATAGAGGTATGTCACACTATGTTTACTATATTATTTTTGTAGAAGTCGAGAAAAGGGTAGAAGGCGAGGCTACATGGGTCACTTAACCAAGATAGCCAATGACGTGGTAGCTGTTCTAGAAAAGGGGGAAAACACAGACTTACTAAAGGAGCAGATTAGTGGTTTGTATTGTAACAAAAGTTATGCAGGAAAAATGCATGAAATGATGTTTGAATTGTATTACAACACCAGGATTGAAACCTTTTATATGTGTCAAAGTGTCTTCACTTGATTCATGAAAATGTGATATTGGATCTCATACACATGTCTAACTGACCTGTACAGTTTTGGAATATCTCCAACATACACAATTGTCAATTATCTTCTTGCTATTTGCTTAATGTGGAAATTATGATTATGGACCCATATTTAAATTCTGCCATTTCAGAAATGGACGAAGAACACAGAGAAAAATGGGACACTTTCATCTCTGGTAGTTTAACAGAATTAAACAAGAAAAATACGATAGAATTGGTAAGTCTGAACTATGCCTGGTATCATCTGATGTTATAATAAGTGTATCAAGTGTAACTTAAGGTTGTAATTACATTCAAACTATTTGCAAAGGTTGAAATTGTAATCATTAAATGAATGATAATTCATGTTCAAGAAAACCAAAAAAATACTAAATCTACATGTTTTATGGACCGTTTGCTTATATCAACACTGGGAAAAATAGGATTTTGAGTTTAAATAGTATTCAATTAAAGAACTGACATTTTTTGTACAGGTGCGGGGTCATCCGATTGCATCGAGTAGCGATGATGAGGACCATGACTTTAGAGACATTCCTTTCCCCCAGGACGAGGCTATACAGCAGGTATGGTTTTATTTTAACCTGCCCGTTTAGTTATTCAACAGGCAAACTTGAATTAATACTGAAATGATTAAGATAAGCATTTACAATTTGGTTTAGAATTTTATCAATTTATATGCTTTTGCTTTCTGTATTATTGTTTTTAGAAGCTTGTACATGCATGACACGGAAAATTTTGAAGTATCATTTGCATGTAACATGACATGTCGGCAGAAATACTTTTGATGTATGAGAGTTATTAAGGAGAGAAAAATAGCTTCACATGGTTATTTGGTTAGATGTGGTAACAAATAGAGTTCCATTTGTAAGTTCAAGTGTTTTTGTTGAGACATATATAGATACAAGTTGAGAATATCTCTCAAACTTGTAAATGTTTTGTCCCATTTAAGCTCTGTTTTTCCTTAGTTGTACTGAATAGTTGGCAGTGAAGTTGTTATTTGTGATCATCTAAGGTAACTGAAATACTCTGCAAACATTTGATATCAAAACAAGAGAATCTATGCTATTTGTTTGTTTACATGTACAAAGTTTAACCTCTGTGAACTAGCCTACGCTGGGACAACTTCAAAAATCAACAAATATGCTATAAATGACATTTTAATTCACTGTCTATTTTGCCTCATACATGTTTTAAAAGTTGATATTTCAATTTCAAATTTGGAAGTCTGTCATCACTATCTTTAAAATTTAAAAAAATTCATATGTCCTACTGCATTACTGTTGCCTGTGCTTTTTGTATATATTGGTATTATCATTTTCTTGCACGAGTACATTTTTGATAGAAAATTCTGTATAGTCACCAATGGCCATCTTGAATTTCGCACCCAAAAGGGTTTCTGTGACATGGGAGGGTGATGGCTAGCTTACTGTAGAACAGATAGGTGTGTCCACTCCTGGCATGGGTGGGTGGGTACACAGTTGTTCGTGGCTGCTGATGTGCCGCCTGATTTATTATTCATCAGGCCTTCTCTGATTACCAGCTGCAACAGATGACCAGCAATTTCATCGACCAATTCGGCTTCAATGAGGAAGAGTTTACTGAACAGGAAGGGAAACTTGAGTGAGTGAAGGATTTGTTTTCCTTTTTGTTGATATATACTTAATCCTGTTTAGTTTTGAAATCTTTTATTCCCATTATAGACTTCATGTTAAATGTTTAAAGATTGTATTGTGAGTAGATATATTTCTGAAGACAAGTGATTTGTACCTGGTAATATTTCGATAGATTTGCTGGCAATTCTAGTATTTTAAAGTGTTCTTCAGTACCATTTACTGTAAATCACAGATTTCAAGAATACTTTATTTTGCAAAGTTACCTGTTTAGACATATTTACATATATACATGATTTCGTGATTGCTGATCTAGAAATGACTGAAAAACTTGTGAATGATAAGCTATTAGAGACCAAGATTCTTTAAGATTCCAATATCAGTAACAAATCATCATGAATGCCATTCAGTTATTTTTTGTCAAATAATCCCAAAGGATTTGAATTCTCCTATTGATGCGAATCCCATGCAAAACATGTATAAGTGATTTACTTTGAGTCTTGTTGATTGTTTATTTTGTTTAATGTTCTTGTTTCATGTCCGCTGTTCGCAGATGAATTTTTTGGAATCTAGCAGGACCATTAGTTTTTAATGAATTAAGGTTGTCAGGGCCTTGCATATCATTTGAAAAGTTTGTCTGATTGTCCTGTCAGACTACACTTGTCAACATAAGAGTATAATAATAATAAAAAAAACACACTGCATAGACAGTAGATGAAATGTAATGTCCTCCTCATTTCAGAATCTCTAAAATCATGTTCTCAATGCTTAAAGGCTCATAATCATTAATTTGATGGATTGAATATGAAAACATTGTTTATTTTCAGCTCACTTTTCACAGAAAGGATATCCAGTATAGACTTCAACATTCAAGCAAATGAGGATCATGTAAGCATGTATTGATTTTCATAAGGGCTGGCAAAATCATCGCAGAAAGATTTTAAGAGTACTTGTGAAGTTTTGAGTCTTATTCTGTTGTCACAAGTAAGCCCCATCTCCCATTCACAAATGATTTACCAATAGTGTAGAGGTTACTGATTTGAAATAACCCCTTTCATTCAGAAAAGGGAGGAGAGCTTATTAGTAGACAAGGAATTTGTTGGAAATTCTTTGGAACAGCCATAGAAATTTGTATGTGTATCACTAGGCATGGGCTTACTGACAAACTAACATAATGAAACAGCTAGTACATGATATATACATTCAACACATTCATCATTTGCTTTAACAGGCAGCGAGCTCTTCAATGTTTGACCAAGCTTGCAATGAGAAAATACAGCAGTTCGATGATAATGAGGATAGTGATGAAGACATCTGGGAAGAAAAGGAGATCACCTACTCACCAAGCTCACAGGCTAAAAGGCCAGGGTATGCATCGTTTGATAAAGTATTAAGTATATAATACACTATAATGTATTGTGTGTGTAATTCAGATACATTTTAGCAAGATTTTATATCGCCCTGGTAGCTTGAAAGAAGACTTTCAAAGAAAAAATTGATATGTTTGATACAAATTTACAAACTGCAAACTATGAAAATAAACATTTTGTGAGGAGCATATCAAAACATTCATTGGTTTATGGTTGTTTGGGTAGGATAAGTTAATAGTGTCATAAGTTATCAAATAAAACCTGGAAACTGGCTGTATCTTGTTTACAGACGTCTGACAGAAACCTCTGGTGATGACAGCGATACCAGTACAGATAGTGAGGAGGAACTTGCCTCACCAAAAAGAATTCTACAGCAACCAAGTGAGAACATGGATGTTGACTCAAGTCAGGACGGTAAGGGATACAGCATTAACATTAAAGTGTAGTTGATAGAATTTTTGTATGGTTGTGTAATGATGGCTTTACTTGAGAACAGTTGTTAATTGATCAACATTGAACTCTGTTGCTGGTCAGTTTTGGAGTTGATTTATATAGTAACATGTTTTTCATTTCCTTAATTTACTTACCTCTAGTAATTTATCAAGTAAACAGATTCCTGTGACAGGTGAAAACTTTGTATTGATATATGTTTGATTTTTTTTTTTCGCTTCATTATAATCCAATCTAAGGTGACACTTCAGACTCGAGACTATGTTCTGCCTGTGGTTAATTCTTATCAAAGGTTATTTTCCATACATAAATCAATTTGTGGTTAATACATCACTAAAATTTGAAGAGAAAAGGAAATTTTTGATTATAAACAAATGGTCAGTGCCAGAATCTCTGTTATTGAGGTAAATTGTCTCATTTACAGCTTGGCAGGCCAACTTTGATGATCAATCGACACCAGTTGCAATGGACACTTCACCGTGGACCACCTCTCAGCAACAACACCAAGAACAACCAAATCAAACGGATGGGGAGAACTGGGCGCAGTTCACTAACAAAATACCTGTATCCCAAAATGAGGACAACTGGGCAGACTTCAGTAATATAAACGATTTAAGCAGGTAAATGATTTATTGAAGATGTGCTCTGTTGTAAGCAAATAATTTCTGTGTAGGAAGTATTGAAATTATGTAAATTTTAAGTGTCACAGACTCTTATTAGAGAATGGGGTATCACCATTTAGAAAAGTGATCAGTATGACAGACTCTTATTAGAGAATGCCATTTAGAAAAGTGATCAGTTTGACAGACACTTATTAGAGAATGGGGTATCACCATTTAGAAAAGTGATCAGTATGGTGACTGTAAGACACTTATTAGAGAATGGTATCACCATTTAGAAAAGTGATCAGTATGGTGACTGTAAAGGCCCTTGGGTCTCTTGTTGCCACTTGAAAAAAAAAAACATTCAATGGTCCAAGATTTCCAAGGCATTGTGGCATTATAAAAATCTGACATTGATCTTTCTGACATAGTAACTATCTGATAATGACAAAGTCGTCCAATTAAATACCTGACATTGACTGGGCTGACATACTGAATATCTAATGAAGCCCAGTCAGACTTACTAAATATCTTACATTGACTGGGCTAACATAAATATCTGATGTAGCCCTGTCTGACATACTTCTTGGCCATATCAATTTCAGTAATAATATTGAAAAAGTGAAAGAGTGATAGATGAAATTTACAATGTTGGCTAATCTAATGTTGATTTGGGTTTAAGTTCTGCACCTGGGCCAAGGAGCAGTTCCCCAGTGGAGATGGATACAACTGACATCAACTCACGACCTGCGGCATACTGTGAGTATACCACATGTCCATTCTGCTGGTTTATTCATTACATATGCAGGGATTTCCATAATTTTGTTAGTAGTAGGCTGTGTAGTGAAAGTAGGAGGCTGGCCTGCCGTGTACGTGTAGTCGTGTACAGAACATTATTACGGAACTGTATTGGTGTAGGCGGCCAAATGATCAAAGTGGCTGGTCAAATTGGCCGGCGACCGGCTCATATGGAAAACCCTGCATATGATTAAGTCTTTTAAGGTGCTTTCTCATATATCCATTGGTTAGGCTGTAAACTGTGAAGTAGACTTGCATCCATCTTCACATCTATAAATTCACATGTATCTGTTACTAAGATATGTTATATACTGTGAAGTAGACTTGCATCTACCCACTCATCTGTAAATTCTCAAATATCTGTTTGCTATGCTGTATACAGTGACCAGTAGCCTTGCATCTACCCACTCACCTGTAGATTCTCAAATATCTGTTTGCTATGATGTATACTGTAGCTGATAAACTTACAACTGTCCAATCACCTGTAAATTCTCGAGTGTCTGTATACTATGACTGGTAGACTTCTCGAGTATCTGTTTGATGTGCTGTATACTGTGACTGGTAGATTTATCGAGTATCTGTTAGATGTGCTGTATACTGTGACTGGTAGATTTCTCAAGTATCTGTTTGATTTGCTGTATACTGTGACTGGTAGATTTCTCGATTATCTGTTAGATGTGCTGTATACTGTGACTGGTAGATTTCTCGAGTATCTGTTTGATGTGCTGTATACTGTGACTGGTAGATTTCTCGAGTATCTGTTAGATGTGCTGTATACTGTGACTGGTAGATTTCTCGAGTATCTGTTTGATGTGCTGTATACTGTGACTGGTAGATTTCTCGAGTATCTGTTTGATGTACTGTATACTGTGACTGGAAGATTTCTCGATCGTCTGTTTGATGTGCTGTATACTGTGACTGGTAGATTTCTCGAGTATCTGTTTGATGTGCTGTATACTGTGACTGGTAGATTTCTCGAGTATCTGTTTGATGTGCTGTATACTGTGACTGGTAGACTTCTCGAGTATCTGTTTGATGTACTGTATACTGTGACTGGTAGATTTCTCGAGTGTCTGTTTGATGTGCTGTATACTGTGACTGGAAGACTGGAGTGTCTGTTTGATGTGCTGTATACTGTGACTGGTAGATTTCTCGAGTATCTGTTTGATGTGCTGTATACTGTGACTGGTAGATTTGCTGGAGTGTGTTGTTTGATGTGCTGTATACTGTGACTGGTAGACTTTATTAATCCACTCGCCTGTAAATTCTCAAATAACGGTTTGATATGATGTCAACTGTGATTGTTAGACTTACATATATCCACTCACCTGTATATTATCGAGTATCTTTTTGATATTTTTATAATGGTGGTGACTCTCAATGTTAATCACTAATAGTCTTAGGATGAACAAGTTTTTTTGCTCCCCTACTTTTATATCATGGTTTTTATTCAGTGGCCAGAAGTGCTCCAGGAGACCTTGGATCATCTTTACAACAGGTGAGAAATGACATCAAAACTGATGATCTGGAGGTGGAGTCATCAGAAGAACATGTACAAGGCAGCGAAGTAACGTCTACATCTGATATTGTCACTTCACCAAGATCTCCAACTACTCCACGTTCTCCACTATCCTCATCAAGTGATGCAACCCCTCAGCCCTCCAGTCAGAAAACAGCAGTTGTCAGGTAAGACTTCTATACATTGTAAGATTTCATTCATTTCAAGATGTATTCTGTTTTCAGTTTTGAGAAGGCTTGATTTGGAAAAGTTGCATTGTACTTTGCAATAATTTAAGACCACCAGGAAGAATGGTCAAATGTAGTCTTGATAACATGGTGGTTCTGCAAGTGAGAATAACCATTTCAAGCTGGCGTTCAATTAAGATAAGGACTTATGTTATCAATCTGGAGTGGAGTGTGTAGCTCACATCGTCAGAGGGTTGGCTGTTTAAATCGCCCACCTCCGTAAACAATTCTCAGTATCACTATTTCTAGAGAAGTAATGGATTGATCTTTCTCCAATTTTATAGGTAGATTGCGCTTGGTTCCTAGATGTGCCTGTTTAATTTTTGAACTATTCAGACAAACAAAATGGCTTAAAGATAGGTGGCCATGGTTGATTTTGACAATGAACGTTTGGATAGATTTTTTTCAAATTTTGTATGTATGCTCCCTTTGGTCCTAATTTTGCTCTTCTAGTTTTAAAACTGATCAGAAAAATAAAATGGCTGAAAAGAATCCATATTTGATTTGACATGTTATAATTATTATTACTGGTGATATATTGCCTGTAGCCTGCTGGAATGACAGGTTGTCAATTTTTTTTAAAATGAATTACCTTGACCCAATTTTAAAGTCACTGGGTTCAGATGTCTTGAAATCTTCAAAATTCTTCCTCTCAATAAACAAAAGGCCCAAAGTATTTATATTAGGCATGTAGATGCTTGAATGATGAGTGTGTAAGTCTTTAAATGCATTGCAGAGAAATTCTTGTTGGCTGGGATGTGCAGCAAAAATTGAAACTGTTGAATTATCTCATTTGAAAGCAAGGGTCAGTGCAGTGATGCCTAGTGTTGCTTGTGTAAGGATGTATAGAAGATTATTTACAAATTGTCTTTCATTCACTTCAGTGAGGAGCCCTCATCGTCTACAACTGACGTAGCAAGTGACAGTGGAGAGGTCAAGGTTGATGTGACTTTGACAGTGAAAGAAACTAATGGGAGTGATGGCAATAACGTAGAGGAGACCCCATCATCGTCAACAGAGGAGGCTGTAGGAGCTGACAGTCCAAGGTAGGCCAACGTCTATTTCAACACAAGGAATAAAGTATGTGTTCATTTAGAGGATTTCAGAGGATTTCTTTTTTTGTTGTGTTCTTCCCAAGATGTTACAGTTCTTAATTATTTAAAAAAAAGAAGAAGAAGAAAATTCTTTATTACCGTTTTCTTGTGATGTTAAAGTATTTGATAAAGGGTTTGTTGATGTACCAAACTCTTTTATTGGTCTCCTGATAATGACCCATTTTCTGACTTGTTATGGAACTGATGTTTCAGTCTGTCAAAGGACTTGTCTCAGAAGACTATGGAGACCACTGATCATATAGGAACGAATGGCCCAGTAGACGTACCCCAGTTAATAGAGGAAAATGCTAGTCTGTCTCAGGAACAAGAGGGAAATAGGTGTGTTACCAGTTCAAAAATATGACCAAAAAACTGAGCTTCTCTAGGTATTCTGATTAGTACCACCTATGCAAACGAGTTGTTTTTATGAATTTCCTTAAATGTGAGTACGTAATTTGAGGTATAAACTGAATGATGTGTGGTCAAATACTGACTTTTAAGTACACGGACCAGGTATTAATTATGCATTCACTGAGATCAGCCTTGGTTATGATCTACATCAGCCTACTGAATTAGTCGATGACTTGTAAAACCATTATGAAAGTATATTTAAGTCCTAAAGCTACTGAAATTTCACTTACCTGTACACCAGAGGTAACTACTGCAAATGATAATGTGCGGGTATCTCCTTCATCCTCCTCATTTCTAATGTCAACATTTTCTGTCACTTTTTTCTGTTTTTGAAACTAGTGCGGAATAACTTTTATTAATTGCTGAAGTTATTTTATAAGATATTCCTTTTTGTTTTACAGTAATCAGGCCAAAGATTGCATAGAAAAGAAGGATAGTGCATCGGTCAGTGCCTCTCCAGCTACCAACGTTGTTCAGAATGGACCAGTTTGACTCCAAGTGTGAATCAAACTGCGTGTGAACCAGTGATCGGTTGGCAGCAAATTGTCACAATTAAAGCCTTAGAAATTCATGAAAAACAGTAAAATCTGTTGATGTTGGCCAAGGTCCAGTGAACTGCTCAGCAGTAATGTGACTCACTGAACGGTTCTTCTCAATGGATAATAGGGAAAATAAAACAAAAAAACTTGGGCTTTTTCATGCCCAGTGTTCAGTGATTAAACCAATACTTAAATCTACCAAACAAAGAATCAGACAGAAATCAGTATTGATATCTATTTATGGATTGCCATTGGAGAGAGTGGAATGTGTGACACTGAATGTGGATTGAGATACTGGTGGTCTGAGGAAGGCTGGTGTTGAGAAGCTCACAACCTGAGAGAGGTCAGTGTTGAGAAAAATTCTCCCCACCCTATGGTCAGCCACAGTCTGCTGTTGTGTGTTGGTGCTGTGTACATATACCACCTTAGAACAAGTTTGTGCTGACAATGAGTAGTGGAAACTTGCCAAAAAATATTTTTTATTCTAAAATGATAATACTTAAAACTATGAAAATAGAAGATAGAGAAAGTGATGTATATTTGATGCATGTTTTAACTAGTTATTGTCAGAGAGATTAGACCTTGGTTAAGATGGAGAGTCATCATGCCAAGTATATGTGTTGTATGTAACGTGAATTGAATCACTGTAGCTAGCTGTGATCACTGTGTACACTTTTCGCCAGACTTAGACTGGCCTTGGTATACACTTAGGGCTGCTTCTGCTCACTACTGGCAGGGCATTGGTCATTACTCATCTCATCATCAACCTCCTCATTTCTCATTGTACTCTCAATGTTACCTAACCAAGGACAGCGCTGTATTGTTACATCACTGACTTGGTGCTGGTGAGAACAAATGCTATTTATTGAAGTCAGAGTTGCATGTGTGATTGCCAAATTATCATTAATTCAACAGTACAAGTGCTGTTGATATTTGTTCCTGATTACATGTGTGTAAGGTTGAGGATGTGAGAGGATGGAATGCAAGTCAGATTCGACATGTGTTGACAGTTGGAGAAAGGAGTACTGTTTTAAATTACACAACTCAAATATCTGAAGAAATATTTTTGTCTGTCTGTGCTTGAATTACGACATTGCAAAATGTTTCAAAATTTTATTTCATTTTTCTTTTTTGATGAAGGAAGTCAAACCTTAATCTGAGGTGTATCTTAAGATCAATGTGATGTAAAACATGATTAAACTACAGGAGTGTTGTGTGTGAAGGTGAGGAATGGTTTCTGTGTCAGAAGATGGTTTACAAGATGTTCAACAAATCATAATTACTGTTCAAGTGTTGAGTAGAAGGTCCATTATTAACAAGGTTGTGATATGTTACTTGTTATTAGAGTCAAGATAGTCACATTTTGTACTGAACAAGTCTCTATTCCATAGCCACTCCCTCCGTTACAAAAACCTTCATTTAGGGTAAAACACTGCAAGAACCCAGGCCTCTGTGGTATCACCTGCCAGAGCCCTACCAAGACGGTTCATCACCTGTCAGAGCACTGACAAATATAAAATATATCCACATCTTATAACTATAAATAACTATTTCACCAATTAAAATCTTGTATCTTCATCAAAATTACCTTATCATTCATGGTATTGAATATTGCCTGGACTAGTCTTAAGGGTCAGAACATTTTTCTAATTATGTGCACAAATGAGTTTGATGATAATGCTGTTGAGCCGGGATCCCGGTGATGTCATTCTGGCTACTGTTTAACTAGCAGTGTTCATTTTCATGTGTTATCATTCTAGATTAATGAGATTACCTTTAACAATAAAACATAAAAAAAAATAATGATAATGTGTGTGCATATATGTTACTATTAATATTGGTGAATAGTGATATACTTTTCACTGTTCCATGCCTTGACCTTTTCACTTAAATACACTCATCCTAACAGTGAAACCTTGAGGTAACTGGGTTTAATATAACATTGCAGTCTTGTGTTGTTCATAATTGTCACTTGTCTGTTTTAACTAACATGAGCTGTGCTGGTCACTGTCATTCATGTTTTAAATAACAAGAGGCTCATTCTCACAACTCGTCCAAATAACGAGGGTCAACATTTTCTATCGTTTGGATATCAGTGGGACTAAACGGTCCCAGCAGGAACTACATGTATTTCTTACTGGGCTCTTACTTAATCTGCTTTACACACGGCTGTCAGGAAATACTGTGAACAATTCTCACTGCATATTTATACCTCAGGGACTGAAAATGTGCAAGGATATCAACGATTCATTTTCATATTGCTCTTTTCCTTGCTGTTTGTAAATACAAACAGTAAAACATTTAGAAGATAATCTAGAATTCTAGGTATATAGTTTGGAATATTGCTAGCAAAATGGTGTTAATGGTGTAAGTCTAACAGTGACAAACATGTAAACCCCAAAGGAGCATTGACCAGTCTTACCATTTAACAAGTAAATGCTTTAAGCAAAAGCCTAGTAACTGTGTAAGCCAAGGTGTAGCCAGTAGTGTGAACTGTTATATACTTTCTGATGATAATACTGTTCTGATTATTAGGTGCTGCAGTGTTTTGTACATATATTAACAAGTTTATTGCTCTGACACATTTGTGGCCAAGATGTTTTTTTTTTTTAACTCAAAAAGATTTTTAAACAATGTTTTTTGAGATTTGTCAAAATTTATACCTGTAGTCCTAGCATTCCTTTCCTTCATTAAGATAATGTGCTGAAATGCTGAATGTTTGATATAAATGCATTCCTGTGTTGATGCACGGGTGGGATGGTGATGATACAAATATGAAATAAGTGGTATGGAATTGAAAACGGTGTCGTGGAATACCAAGTGTTGATTACAGAATTTTGTAAAATGAATGTACTGGTGACTTAATTGACAACTAACTAAGAATATGCCTGTTTTCTCATTTTGGAAGTAATTAGCTCTCTCCATTAATACTCGTTATTCCACAGAGGATAGGAAATGGTACATTGTGTTATATTACGGTTCTATGTAATGAGAGTGGTACTATGAAGCTGGAAACCAAAGTTACAGAGAAGGACCCTGCTCTTCCATCATTTATTTACTTTGTTATGAGTGTTATTGCTTTACTCTTGTTTACTTCACACTTTTCCATCATTTTGTTTTTACTAAAATAATGTTGCTTTCACACTATCAGTTGTCATGTTTGGACCTTGATTTTGAAAAAAAGCAACAAGTAAGGATCAGGATTAAGGCTGGCCAGTGGAATGTTGGGCATATTTAGGTTTGAGTGGGCCAACCTAAGCTATCTAAAAGTAAATGGCTGAATATTATCTGTTTTCTGAATTTTTGGATAAAACAGTGATAAAACAGTTATTATGCACATTCAGTATGGGTTGAAATGGAACTTGTTGTGTATTTGATGGGAAATTCTGTAATTGTTAATTTTGAACATTGTAACTTTTCCCAAATTACGTACAGGTATTTATAGTGGCATAATTTTGTAATTTTGTACTACCTGGAATGTTACAATTCAGTTATGTGGAAGAGGCCTACAACTATCTGAGGTTAAATGATATTTATTACTTAACTAATGTTACTTTCTTAACTAAAAGTATCTTTGTCTAAGCACTTGATTTAATAATTATTTTGTTTTTCTAAAATAAATTAGTATTTATTACTGGACTTTCATTAACTTAAGATTTAACCATCATTGTGATTTACTAAAATTAAGGTATCTTTAGTTAAGTAATATTTATTACTGGACTTTCCTTACCTTTAGATATAACCATCATTGTGTTTTACTAAAATTAAGGTATCTTTAGTTAAGTAATATTTATTACTGGACTTTCGTTACCTTTAGATATAACCATCATTGTGTTTTACTAAACTTAAGGTATCTTTAGTTAAGTAATATTTATTGATTTACTATGCAACAGTGATGGTATAATGGTTAGAAGTATACCTTCTGTATAACTGGTTTAAATGACAGCAACACTCTTATATCTGGTTCCTAGGTTACTGTGTACTGAACCAGGAAAGGTTTGTTATCTGAACCAGAATGTTTTATACTGGTAGAATTTGAAGTGGTAAAACATGACATTATATGTACTTTATAGTGTTATTGGTTTTGTTGTACCGTTGTATCTGATATTTTATTAGTTTGTGTAGGTTGTCGGAGCAAACCTCTACATTACTAAGTTACACATTAACGTATATTAAAGTTAATGAAACATATCTATAACGAATGGCAATGCATATTGACATGATCTTTATTTAATTGAAGCACTAATTTGTTACTCATGCTGAAATGTAGAAAATACTCCAGTTAAGGTTAATTCATAAACTGACAGTTAAAATGATATCAATCAAAAACGCTTTGATGGCAAAAGTTGCCTAGAAGTAGTCCCACTATTACAAAAAGCAAAACAGGACAAATCTCACCATTAACTATGTTTGTAAACATATTTTTTGTGATATTAGTTTGTTCAATATTTTAGTCATATTTCCCCATCATTTCCCATGTTCCTTGTTGATAAGAGTTCTAGCATCATTTTATACTAATGAAAAACATTCCTGGAAATGCAATGATGTAGCTGTGCCATGCATGTGGAAGCAGAAGTCTTAATTTGATCTGTTGATCAAATTTGTTATGGTTTATTCCCATTTTCCTACCTTTATCTGACCAACACTACTTTGAGAGTTATTTTGAGTTTTTATTCAGACTAGTTTTATTATGGCCAGCCTCTGAATGTTTTTCTTTCCTTTTGTTTTCTACCTGTCTCTTCATTATATAACTAGCGCAACAATTTGCCTGTGATTTTACAATGAGTATAGTATTATCTATTCTTTGGACATACAGCTTTAGAAGCTCGTGTCTTGAGACATTGTTTATGTGGACAAGTTTTAATACTTTTTTTTATAATATCCCGTCTTTCTATGTACAGAACAGGGAACAGGGGTAGATAACTGGTCAGCATGTTACATGTATATAATTATATATTATGCAATTCCAGGGAAAGACATTTTAAAACTGCAGACATTGTAGATATATTGAATCACACATTTTGTTGATAATGAGAAAGTTACAAAAAAGTGTGACAAATGATGAAGCGTTGTAAATTTTTCAACAAAAAGTGTTTATTTTGTCTGATCATAGATATCCATTCAGATGTACATGTATGATAAATACAAGACTATATTAAACTGATGAAATATTTTATCTGCATTGTTTTGTTTTGTTAGCTGGCTTGAATGATAATTAATTAAATTGTCATGATGGGGGCATAAAGCCTTCACTATGTCTGTGGTTACCTTAAGTTACCTTAACCATTTTAAATGGTGCATCTTAACCTTATTGAATTCCCCAATCTTTGCTTCTGAAAGTTGCCTTAACCATATTCAATGTCCTATCTGTGATTCACCATATGAAAGGATAGGGCCATGTGAACAGATTAACCAAATTCTGCTGTATACATGACATACCAGGATAGATGTCCAAGAGCTTTGTCAGGTGCTTATGAATACACTGAACAAACAAGACTAGGGCGGTTTTGTTGAACACTTGCAACAGAGATATGCTGTCTCGAAGCTTAGCTGAACTATGCTGAGCATAGCCAAGCCAACTCATATATACTAAACAGAAAAAGAAAGGTAACACTACTTTATTCTGTGATTAATTAACCCCTTCATAAATCCTTACCAATCATGTACGACTCAAGTAATTGATCAATTCTGATAAAACTGCAGTCATGGTTCATTATAAAACTGTGCGTTAAGTTGATCTTATTCGACTGTAAAGGACGTTGGGGTCAATTTCAAAGGTAACACTATTAGTAACGGGTATGGCCACCGTTTGCGAAGTAAACAGCATTGCAGCGTCGTCGCATGGAACTCGTAAACCGGCGGATAATTCGAGGAGAGATGTTCCATTCAGCGATCAAGGCTTGGGCCAGCTCCTGGAAGTTTGACGGCTGATTTTGACGTACTCAAGAACGTCCCAGACATGCTCAATCGGTGACAAATCAGGTGATTTAGATGGCCAATCTAACACCTGTACGTTATTCTGCTGCAAGAAAGTTCTGCTGACGCGACTGGTGTGGGCTGGTGCGTTATCCTGTTGAAATATGGCGCCAACGCCATGGCGTCTTAAGAATGGCAGAACCACTGGTCTTAAAATTTCGTCCCGATATCGAATGCCGGTCAAATTGCCATTTAACACAACAAGCCTGGTACGAGTCCCCCCACAAATACCACCCCAAACCATTACACTTCCGCCGCCAAAGCGGTCCCGTTCTGCGACGCAGCAGTTCGCAAAACGCTCCCCTCGTCGCCTCCACACTCTGCGCCTTCCGTCACCGTGTTGCAGACAAAACCTGGACTCATCTGAAAACAGAACCTTGTTCCATTGTCGTAAGGCCCAACGACGGTGAACACGGGTCCAGTTACGCCGATTATTACGGTGACGTCGCAACAAATTGGGTCCAGTGTAGGGACGCCGCGCTTTCAATTGGTAGGCTCTCAACCTGTTGTGGACTATTTGGGGAGACACACGACGCCCAAACAATGTCCTTGTAGTCTCTACTGCGGTTACGAATCGATTGCGCAAGTGTATCAATCGTATACGACGGTCATCCCTGGCGGTCGTTTTACGGGGTCGGCCGCTTCGGGGACGATCGGATGTTGACCCAGTTTGGTTTAAACGACTTACCAACTGGCAAATTGTCTTAACACTGCAACCAAAATGCCTTGAATGATTTTGGTAACCCCCTTGGATTTTGCAATGTAAAACATTACCATTTTCTAATATTGCACAAACGTCATTTTGTTTTCACTCATTTACAGGTATTCGCCAAGGAAACATGTTAACCTTTCTTTTTTTGTTGAATATAGTGCCTACTTACAGGTTTGTCATATTTGCATCCTTTAGTATCAACAAAGCATGTTATTATTAGTCCTCCGCTGGTGAAACCGGAAGGAACTACAGTGTCATCTGTCTGTTTTGGTTTCCAGAAGAAAACTTGAGGAAGGTATGCCCGATTAGGTTGAAACTTGATACAATTTTAGTTTAGTTCGAGGCCTATGTGGTATTGTGTTTGGGGTCAAAAAGTCAACTACAAAGGTCAGTTGCTAAATTTAGCTTTTTGGTTTCCAGATGATAACAAGAGTTAGGGATGACTAAAATGTACCAAAGTTGGCCCCAGACTTCAGTCCCGTTGTGTGAAGGTACAATGTACCAAAGTTGGTCCCAGACTTCAGTCCCGGTTTGTGAAGGTACAATGTACCAACGTTTGCCCCAGACTTCAGTCCCGTTGTGTGAAGATACAATGTACCAAAGTTGACCCCAGATTTCAGTCCCGTTGTGTGAAGGTACAATGTACCAACGTTGGTCCCAGACTTCAGTCCCGTTGTGTGAAGGTACAATGTACCAACGTTTGCCCCAGACTTCAGTCCCGGTGTGTGAAGGTACAATGTACCAACGTTTGCTTCAGTCCCGTTGTGTGAAGGGACTTCAGTCCCGGTGTGTGAAGGTACAATGTACCAACATTTGCCCCAGACTTCAGTCCCGGTGTGTGAAGGTACAATGTACCAACGTTTGCCCCAGACTTCAGTCCCGTTGTGTGAAGGTACAATGTACCAACGTTTGCCCCAGACTTCAGTCCCGGTGTGTGAAGGTACAATGTACCAACATTTGCCCCAGTATTCAGTACCGTTGTGTGAAGGTAAAATGTACCAAAGTTGACCCAAGTCTTCAGTCCCGTTTTAGAGGAATGTGTTGAACCAAGACTGGCCCCAGATTTAGCCCTGTTTTAGGGGAGTGCAATGTACAAAAATCACTTGTGTACCCGTTAAGGAATGGTCTATTCAAGATGGCGAACGTAGACGGCCACAAAATGTAGGTGTTCATTCTAAACTAAAAAAATCACTTGTTTTATTCATATACAATACGGCCGAGACAAGTACCACGCGAAACTCAGAAATACTCGAAATGAAAAACACTAGTTGTATGGTGTTGTTATGGTCATAAATAATTGTGAGCTCTTCGCAAAGTCGAGAGAATTGTTGAATTCGGCATCGAGTGGGGACTTGCTGTGAAATTTGCTCATGTCGAAATATTTAAACAGTGTAAGGTTTATTTGCATTATCAGGGAGATACTCTAATTAGATCCCATTTTAAGCGAAATATAATTGATGCTCATCGCCCTGTAATATTCACAAAAACGAAGGAAAACAACCTTGTTAGCGTTACGGACTGGTCCTCAGAAATAAAGAGCAACTTCAACAGAAAAAGTTACGGGTGTGTTCCGAAGACAGACCCGTTTCGGTTATGGATTGGTCCAATAAATGACTTATATCTTCAGTACATTCATATTTTGGTTTCAAATCGTAAAACTATGACAACGTGATAGTCAAGATTTGCTATGCGAGTTAGTATTTTGGTTAATTTTAGGGAACAAAAATATGGTTATTAACAGAAACCAGTCGATTTTGATTAAAGGCAAACTAAAGTATACTAAATTATGCAATTGATTCAAACGTCATGTGATGTTGTCAACTAACATACATATACATATATATGTAATAACATTACATGATATAGGTAAATGTATAGACCTTCTTTCAACAAAAACGCCAATATCGCGTTGGGTTGTCCACTTGGTCGAAAAATGTTACGAACAGACAAGAGCAGAGCACGTCATCAATAAATCGGACTGAAACACAAAAGTCATCTAAATACCTGCAAGACATTAGCCAGAGTACCAGCTCACGGTTAGTTCACCACATCGTGGAATGCGAATCGCTTTTATTTTTTTTTAACCCTTTTTGACTGTGTAGATAAGGTACAATGTTGAACCATTTACAGATAATAGACGAGTTTCACAATGTCACTTTAGTACCTTGCGACAAGAGAATTCTTCGACAATTAGGCACAGGGAGTCAAAACTTCCCTTATGTAATGACTTGCGATGTAGAAGTGTGTGATATTGTCTTGTAGAGTGTAGTTTACGGAAATTAAGTGTTGTTGCATTAACGTGTTACTAGAGTACAGTGTCTGATAAAAAAATGGAACTGGTTGTTATGTACGTTCCGTTTCTTTGATGAACCGGGGCCAAACTTTCAGATACGATTTGGCATTCTATTATTACATCTATCGAAATTAATTGTCTTGTTTGTCGGTGCACGTTTCGCAGAGACATGAGACCATGCGAAGCGAGACCGGTTTATAACTGGCCCTAGGATTTGCGGACGTTATGCGATTACGAATGTAACTTTCTTTGATTCACATCTGATTTATTATCTGTCAAAGATTTTTCTTTTCTTTCTTTAATACGAAAATAAATAAGATATACACAATTCAAAAGACATAATATGACTCTTCTCCTAGTGATATGGAACATTCACGTAAAACATCAGATGAAATTGTTTTGTGAAATAGGTCTGTTAACGTAGACGATGTCTGATTCCTGATATGATTCTGTTTTAATGTTACGTTACTCCGAGAAATTTTATTTTCACACGTTGAAGCCATAGCGAGGCTTTATTTCTTTCTGATGACTGTACCAACATGAAAGGAGGCACCAGCAGCTGACGTAACGTTTTGTTTAATTAAAAAGTGGAAAATTCGGAACTTCAGGAAAAGCAGTACATTTGTAATTTTCGAATGTGAATTTCACTGCCGCGACTGATATCTAAATTCAGAATAATCGATGTTTTTGTTTATTTATCTATTTTTTTGTACAGTTTTTTTCCATTTATGGATCGGACCAGAAAATTTCGGGAGCATTCTAGTTAAATGTCTTACACATATTATGCAGATACGTAGGTACAGGCCTAAAACTGGTTCTTCGAGCTCCGGTTAATTTCGTTTATTTTATTACCGTTTTATATTGACAGAAAACTCCGGAAGTTCCCACGAATATTGCATTTGCTTTTAACGACCCCGTCCGTGTTAAGCCTTCATTGACAAGGACTGCAAGCGTTAAATGACTCTGACTAAAAGTGGAAAATGGCGGACGACGATGGCGATAAGTATGTACAGTAGATATTTTAAATAATTTATACACAATTTACACGCTTTGGATAGAAAATTATCATGAAATTTCAGAAATAAACTTCAGGAAGTAAGGTAGTTCAGAAATAGCTGTTGTAGATGTGTGATATTCCGTTCGTTACTCATGTTATTGCACAATGAGAGCCATGCTTTATCTATATTTAGAATCAAGGCACTTCTTCGTGATACTGGGATAAAAGTGAAAAAAATCTGAGCTGAGCGTTAAAATTTATATAGATTTTATATATTGCACAGCTGTAAGTCTATAATCTGGTTTGTAAATGGCATTAAGCTTAACTATATGAAAAATGTAATATAAATTTGCATTACAGTTTTGATGAGGATTTAGATGAAGTAGAAGATGAAGAGCCATTGGATGAACCCATCAGTCAGGTATTACCAGAAATTTGCATATGAAATCACAATATACGTATTTTTCAAATGTAACATTAAAAAAAAAAGTTTTATTCATGTAATGCTTAGTATTAGAGTAAATTAATCCTTTTAATTACAGTGGATTCATATGAAAATTCTTTGTGAATGAAATAAGACAAATCTTTTCTGTGTTTGCTTAACAAAGGCAGAAAAAAGTGAAATGTCCAATTAATTCAGTCAGTTGTTTCTAATTTGTAAATTATTTCCTACTTGAATATAAACAGCCACAAGACCAGGTTGAAGTACTGTCCTCAGATGCTGGTCTTGCAGTTCCACCAGAGAAGAGAATCACTACACCATACTTAACTAAATATGAAAGAGCAAGAGTGCTTGGCACAAGAGCACTGCAAATAGCGTATGTATTATTGAAAGTGCAAGTTCAGATTAGTGTTTCCTGTAGGTTGACTTGCAATATAAAAAAAAACTGTGCATGTATATTGAATAAGTAGATTATGTTAAGCATTTCATATCAACAATGACTGACAGGTGGTCATCGTCAGTTTCGAGAATCATAGGTTGTTGATGCTTTTTCTGTAGAAACGTTGGAAGGATTATTTTCAAATTTCATATGTAGGTTTGCCTTGGACCCTAGTTGTACATAGTTTATTTGGGACTGATAGAAAAGCAAGATGGCAAATAGGTAGCAATCTTGGTTTTGACAGTCATGGTTTATCACTATTTCTGGAGAAGAACTGAATAGATCATTCTTGATATATATAGGTTCCTGTTGCCCCTTCATGCATAGCCCTATTTGGGGCTAATTTGAGAAACAAAATGGCCAACAAGGGACTATCTGAGATTTTTTACAGTCATAGTTTGTTATGGCTATTTTTTGAGAAACATATGATGGATTTTTTCAAATTTCTTTTGTAGGTTCCCCTTGGTCCATAGTTGAAGTGCCATGATTTTGGGACTGATCAGAAAAACCAAATGGCTGAAAAGCATCCATCTTTTATTTTGACAATGAAAAACTGTTATCACTATTTCATTTGAAAAAGAGGATAGATCTCTTTAATATTTCATATGTAGGTTTCTTTTGGTCTCTAGTTGTGTCCTTTTGATTGAAGAAACTATTGGTTAAAGGTGTTGGCCTTTGTAACCTCAGGTATAGATCAGAGGTGGATGGTGGTTTGTTTTTTAATGAAGCTGTGCTGATATGGTTATGTGCTTGGGCTAGACACTTTCTCCAAATTGCTTTGGTTGGTATGTGAAGGTCCTCCTGTATGTTGTTTAGTGAGGTAGCCACCAGCTACAAGGAGAGTTGATGTTGTATATAATTATAGAATGCGTTCCTTTAATATGATGTTTATATTTACATAATGTGTGCTTTTAATATGATGTTTACATTTACAGAATGTGTGCCCCTGTGATGGTAGAATTGGAAGGAGAAACAGATCCTCTGCTCATTGCCATGAAGGAGTTGAAGTAAGTTTAAAGAGGTCAAATTTGTGTATTAATTTAGCAATTTTTATGTGCCGGGCACTGCCCATCAAAAACATTTTAAAGCCTGTAATGTCTGTCCATCCCTAGTAAACTTTTATTTGTCCACAGATCTCCTTCAAGTTTTCAACTGATCTCTTTCAAACTTGGTTAGCTTAATCACCATGACATGAAGTTGTATTTTCCTGAATGACAGTTTGATTTGACTTATAAGGAAGAGTTACATCCCCTCGTTGCTTTCATCATATTAATTTTGTCCAGAGGTCTCCCACAGATTTGAACTGAGCTTTTTCAAACTTGGGTGGCGTAATCACCATGACATGAAATTGTGCTTTTCATGTTTTCCTGAATGGCAGATTGCTTCTTCTGTATTCGGAAGAGTTACCACTCTTTGTTTTCATGATATTTATCTTGTCCGAGATCTCCCACACTTGCCGACTAATTTGGAACTTGGTAGGCTTAATTACAATGAAATTAAAAAATTGTGAATAGCAGTTTGATACAACAGTATTTGGAAGAGTTACTACCCCATGTTGTTTTCATAATATTAATTATTAGATTAAGACCTCCTCCTCTCTTAGGATGGTGATCTTTCACCTCCATTAATGCTTTATCACAATGCTGCCTTGAATGTCAAGAGCTCAATTTACCAATAAGAAGATAAAGATAATATTTGCATCGTGACTACTAAAATAATTATGGAGTAGTTTTTATTTATGATTGTAATTTACTAGTCTTAATGATAGAAGTAATGTCTTGTTCGGTTTCCTTAGACGATACAATGAAAGTCATGCATTAAATTTGAATTGCAGAATAATGATCTTCAATTTTTTCAGAGCGAGAAAGGTTCCACTCATCATTCGACGCTATCTTCCTGATGGAAGTTTTGAGGATTGGGCAGTGGATGAACTTTTAATGACAGAATGAGAGATTCACTTTAAAGCAATTTTCATTTCCATAAGTGTGTAAGGCATAGAGTTGGCAGTAAAAGAAAAAGATGAATGTTGTTTGGATCAGAGAGTGGTTGGAAGAAAGTCCATTTCAGAAAGTTGATTTCATTTTAATTGTAAATTTGTGTTTCTCTAAGATATTAAACAAATTTTATAATGTGTTTTGAGTTATTGTTGTCTTTACACAATATACTGGTATTTGATTTTTTCCACACCTTTGTCTCGTAACCTGCTCCTCCATTTACCTATGATGATTTCATTCAAACTTTTATAACTGAAATGAAACATGTTATCAGCTTAAATAAGTTACCAATTTTAGACCAATTAAATGAGCAAAATTGACTTGGATGTAAAAAGCAACATAAGTACACAGGATAAAGAAAACCCAAGGAATCCAAAGCCTTGTCGTTGTCTTTGCTTTATAGTGTAGTCTTCCAATTAACTTGTTGGGAGGATGTAAAGACATCATGCCCTAACTTTTGTCGCCAGACCTTGCAATAAGACCAAAAATTGTAAAATATCTATATTTCCTGTTACCTGACCATCCCCATTTTTATACGTCCGTCACAATCGATGTATGGTTGGTAAGTTCAACATATTGCACTTTTTTCCTTTTAAACATGTAGACTCGATACTAATATTTCCCTTCTCTTGCTTAATGCATGGATAACTTTCAGCCGAATTTGGTCTCCAACATCATTTGGGGTGGGAAACTATTTCCTGCTTTCAGAAAATTGATTCGACTCCTAGGGACATTTGGTTCAGGGCCCCAAAGGGAAAGTTAGACAATATTTTGCTCAGAAATGCTACTCTTCCTTAAGTTTAATGCTTGAATGGACTAAATTAAAATTTTGTCTGAACCATAATTAGGGGTGGGAAATTGATGATGAAATTCAAAGAGATGATTTGACCCTTCGGGATGTAGGAGTGGGGCATCATAAGGGGAAGTTGAGCAATATCTGACATCAAAGAATGTTACTCTTTTTTATTGTCTGGATAGATTTCAATCAAATTTGTTCTGAAAACATCATTATAATTGGGAAATTATTTCTTGGGGACTTTGACAATATTGTCGTAATCATCGTTAGGGGTGTACTATCCATTCTTAAACTCAGAAAGTTGATCTGACCCCTATGAACTAAAGAGCAAGGTCCTAAAATGGGAAGTTCAACAATATTTTGCTTCAAAACATAACTTCCGTAAATTATGTCCAAATCATCATTAGGAATGGGCAATTAATTCTTGAATTCGGAGTGTTTCATCAAAGTGTCACAGCCAAAGTGACCTTATTTACTGTACAGCACACTGATATCAGAAGATGCATCCATGGCACAACTATTCATTGTACTTACAAATGATGGAAGAAATATGACATGATCAACAGTGAAGGCAAAGTTAAGGTACCATCTTAATATGTTATTTACCACCATCCAACGGTTAAGTCAATCAATGTGTGACATATACCAAATATGTTAAATAGTAAAGGAACTATGCCCAAACATTTCAATTATCAAGACCAAAAGGTCAATGTCACAATTACATCAACATAATCTCACTTTGTAACACTTGCAGCCATAGCTCCATCCATGGTACAAAAGTTAAAATGTATGGTCAAATGGTATAGGAAATATGGCCTCAGCAGGGTCTTGTATAGACCAAAAGACAGGATGCAAACCTACCATCTCCCCTGGTTCCCTGGGGTTGGGGAGACTCTTCACTGTCAAATATATACATGATGATAAGGAAAAACACACAAAGCAAAGATTCAGTTTTCAAGAATTTTATTTCAGAAATGGAAGAGTTGAAAATGTGGAGATGAGTCCACCAGAATGATGAAACCTTCCTAGTTACCTAACTATTATATCCTCCCGTTAGAGCTGAACAGATTTATAGCAAAAATACCCAGAGATATATTAGTTTGTCTTAGAAAATAAACAAATAATGATAACCCATATAAGGAACTGAAATATCAGTGTTTTAGTAAAGAGATGTAAATAACCTATTATTTCAGAAATTTGTTAATTAAATGCAGTTGTTCATAAAAATTGAGATGTCCACAGCTAAGTACAGCAAGAATAGCAGTAACATTTTATCTATATCAGGTGGTACAATATATAGGACTTTCTTTTAAAGAGCAATATCACCCTATATCTGTGGTTATCAATTAGTATTGGGGGAAAAAAGAAGGACAATCCCTGTCCATCCTATAGCACTATATCTGGTTTGTCACTTAAAAATGATGAAAATTTGGGATTCATCGAACTTTCTATACCATTGATTGTAATGTTTAACAATAACCATGGAAGTCTGACGGAAGAAAAAGCAAAACTATGTTAAGTGCCAATAATTACATGTACATAAAGATTAATGGCTGTGTGCATTGACTTAGTATCCATTTAAACATACTGTAACATTTTTACACCCTATTTTAATAAAAAAAAAAACTGGCCTTGAAAGCCTTGTACATTGGTTAAAGATTGAATGTATTTGTAAATAACCTGTTACAGCTAGTATTGTGTTTCTGATATCTAACCTTATATATCTATAATAGTCCTTCATATAGTGTGGGACTCTTGTATAATAAATAAACACTCTCTCTACCACACACACTGATAACACTCTCAACCACCTGTGGCAAGATTCACCAGCTCGCCACCATTTATAGTAATTGTCGAAAATTTATTAATGATATATAAAGCATCTTTGCTACTGGAGGATAACAGTATTCTTTCCTCCAGGGAATCAACTGAAACCCTAGGTGAAGACACATGTCAGAATATTCTTTTAAGCATATTTATTATCACCTATCCAGACTGACAATAAAGATGTACCGAGACCATCTCACATCCTAACAAAACCTAGTTTTACAAGTTCATCCATCTTTAATACTGCAGCAGTGTTTTAAAAAGTTTTGAATGATGCAAGAAAGCTATACAGCTATAGAGTCATACAGATTTATATTAACGACTTTATTAATAAATTGTAAGAACATCATCAATTCTATGTTTCACCTGTACTAAAAGTATCAAAGAATACAGAATGAGATATGGTATTCACTGTTTGGTCTTCAGTACTTTTCAGTATCACTGTCAGTGTTAGGTCATCAGTACTTTACAGTACCCCTGTCGGTGTTAGGTCATCAGTACTTTACAGTATCCCTGTCCGTGTTAGGTCATCAGTACTTTACAGTACCCCTGTCAGTGTAAGTACTTTACAGTACCCCTGTCAGTGTTAGGTCATCAGCACTTTACAGTACCCCTGTCGGTGTTAGGTCATCAGCACTTTACAGTATCCCTGTCGGTGTTAGGTCATCAGTACTTTACAGTACCCCTGTCGGTGTTAGGTCATCAGTACTTTACAGTATCCCTGTCGGTGTTAGGTCATCAGTACTTTACAGTATCCCTGTCGGTGTTATGTCATCAGTACATTACAGTACCCCTATCGGTGTTAGGTCATCAGTACTTTACAGTATCCCTGTCAGTGTTAGGTCATCAGTTTGACTGGTTGGATGAGGATAAGGATACACCTACTAGTTCTTTGTTTTGTCAAGAGCCTTACCTAAAACTTCCAAGGCCAGTGTGAACATGTGCTTGTCTTTCACAATATATGCCTAAAAATTCACATTTAACATAGAGATGAAATGGTTTATCCATGTCAACAATCAAGTCCCTGTATTCATAGTGGGTACCTCTTAGATATATTCATATGTCTGTCTACTTAAAAAATCCTGGTCATATGTGTTTAAATTCAAAGCAGACCAGTCCCTACAAAACTATGCTCAAGTGTCAACAAGACTTTACCTAGGAAATATATATACAGCCAGAAATAAAGTCGCACTCTAACTGGAGAATGTCTGAAGGGAGAGTGTGTTATTGGTTAAGAAGCACCCATTGTTACAATATCTTCACCACTTTGTAGTGGTCTCCACATCCATATTAAACACCTATTGAACTTTCTCACAGATTTATAACATCTATCCACATATGTATTTAATAATACATCTCATTAATGTAAAAACTCTAACACTAACACTCCTAGAGGTCTATAAAATATAATCATGGTAGAAAAAGATTACTGACAGCTAGGCTGTCATGAAAAATTTTAACAAATGCCAGCATAAAGCAATTAAAAATAGACATAATCATACCATAGTGTGGTATGTTTGCCATTAATTAATCTATTTATGAAGCACTGTACAATATTATAACATCTGAACCAGTGGCAGTATGCATGATTTATGTATTAACAAAATTCACACCTAGTGTTACATTAAAATAAAAACTATTTACATAATGTTAATATATCAAGAACAGTTAAACACACTCAGGACCTTTGTAAACAATACCTGGTTATTCTTACTTTTGACATTGATCACTTTTTCAAAACATATACCAGTAAATGTACCAGTACTGGTTGATAATTCAGGTTTCTATCTTAGATTCATACTTATATCATTTCAGTAATATCTCCAGTAACAATACCTTTAATATTAGAAAAATACAGTGACTATCATGTCATTGGGAGGTCTCTGTATCACAAAAATCCAACATATTCTTACAATGTAAGAAATTTGTGGGACAAATTTAACAAAAAATGTTGATCCATCAGTGCATCACAAAATTTTAAACAGTTGCCTCGGTATAAAGGAAGAACTTTTAGGTGAATAAGATATTGTATGAGGTATTAATCAAGGTCCAAAGTGTGTTTAATTGAAGATTTCTTGCTTCCAAAAGTCAGTGAAAGCCCATGGATTGTATCTTACATTTTTTGTTACCTCATTTGTAAATACATTTAAAGTAAGATTTATGTTGATTATACATTTTTTCTGTTACATGTATTTTCATCTTTTAGGGAAATCAAACTGTTTTTTAAGATGTTAATGAAATAAAAAAATGATTTGAAGGAGATCATTGGGAATTGAATGAACATCTCAAAAGTTTCAATTGTACAGGATGTTTGCTATGGTATTGGTGCTGAACAGAGTAATCACTGAATGATTATCACTTTCCTCATTTCAATATTGTTATTTATCAAAATAACACTTTGTTTGCCATACATCCCTATTTATCAGTACATGTATTTTAAGACAAGAAAACGTCCCTGATTGCAGCTTACTTCAACAAAATAAGCTCTAAACTGAAGTCAAATAATGCATTGCATAATTCAAAATTCAGTTTAGTTATTTGTTAAGCAGTATCCCTTATTCTCTGATACCCTTATGTTGCTATGGTAAAACATTTCAACTAATTCACTGTATTAGGTATAGCAAAGAGGTTGCTAAACAGTCTTTTTGTTTTGGTTAAAAATCCCTTTTTTCCCTTACATCCTTGCCATCATCTAGATTTGCCATTATCATGAAGATTAATGTTTTACCTGAGGGCAATTAACTTCAGAGTTAGAGACACAATCCTGCTTATTTGTGATGCAGAGGTGGTAGGGTAGCAGATAGTAAGTAAAGGTCTGATTCACACAACAAAGAAGATATAGATGAACATATGTTGATCCTCCCAATATGTCTCTAGAAAATACAATATTCAAAACAGTTCAAACATGAATTCATCCAATAAAATATCTACCCAACCCCAGCACTCCAAAATATATCACTTCCTATTCATGTCTGGGTTTATTGTAAATCAAATGGAAATTATTTACAACACTTGAAACTCCATGAAAAAGAAATTTTCCACTTTCTCCATTTATTTTTGTGTTGGAAAAATAACTTGAGTATTAATGCTTTCTTACAGAAAATCTAGACAATATTCTTAGGATATTGAAGTTAAGTAAGAAGTCCTCTGGCTGGATATTTTACAAGAGTAGCTCTTTAGTAAGGAGTCCTCTGGCTGGATATTTTACAAGAGTAGCTCTTTAGTAAGGAGTCCTGTGGTTGGATGTTTTACACGGATAGCCCTTTACACAACTTTAGTAAGGATTCCTGTGGTTGGATGTTTTACACGGATAGCCCTTTACACAACTTTAGTAAGGATTCCTGTGGTTGGATGTTTTACAGGGATAGCCCTTTACACAACTTTAGTAAGGATTCCTGTGGTTGGATGTTTTACAGGGATAGCCCTTTACACAAATTAAGCAAGGAGTCCTCTGGTTTGATGTTTTCAGGGATAGCCCTTTACATAACTTGTAAAAATACAGATACAAAATAATTCAAATTGAAGTTTTTATATTTCAATGTTTTTTTCTCATGTTAACCATGCTACAGTTTTTTATTTAGTAGAGAGTCAACCCATAGATTCTGAATATTCCTGATACAAAACTACAACACAAATAAACATTTACTGGTAAGCCCAATAAGTCTGTAGGAAAATGTTCTTAGTTTGGTTTTCAATATTTATTTCTATATTGATGATTTTGTGTTGAACCCGTAATCATGTATACACACAATTCATTTGTTCTCTTGACTTATTCAGTATAATTCTATACAAGACTTGAAATATTGCAGACAATGAAATGCTTTCAAGTTGATATTTGTAAAGTTATAGCGATGCAGACATTACAGTGAGGGTTATAATCTATCAATACTTGCCAAACTGATATAGGTCGCTGTGACTTATCTAAACTGATTACAAAGAGTAAGTGTCATAACTCTGTGAAATAACTATAAATGTGATACAATAAGTCCCAAGGTTAAAAAGGCTCTAGCCTCTGGAAGTCGGAGTAGAACCAAGTTCTTGGAGATGGGTATGTGGCACCACAACCGTAAGTACCAGGAGTAGAGCCATGTTCTGTATCTGGGTAAGAGAGGTGTACCTGGGTTGTGGGAGGAAAAGGCCATCTCTTTCTTCCTGCAGTAAGTAGTTTTCTACTTGATCCTGTCAGGATGACCATCTGGTACAAAGTCTGAGGTGGCACGTTTTCATGAGATGGAAGGAGCTTGGGACAGCTATCCAACACTTGTTTTGTAGGAAGGGCACATAATCCCCAGCGCCACAGCTAATGAGACGTGATTCCAGCAGTTCCGTACTTCATTTGAATGTCAGCCAGTCGGTTATCAACAGTCAACACCAAAGTCCTAAACATTCCTGTAACGAAACTCAGCTGTCGACTAAAAGCACACATGGCCACCTTCAGCTGCCACAATGCCAGACTTTGACAAGCCCCAGTCTGTTGGTTAACACGGATTGCCATACTTTTTCACAGTATAATTGAACCATATGTTTATATTCAGGGCTGCTGTTTAAGTCATGGCTTTGGCGTAGAAAGAGCGAAATTTCATGTGACAGAGCTACACGGACAATCTATGCCATGTAGATGAACATGTTTATATTGTCTTCGTCCCGGCGCATATATTTGTGTTCTATTAACCACTCTATTTGCTCCTTGATGAGTTTTTTTGAGGGTAGAAACATGTTCCGTAGAATCTCTACCAGTTCTGTCTGTAAGGCAGCATTTGTAATGTGCTTCCTCATCTTCATGATCTTCACAATGGCTTCCTATTAACATGAAAAGTTTGACTGTAAATATATACTAAAAACTACTATACTTTCATTTAAACTCTATACCAATGGATGGACAGAATATCTAACATAACTTTTCTCATTTACAAGATGTTAAGAGGGACTATCCTATTCTTCTGTTACAAAATGGATGGAGAAAATGTCATACTTATCACCTGTAACCAAGTTTGGACAGAGAACATCAAACATAACCTGTACTCAGAGGATTGTCAGAGAGGACAGAGAACATCAAACATAACCTGTACTCAGAGGATTGTCAGAGAGGACAGAGAACATCAAACATAACCTGTACTCAGAGGATTGTCAGAGAGGACAGAGAACATCAAACATAACCTGTACTCAGAGGATTGTCAGAGAGGACAGAGAACATCAAACATAACCTGTACTCAGAGGATTGTCAGAGAGGACAGAGAACATCAAACATAACCTGTACTCAGAGGATTGTCAGAGAGGACAGAGAACATCAAACATAACCTGTACTCAGAGGATTGTCAGAGAGGACAGAGAACATCAAACATAACCTGTACTCAGAGGATTGTCAGAGAGGACAGAGAACATCAAACATAACCTGTACTCAGAGGATTGTCAGAGAGGACAGAGAACATCAAACATAACCTGTACTCAGAGGATTGTCAGAGAGGACAGAGAACATCAAACATAACCTGTACTCAGAGGATTGTCAGAGAGGACAGAGAACATCAAACATAACCTGTACTCAGAGGATTGTCAGAGAGGACAGAGAACATCAAACATAACCTGTACTCAGAGGATTGTCAGAGAGGACAGAGAACATCAAACATAACCTGTACTCAGAGGATTGTCAGAGAAGACAGAGAACATCAAACATAACCTGTACTCAGAGGATTGTCAGAGAGGACAGAGAACATCAAACATAACCTGTACTCAGAGGATTGTCAGAGAGGACAGAGAACATCAAACATAACCTGTACTCAGAGGATTGTCAGAGAGGACAGAGAACATCAAACATAACCTGTACTCAGAGGATTGTCAGAGAGGACAGAGAACATCAAACATAACCTGTACTCAGAGGATTGTCAGAGAGGACAGAGAACATCAAACATAACCTGTACTCAGAGGATTGTCAGAGAGGACAGAGAACATCAAACATAACCTGTACTCAGAGGATTGTCAGAGAGGACAGAGAACATCAAACATAACCTGTACTCAGAGGATTGTCAGAGAGGACAGAGAACATCAAACATAACCTGTACTCAGAGGATTGTCAGAGAGGACAGAGAACATCAAACATAACCTGTACTCAGAGGATTGTCAGAGAGGACAGAGAACATCAAACATAACCTGTACTCAGAGGATTGTCAGAGAGGACAGAGAACATCAAACATAACCTGTACTCAGAGGATTGTCAGAGAGGACAGAGAACATCAAACATAACCTGTACTCAGAGGATTGTCAGAGAGGACAGAGAACATCAAACATAACCTGTACTCAGAGGATTGTCAGAGAGGACAGAGAACATGTCAGAGAGTCAGAGAGGACAGAGAACATCAAACATAACCTGTACTCAGAGGATTGTCAGAGAGGACAGAGAACATCAAACATAACCTGTACTCAGAGGATTGTCAGAGAGGACAGAGAATATCAAACATAACCTGTACTCAGAGGATTGTCAGAGAGGACAGAACATCAAACATAACCTGTACTCAGAGGATTGTCAGAGATATATAATGATTATTGTGGACCACCAGTATCATCAGATTTCAACTGACACGGAAAATTGTCAGTCGACAAAAAAGCTTGTAAAATCTCACCTGTACTCTGAGGAATGTCAGTGGACCATAATGACTGTAAAATCTCACCTGTACTCGGAGTATTTTCAGTGGACTATAATGACTGTAAAATCTCACCTGTACTCTCAGCATTGTCAGTGGACCATAATGACTATAAAATCTCACCTGTATTCGGAGGATTGTCAGTGGACTATAATTACTATAAAATCTCACCTTTACTCGGAGGATTGTCAGTGGACCATAATGACTATAAAATCTCACCTGTACTCTCAGCATTGTCAGTGGACTATAATGACTATAAAATCTCACCTGTACTCGGAGGATTGTCAGTGGACCATAATGACTATAAAATCTCACCTGTACTCGGAGGATTGTCAGTGGACTATAATTACTATAAAATCTCACCTTTACTCGGAGGATTGTCAGTGGACCAAAGTGACTGTAAAATCTCACCTGTACTCTCAGCATTGTCAGTGGACTATAATGACCATAAAATCTCACCTGTACTCGGAGGATTGTCAGTGGACCATAATGACTGTAAAATCTCACCTGTACTCGGAGGATTGTCAGTAGACTAAAATGACTATAAAATCTCACCTGTACTCTCAGCATTGTCAGTGGACCATAATGACTATAAAATCTCACCTGTACTCGGAGGATTGTCAGTGGACCATAATGACTGTAAAATCTCACCTGTACTCGGAGGATTGTCAGTAGACTAAAATGACTATAAAATCTCACCTGTACTCTCAGCATTGTCAGTGGACCATAATGACTATAAAATCTCACCTGTACTCTCAGCATTGTCAGTGGACCATAATGACTATAAAATCTCACCTGTACTCTCAGCATTGTCAGTGGACCATAATGACTATAAAATCTCACCTGTACTCGGAGGATTGTCAGTGGACCATAATGACTGTAATATCTCACCTCTACTCGGAGGATTGACAGTGGACTATAATGACTATAAAATCTCACCTGTACTCGGAGGATTGTCAGTGGACTATAATGACTGTAAAATCTCACCTGCACTCGGAGGATTGTCAGTGGACTATAATGACTATAAAATCTCACCTGTACTCGGAGGATTGTCAGTGGACCATAATGACTGTAAAATCTCACCTCTACTCGGAGGATTGTCAGTGAACTATAATGACTATAAAATCTCACCTGTACTCGGAGGATTGTCAGTGGACTATAATGACTATAAAATCTCACCTGTACTCGGAGGATTGTCAGTGGACCATAATGACTGTAAAATCTCACCTCTACTCGGAGGATTGTCAGTGGACTATAATGACTATAAAATCTCACCTCTACTCGGAGGATTGTCAGTGGACTATAATGACTATAAAATCTCACCTGTACTCTCAGCATTGTCAGTGGACCATAATGACTGTAATATCTCACCTCTACTCGGAGGATTGTCAGTGGACTATAATGACTATAAAATCTCACCTGTACTCTCAGCATTGTCAGTGGACCATAATGACTATAAAATCTCACCTGTACTCTCAGCATTGTCAGTGGACCATAATGACTATAAAATCTCACCTGTACTCTCAGCATTGTCAGTGGACCATAATGACTATAAAATCTCACCTGTACTCGGAGGATTGTCAGTGGACCATAATGACTGTAATATCTCACCTCTACTCGGAGGATTGTCAGTGGACTATAATGACTATAAAATCTCACCTGTACTCGGAGGATTGTCAGTGGACTATAATGACTATAAAATCTCACCTCTACTCGGAGGATTGTCAGTGGACTATAATGACTATAAAATCTCACCTGTACTCGGAGGATTGTCAGTGGACCATAATGACTGTAATATCTCACCTCTACTCGGAGGATTGTCAGTGGACTATAATAACTATAAAATCTCACCTGTACTCGGAGGATTGTCAGTGGACTATAATGACTATAAAATCTCACCTCTACTCGGAGGATTGTCAGTGGACCATAATGACTGTAAAATCTCACCTCTACTCGGAGGATTGTCAGTGGACTATAATGACTATAAAATCTCACCTGTACTCGGAGGATTGTCAGTGGACTATAATGACTGTAAAATCTCACCTGCACTCGGAGGATTGTCAGTGGACTATAATGACTATAAAATCTCACCTGTACTCGGAGGATTGTCAGTGGACTATAATGACTGTAAAATCTCACTTGCACTCGGAGGATTGTCAGTGGACTATAATGACTATAAAATCTCACCTGTACTCGGAGGATTCTGAGCTGCATTATTCCCTCATTATCTTCCTCTTTTGTCTTCTCTGTAGAAAGTTGCAGTCTACCAATCAAGTTGATCTTCCCTCGTTTTTGCACCTTGCCGTTTTTGCTGTCAACAAATAAAACACATCAAACAAAATCCAGATTGATGAGAATAATACCATTGAAAAGTACAACTAATACATTAACTTGATTCCAAGAAAGTTGCTGAAAATCTTTTTTCAGAACTTTGTGCAAATAAAAGTTTAAAAACGAAAACAAATTAGAAATGTAAATCGAAATCTTTGTGTAAAATCACAACCAATTAAGAAATTACCATTTTTGACTGGACCTCTTTCCCTCAAAAACAATGGACTTTGTCAACAGTATAATATGAATTACTTTGGTTACACCCCTTGGTTAGGCTATGGATTGTATTTACATACATAAGAGAGAATTCCTGGTTTATCCAGAACTGTGTACTGTCATCAAAGTCTTTGGCAGATTTAGCTTCTGGTGAACACATCAGGAGCTGTCTCTTGATCTTTGGGAAGGCAGCCAGTGACTACAACACAAAATCATGTCAATCTTTCCAGTTGGGATATAAAATGTTTCAAACCCATTTGTTGTTAATATTGATAAAAAAAACCCAAAATCATAAAATAGAAGGTGAAAGGAGCACATAACAAGGAGATCTTACTGATATCAATGAAATATAGATATGTCAAGAGTGATGAGGCTTTGTAAACAAAACCTCCTCCTCAACTCATTATCAGGGATTTTCTTTACTACTCATCACTAATACTTTCTCTTGAGTTCATTATATGGGAGTTTTCTGTTCTCACCCATAAGGTTCTCCTGAGTTCAGTGTCTGGGAGCTCTGTGGCAAGTCGCAAGCTTTCATATGTTACTTTGTCTCTTGGTCTCTGGTTCCACACAAATAACACAGCCATTTGAAAAGTTGTGACTTCTATATCAAACCGTCCTATATCATTGGCAAATGTTATCTGTAACAGATCAAACCGTTCTATATCATTGGCAAATGTTATCTGTAACAGATCAAACTGTTCTATACCACTGGCAAATGTTATCTGTAACAATCCATATTGTCCTAAATCATTTGCAAATTTTACAGTATATAGACATATTCAGCTGTATAGATACTGTGCTAATGCATAATGGTGCTAACTGCTGTTTCTGTAAGTAGTCAATATATCAATTATTGTGAATGCGAGAACTCATTATTGTGTTAACTTGTTCAGTATTAATCATTGCATTGAAATTTAATTGCACCAAGATAAATACATTTACAGTATCTGTAACAGATATTATCATCCGTGGCAAACAATTACCCTACAACTAAGTTAAGGATCTACTCACGATGCCGTTAGACATAAGATGATGCCACTGGAGTTTCCGACCACTGTGTTTCTGTCTGTAGAACTCCTCCACCTGAGGTATGTAATCCTCCAGTTCCATTGGAAGTGACACTGTTACTCGGTCACTCGTCCGTGCCCATGCTCCAGCATTCAGAATCTTGATGTTTATAGAGTCTAGACAGGGTTGAAGAAACATATGCTTATTCCATTAAAATGTCATCTGACAAAACATACTTTAGAAAATGGTTTCTCATTTTCTTTAACATTTCTGCTGATTAGTTTGAATAAAATGGATTACATATTACACAAAGGAATGTTTGATAATAATATATGTTATAAATGAACAAGAAATCCTAGAGCAATCTTGGTGCTAACCATTAACTGATCTTTATTTTTTCAAAGTAGGATTTTTCCCTTCTTTTCTCTATTTTCCTTTAATCATATGCAATTGGAAATTCATATGAAGAAAGAGATGATAATCTTTAACTGTCATATCTAAGATGGTGGCCAGTCACTTTTTTATCATTCTGATCAGTTGCAGAATCAAAAGGGCATAACTAGGGATCAAGGGAAACATTCATATGAAATTTGAAAACAATCCATCTAGTATTTCTCTAGTTGATGCTCCACAGACCGTGAATATAGCAATTTAAACAACCCACCATCTGATGAAACTGTAAGTGGTAAGTAAGACTGAAGCAAGAAAGTGTAAGTGGTATGTAAGACTGAAGTAAGAAACTGTAAGTGGTATGTTGAAGTAAGAAAGTGTAAGTTGTATGTAAGACTGAAGTAAGAAACTGTAAGTTGTATGTTGAAGTAAGAAAGTGTAAGTGGTATGTAAGACTGAAGTAAGAAACTGTAAGTGGTATGTAAGACTGAAGTAAGAAACTGTAAGTGGTATGTAAGACTGAAGTAAGAAAGTGTAAGTGGTATGTAAGACTGAAGTAAGAAAGTGTAAGTGGTATGTAAGACAGAAGTAAGAAACTGTAATTGGTATGTAAGACAGAAGTAAGAAAGTGTAAGTGGTATGTAAGACAGAAGTAAGAACGTGTAAGTTGTATGTAAGACAGAAGTAAGAAAGTGTAAGTTGTATGTAAGAATGAAGTAAGAAACTGTAAGTGGTATGTAAGACTGAAGTAAGAAACTGTAAGTGGTAAGTAAGACTGAAGTAAGAAAGTGTAAGTGGTATGTTGAAGTAAGAAAGTGTAAGTGGTATGTAAGACTGAAGTAAGAAACTGTAAGTTGTATGTAAGACTGTAGTTAGAAACTGTAAGTTGTATGTAAGACTGTAGTTAGAAACTGTAAGTTGTATGTAAGACTGTAGTTAGAAACTGTAAGTGGTATGTAAGACTGTAGTTAGAAACTGTAAGTTGTATGTAAGACTGAAGTAAGAAAGTGTAAGTGGTATGTAAGACTGAAGTAAGAAACTGTAAGTGGTATGTTGAAGTAAGAAAGTGTAAGTTGTATGTAAGACTGAAGTAAGAAAGTGTAAGTGGTATGTAAGACTGAAGTAAGAAAGTGTAAGTTGTAAGTGAAGTAAGAAAGTGTAAGTTGTATGTAAGACTGAAGTAAGAAAGTGTAAGTGGTATGTAAGACTGAAGTAAGAAAGTGTAAGTTGTATGTAAGACTGAAGTAAGAAACTGTAAGTGGTATGTAAGACTGAAGTAAGAAAGTGTAAGTGGTATGTAAGACTGAAGTAAGAAACTGTAAGTGGTATGTAAGACTGAAGTAAGAAAGTGTAAGTGGTATGTTGAAATAAGAAAGTGTAAGTGTTATGTAAGACTGAAGTAAGAAAGTGTAAGTGGTATGTAAGACTGAAGTAAGAAAGTGTAAGTGTTATGTAAGACTGAAGTAAGAAACTGTAAGTTGTATGTAAGACTGAAGTAAGAAACTGTAAGTGGTATGTAAGACTGAAGTAAGAAACTGTAAGTGGTATGTAAGACTGAAGTAAGAAACTGTAAGTGGTATGTTGAAGTAAGAAACTGTAAGTGGTATGTTGAAGTAAGAAAGTATAAGTGGTATGTAAGACTGAAGTAAGAAACTGTAAGTGGTATGTAAGACTGAAGTAAGAAAGTGGTATGTAAGACTGAAGTAAGAAACTGTAAGTGGTATGTAAGACTGAAGTAAGAAAGTGTAAGTGGTATGTAAGACTGATGTAAGAAACTGTAAGTGTTATGTAAGACTGAAGTAAGAAACTGTAAGTTGTATGTAAGACTGAAGTAAGAAAGTGTAAGTGGTATGTAAGACTGAAGTAAGAAACTGTAAGTGGTATGTAAGACTGAAGTAAGACTGAAGTATGTAAGACTGAAGTAAGAAACTGTAAGTGTTATGTAAGACTGAAGTAAGAAAGTGTAAGTGGTATGTAAGACTGAAGTAAGAAAGTGTAAGTGGTATGTAAGACTGAAGTAAGAAAGTGTAAGTGGTATGTAAGACTGAAGTAAGAAACTGTAAGTGGTATGTAAGACTGAAGTAAGAAAGTGTAAGTGGTATGTAAGACTGAAGTAAGAAAGTGTAAGTGGTATGTAAGACTGAAGTAAGAAACTGTAAGTGGTATGTTGAAGTAAGAAAGTGTAAGTTGTATGTAAGACTGAAGTAAGAAAGTGTAAGTGGTATGTAAGACTGAAGTAAGAAAGTGTAAGTGGTATGTTGAAGTAAGAAACTGTAAGTTGTATGTAAGACAGAAGTAAGAAAGTGTAAGTGGTATGTTGAAGTAAGAAACTGTAAGTTGTATGTAAGACTGAAGTAAGAAAGTGTAAGTGGTATGTAAGACTGAAGTAAGAAAGTGTAAGTGGTATGTAAGACTGAAGTAAGAAACTGTAAGTGGTATGTAAGACTGAAGTAAGAAAGTGTAAGTTGTATGTAAGACTGAAGTAAGAAAGTGTAAGTGTTATGTTGAAGTAAGAAACTGTAAGTGGTATGTTGAAGTAAGAAACTGTAAGTGGTATGTTGAAGTAAGAAACTGTAAGTGGTATGTAAGACTGAAGTAAGAAACTGTAAGTGGTATGTAAGACTGAAGTAAGAAACTGTAAGTGGTATGTAAGACTGAAGTAAGAAACTGTAAGTTGTATGTAAGACTGAAGTAAGAAACTGTAAGTGGTATGTAAGACTGAAGTAAGAAAGTGTAAGTGGTATGTAAGACTGAAGTAAGAAAGTGTAAGTGGTATGTTGAAGTAAGAAAGTGTAAGTGTTATGTAAGACTGAAGTAAGAAAGTGTAAGTTGTATGTAAGACTGAAGTAAGAAACTGTAAGTGGTATGTAAGACTGAAGTAAGAAAGTGTAAGTGGTATGTAAGACTGAAGTAAGAAAGTGTAAGTGGTATGTAAGACTGAAGTAAGAAAGTGTAAGTGGTATGTAAGACTGAAGTAAGAAAGTGTAAGTGGTATGTAAGACTGAAGTAAGAAACTGTAAGTGGTATGTTGAAGTAAGAAAGTGTAAGTGGTATGTAAGACTGAAGTAAGAAAGTGTAAGTGGTATGTAAGACTGAAGTAAGAAAGTGTAAGTGGTATGTCAGACTAAATTTACATTCTGTAAGTGGTATGTAAGACTAAAGATAAAATCTGAAACAGACATGTACCTGCTATGCCCTCATTGTTGTTTCGGTGAGCGTCCTTGAACTCTTGGTTGAGATCATCACTGACTTTGATGTCTTGGAACATCCTTGCCAACTTATTGACATAATCAGCAGGCATGCCTACCTCCTGTGAATATTAGATATTAAATGTATTTGTGTGCTGAAGGTTGGAAATCAGTGTCGTACACAGAACCTGAAGAACTATGTCCTGGAATGAATTTGATGAAGAAGTTAAAATACTCACTGGAAATTGCTTTCAATTCATATGTAATTCTTAAAACATGAATGATATCATAACATTTTTAACATGGTGACATCAAAAATAAATCATATATTTGAATTCTTATGAAACTTTAGAACTCATTTGTGTTTCTGTGATAAACCCTAACATGAAAAGTAGAATTCTCAGACCTTAAACATATATTCATTATAGATACCCTTAGCCATTCCACCATGTTCTCTTCCTTCTCATTGTCAGCAGACGTGTCAAGAATGAGTCGTCGTGTAAGGTGTGCCTTGTGATATCTCATGAACACATCTTTGTTCTGAACATACTTAAGTACCAGCAACTGTAAGAGGAAGAGGCAATACAAGTATAAAATGGTGTGGTTTTAGAAATACTCGGAAACATCTAATACATTTGACAAACAAACAAACAAAAATTGTTTTCTAGTACTTTCCTCCTTAGTTTAAGAAACACTGTGAGACTTATTAATATCTTTAATCTTAAATTAATTCATCCCAAAATTATAATTCAAATAACATTTTAACAAGGGAAATGAAGTGTTGTGTACCCACCACATCTTTGAGCTTTTTCTCCACTTCTTCTGAGGTGAGTTTTTTGCTGAGAGGAGTTTTTCTAAGTAACATATCACAGTAGTTTGCAAGGAGTTCAGGACATTTGGACTCTGGCTGAGTCTTGGCACCAATACTGTAAGCAACACAGTTTATTTCATTTTACAATAACCAAGTGCTTTTGCTACAAGTATACACTTCATATTCTATGTACATTTGTATTATGAATATATATATATATTTATATATATATATACTGTATGATGTAGTCAACTGTGTGGAACTATTTCTACCACATTAGGTAGGTGTTATTCAACTCCCAAAGCATCAATGTATCATTTCAACTTGTATAAATATGTATGTTATACGAAATGTGGTGGTATAACAATTTAGAATGTTTGGATTGGCTAACAGGGTGAACTTGTACCGAAAAGGCACTTCATGCACTCATGTAAGGAAAAGATTGGATTTGTAATATAAAAATGTAATTTTATTTGTATCAGGATTTCTATCCTGTTTTTGCTTTGAAGATAACAAATCTATTTATTTCTAGTTATGCTTTGTAATGAATTATGACATTGCCATGTATTTCTAAAATCCAAGAATGCTTCATACCAAATTTGGGCATATCCAAGCATTCCTACAAAAAGATTGAATTTTAAATAATTTGCTCTTTTTCCTCCTATTGGACAGCTTCCATTTAACACCTGGGGGCTGCCACTGTTTACAAGAAGGAATTCACCTTCATCAACTAATGCTTCTGACCAAATTGGGTAAAATCCAATTATTCCTTCAGGAAGAGGATTTTAAAGATCTTGCATAGTTTCCCCTTTTGGGCACTGCACATTAGGCCCCTGGGGCTGAGAAACATAATTTTTACATTAAATTTGACCCCTTTTCCACCAGATGCTTGTGACTAAATTTGTTATAAATTTAATCAGTTGTTCATGAAAAAGTTGATGGATAGATAATTGAAAGTCGACTGACACTGCAGTATGGCATAAGCTCATCCACCTTCAGACCAGGTGAGCTAACAATTACTCATTGTGTAACCTCAATATACATGCTCTACTACTGATTTTATAATTCACTGATACAAACTTCTTTAATGTGGAGAAAGCAAACATATGTTCAGGGATATAATGTTTATTAAATGTATTATGTTTGATTACTTTAAAATATCCCAGGTGAGAATTGTTGACTTACCCTTTGTTTTTCATTGGGATTTCTAGACGGAATACGGATGTGTCATTCACAACATTTTTGTATGCCTGTAATGAAATGCAAAACCAAGCACATTTACATACATGTAGTTTCACAAGCACCTGCTTGATATTAAGTTTTCAAAATTTAAATCTGAAAATACACAGTTATTAAAAAAATTGTATCATATGATTATCATCAAATCTATTCAAAATATTGAAATACTGAAAAACCAGTTTTTTTCATGACTCTCATCACATTTACCATTGCCACCAAACGTACAAAGGAAAACAGCATGTGTTACATTTGCCATATTTACAAAATGTGATACTGACCGGTTGACAAATTAATATGTAATAACAAACGGCACTAAGTTCTATGACAATATGCCAGCTTACCTTATCTCTTGAGGTGAGGAACCTGGGGTCATCACTGAAGGCCTCCCTTACTAGAGCACTAAATCTGTTGAACAGTTCTAGGAGTTGTTCTACATATTTCTCTGAGTCCTTAAGTATAAATTAAGATAAAATTTATCATTATAATTAATTAAACCATGGTAGTTTTATACTTTTTAGTCCTTTATACATAACTAAGGATAAAATTTATCAAAAAAATTAATTAAACCCAGATAGTCTTATACTTCTCTGAATCCTTTATATATAAATAATGATAAAATTTATCATACAGATTAATTAAACCCAGATAGTCTTATACTTCTCTGAGTCCTTTACAGCTACACAATGATACAACTGATCAAAAACCAAGAAACAATGAGGTTTAATATGAGGCTCAAAACAATTTCGCAACATTTTTCAAAGTTTGTCAAGATCTTATTGTTGTCATGGTTTTAATAATCTTGTTACAAACATTGTAACAGAAAAATTTGGACATAAACTCCAAACTCTAGCAAAAGGCTGAAGGATTGACAAAATTCCAGCTATTTTTACAATAGAAAGAAGAACAAGCAGGTAGTTAATATTCTGTGTTACACAGGAGCATTTACTACAAGACAGTTGTCTTTGATGAGATTTAAATCTTTAGTTTAAGATTTGTTTTTTTTTAAGTTTCAAATTCATAGTTACTAATGCAAATATGTGATAGTGAAATAATTGGAGTAAATTAAGCTTCAAACATTTTAAAATTAAAAATGAAATATAGTGCTACATACAGTTGTGATTGTTTCTGCTGCTGCCATCATGTCAGCGAGGCCCTGACTGACAATGTAGGCCTCCAAGGCATGTAACATAGGTGTGATTCCATCAGGCACTCTGTCCATCAGGCTGAACATCAGTCGCAGCTCTAAAGTGTAAAACAACTCTCAATATCCTGTCATACAAACTGGTCTATAATGTATCATAAAAACTCATAAATTAGTCAATGTCATACATTTCTAAGTGTGATTACGACTTTGAGACATCAGAATCTAAGACTTGTCATGGACTCTCTGACATCAAACTCAAGGATTTTTCAAAGAATTAAACATGCTTTCTGGTATCAAAACCATTATACTTTCGTGGTTTTAGATTGCTGTCATAATGAATACAAATACAAGCATATTTCACAAAATTGTAACAACACTATAGATTTGATTTTGTAAATGTTTTAGGTAAGAGTATTTTGTTTTGCATTTTATTTCAACATCCAAGACACAAATTTTAGAACTTTTCAAGAGATTAATATGTATAAAGAATCAAGGACTTTTCAAGGAATTAATATTAAACATGAATTCAAGGACTTTTCGGGAAATCACTACCAAACACAAATTCTATGACTTTTCAATGCATTAATCCCCAATTCAGACACAGACTTATACAGGCAAGGGCTCAAATAAATTCAAGGAATATTGTGAGATTTTTCACAAAGTAACATGAAAACAGAAGAGTATTTTAAGATCAAATACAAGGTGAAATGAAAAATACAATATAGAGTGGACCTTCAATAATCTAGACACCTTCAGTCCCAACCAAAATTGTCTGGAATTTCCTGGCTACCATGTTTAGTCAAGCAGCCAATATAAACACAGTTATCACCCTTAACTACATGATGACAAAGTGGTCGGAATGATCCTGTTGGTTGTTTTCAGAATGTCTACATACATGTCTGTGGATACAAGTATTTACAATTGTTTTTCATCGCCTAAATAAGTTTGATATGACATCAGTCGATATGACTACAGAGAGGCTAGCGGTATGCTTTATACCTTTGACACGGGTGACTGCACACAACAATTTTTTTATGTTGTATGTGTTAATAAAAAATGTCTAGAAATGCAGGAATGCGACTATGAAAAGTCTATTCCATTCATTAATTAATATCCACAAATGGACTAGTGAGTACAATCAGTTACAGAAATCCATTCCCAAAATTAATATCCACAAATGGACTAGTGAATACAATCAGTTACAGAAATCCATTCCCAAAATTAATATCCACAAATGGACTAGTGAGTACAATCATTTAACTAGTGAGTACAATCATTTACAGAAATCCATTCCCAAAATTAATATCCACAAATGGACTAGTGAGTACAATCAGTTACAGAAATCCATTCCCAAACATTTCCATTCAGATTGTGATATTTGCAGACTATCAGTGTCTAGATTATCACAGGTCCACTGTATATACTACAGCTCTCTTTGTAAACTTGATTGTCTGCACAAGTTGTATTTTCTTTATGAAACATTAAAATGTAGATGTTTATCATACCAATATACATGTTGAAGATATCCAATTTATGTACAATATCTCCATCTATTCTCATGAACACTTACTCTCAGTCTCATTGTTCTTTATCATTGAAGCACATTCTTTGAGAATTGTCTCCTTAAAAGCTGTGACCAGGACATTCACACAACATTCTGTCAACTGTAAACATAAAATGAAATGGATATAGAAATTTCTGTCTGACTGGAAGGAATTAATGCATACTTTTGTGTGGATTATATTTAAACTTTCATCTTTTTTTCATGTCAGAAAACTGTATTGTATAAATTTTGAAAAAAAGGCAACCGTTGCTTTGATATATATTTTTAATTTATCAGGGATTGAATATCTTTTAAACAAAGCATGGTTTTTTGCAAGTTCTTTTAAGAAAGGGACCCTGAACTAAAATTGGGAAAATATCATTGCCATTTTTCACAAACTAGGAAAACACCAAAGGCATTTCATCAATTTTGAGAAAGTCCTATGTATCTGTGTTTTTTCTAGAAAATTGGGAAAATATGAATGTAACAAGAAAAGGGACTGTTTTAATGTTTTTATTTGTTCACTGCATTAGGACCAGTTAACAAAGAAATCCAATAAAAGGAAAGAGTACTGTATATAAAACTAGAATATCTGTACAAAAAGAATTAAGGAAAAAATAAACATGAAGACCTACAAGCAAATTATTTAACTTTAGAAAATAATTTCAATAGTTAAAACAATTATTTTTCAATGCTTGTAAACAATCAGTCTTATTTCTCAAATTATTATTTTGTAAATTCGGAATCCATCCCAATTATCTTAAGATATATGGTAAAATATTCCACAGAAGAGTAAAACAGAAACATAACAAAAAAGTGGCGTATTTTATGTTGATTGTTTTAGAGACTATAGTTATATTGTAGAAGATTCTTTAATCCTCCATGGAAAACATATTGTAAATACTAATAAGGTTTAGACTGGAAACACAATGTTTTAACCAGTACTCCCCTCTCCATGAGAAATAAAGTTTTAAGTTGGGAACCTTGTATTGGATTTTATAAATGCCTAGTGAAACTCCTGCAGAAAGCCACTTCTACTGACACGTTCGGTATCTTTTGATTCTATACAATTAATAGATTTAATTTAATATCAGAATTGTTTAAATGATATTTTCTTTTTTCATTCTGAATGATTATAAATACTCGTGAAATTGTGCTGAAGTAAATTTCTGGAAAATACTGCAGAGTTATTTCCCTTGTAGAGTTAATTCCTCAGAGGAGATACATTTCTAATTTAGATATGTTTGAACACGATAAATTACCATCACTTTTTTCTTTATTTGAGCTTCAAATGTTATCTGATTTTGATATACATTTTGAGAAACTTTGGTAAGTATGAATTTGCTAATCATAAAATTTATGTCTTTAGTATACATTACACTCTTAGTGAAAACATTTAAAAAAAAAAATACAAGCTGATGATACATACTGTAGAGACTGAACTACATCCCCATCCGGTCTCAAGGTAGCGGCGAGCTCTCGTCTCCTCCTCCTTCAGCTTGGCGTCAGCATACCTCATATAGTTCTGTACACCATTGGCCTCTAGGTATTGGGGTGCTTTCAGTTTGTAGAACTTCTCTGTGGCATCGAGATAGGCTTTCTCAAAGTTCTCTCGATAAATCTTCAGTTTGTCTTCTACATCTGAACTAAGGTTTACTAGTAAAATGAAAGTGAAGATCAAAGTTATAATCAGTCTTATCTTTATCAATTTCACTTTAGGCAAATCTGAACACATAATCTTAAAAATTTCAGAAATGCTTTTAACAGAAAAATCATCTGATGGTTTTTTTTTACTAGAAGACACTGTATGAAAGATTTTACCATATGATTCGCGTACACCTATGACTAGCTGTGAATCGAAAGCCTCCCCATTCCTTTCTGCATGTAGTAATTTCATGGCACTGTCCTGCAGTCTCTGTTTTATATTGGAGAAAATGCTCTGGTTCCAACTGTCCAGCATCAACTAAAATGAAAAAATAGGTTTACTAGCTAAAAGTGAGTTAACAGCTATGGTTTTGGTATTTCATCAATATGTTTTACAAAATGGAAAGTTCTTAAAACATAAAATTGGAGACGGGGGTATTAACTGAAAGATGAGGACTGTAAAATTGGCCACTAGGAAGTACTAGATAGTTCTTTGTTAGTCCTTTTTTTCCATTTCTTTTATCACTACACTTTGATATGAAGTCATCTGACATTCAAAATTTTTAAATGGAGACAAAAACAAGCATCTATATTTTTTAAAAAATCTATCATTAAAATGTGACACTAAGAAAATGGTAAAAATACAGGGTAAAGACAATTATTTCAAAAAATGAAAATGGAACTACATGGCCAATAATATAAAAAAGAAAGATAAAACTAAAGGGCCAAGACCATCACAATAAATAAAGCATAATAAACTACTGAGGCAAGACAAAATTACAGAACCAAGAACAAGTTCAGATACTCATCACATATATTGTGTAGTTTACCTAAAGCAACATCAAGGTAGACAGTAGGACTAAATAATATGACAAGTGTCTGTGATCCCCCGGTTAAATCATTAAACAAACCTACGATAATTATCATATTCCAATAAATACCCATAATAGTTTTTGACTACACTTTCCTTAATTTTTTTATTTCTATTTGGCCATGACTCACAACTTTTCTGACTAGACTCTCCTTGATTCTGTATGTTTCTATGGCTATCATTCCTACCTGTCTGACTAGAATCTCCTTGATTCTGTATGTTTCTATGGCTATCATTCCTACCTGTCTGACTAGACTCTCCTTGATTCTGTATGTTTCTATGGCTATCATTCCTACCTGTCTGACTAGACTCTCCTTGATTCCTACTAGACTCTCCTTGATTCTGTATGTTTCTGACTAGACTCTCCATTCCTACCTGATTCTCCTATGTTTCTATGTCTATCACTCCTACCTGTCTGACTAGACTCTCCTTGATTCTGTATGTTTCTATGGCTATCATTCCTACCTGTCTGACTAGACTCTCCTTGATTCTGTATGTTTCTATGGCTATCATTCCTACCTGTCTGACTGACTAGACTCTCCTAGATTCTATATGTTTCTATGGCTATCACTCCTACCTTTCTGACTAGACTCTCCTTGATTCTGTATGTTTCTATGGCTATCATTCCTACCTGTCTGACTAGACTCTCCTTGATTCTGTATGTTTCTATGGCTATCATTCCTACCTGTCTGACTAGACTCTCCTTGATTCTGTATGTTTCTATGGCTATCATTCCTACCTGTCTGACTAGACTATTCTGACTCTCCTGTCTGACTAGACTCTCCTTGATTCTGTATGTTTCTATGGCTATCATTCCTACCTGTCTGACTAGACTCTCCTTGATTCTGTATGTTTCTATGGCTATCTATGGCTATCATTCCTACCTGTCTGACTAGACTCTCCTTGATTCTGTATGTTTCTATGGCTATCATTCCTACCTGTCTGACTAGACTCTCCTTGATTCTGTATGTTTCTATGGCTATCATTCCTACCTGTCTGACTGACTAGACTCTCCTTGATTCTGTATGTTTCTATGGCTATCATTCCTACCTGTCTGACTAGACTCTCCTTGATTCTGTATGTTTCTATGGCTATCATTCCTACCTGTCTGACTGACTAGACTCTCCTTGATTCTGTATGTTTCTATGGCTATCACTCCTACCTGTCTGACTAGACTCTCCTTGATTCTGTATGTTTCTATGGCTATCACTCCTACCTGTCTGACTAGACTCTCCTTGATTCTGTATGTTTCTATGGCTATCATTCCTACCTGTCTGACTAGACTCTCCTTGATTCTGTATGTTTCTATGGCTATCATTCCTACCTGTCTGACTAGACTCTCCTTGATTCTGTATGTTTCTATGGCTATCTCCTACCTGTCTGACTAGACTCTCCTTGATTATGTTTCTATGGCTATCATTACCTTTCTACCTCCTTGATTCTATGTTTCTACTATCATTCCTACCTGACTCTCTCTTGATTCTGTATGTTTCTATGGCTATCATTCCTACCTGTCTGACTAGACTCTCCTTGATTCTGTATGTTTCTATGGCTATCATTCCTACCTGTCTCCTTGATTCTATATATGTTTCTATGGCTATGGCTATCATTCCTACCTGTCTGACTAGACTCTCCTTGATTCTGTATGTTTCTATGGCTATCATTCCTACCTGTCTGACTAGACTCTCCTTGATTCTGTATGTTTCTATGGCTATCATTCCTACCTGTCTGACTAGACTCTCCTTGATTCTGTATGTTTCTATAGCTATCATTCCTACCTTTCTGACTAGACTCTCCTTGATTCTGTATGTTTCTATGGCTATCATTCCTACCTGTCTGACTGACTAGACTCTCCTTGATGCTGTATGTTTCTATGGCTATCACTCCTACCTGTCTGACTAGACTCTCCTTGATTCTGTATGTTTCTATGGCTATCATTCCTACCTTTCTGACTAGACTCTCCTTGATTCTGTATGTTTCTATGGCTATCATTCCTACCTGTCTGACTAGACTCTCCTTGATTCTGTATGTTTCTATGGCTATCATTCCTACCTGTCTGACTAGACTCTCCTTGATTCTGTATGTTTCTATGGCTATCATTCCTACCTGTCTGACTAGACTCTCCTTGATTCTGTATGTTTCTATGGGTATCATTCCTACCTGTCTGACTAGACTCTCCTTGATTCTGTATGTTTCTATGGCTATCATTCCTACCTCTCCTCTGTATGTTTCTATGATCTCCTACCTGACTCTCCTTGATTCTGTATGTTTCTATGGCTATCATTCCTACCTGTCTACCTCTCCTTGTTCTGACTATGGCTATCATTCCTACCTGACTATCTCTGTATGTTTCTATGGCTATCATTCCTACCTGTCTGACTAGACTCTCCTTGATTCTGTATGTTTCTATGGCTATCATTCCTACCTGTCTGACTAGACTCTCCTTGATTCTGTATGTTTCTATGGCTATCACTCCTACCTTTCTGACTAGACTCTCCTTGATTCTATATGTTTCTATGGCTATCACTCCTACCCGTCTGACTAGAATCTCCTTGATTCTGTATGTTTCTATGACTATCATTCCTACCTTTCTGACTAGACTCTCCTCTCCTTGAGTCTTTTTCTGCATACTGCCGTGTGGTTTACCAGCAAGGGAAGTGACTAACTGCATAAATGGCTTGGGGAGGTAGTCACACTGGGTGAAGAATTTGCCCCACTCAGCAATGTAAGCTTTAAGTAAGGCGGAATCCTCATGATGCTGTAATACCCTCTGTAACAAAGTTTAATCATTTGATCCATTCTACTTGCTTTCCTATATTTTATCATCTGATGAAAGACTGATGGAACTGATACATTGGATGATCTCATATACCACTAAACAGAGCTTCTATTTCTCCCATGTTTTATATATACTGGTACTTAATTTGCAGAAATAAAATGTTTAAATGGAACTTATTTTGAGATGATGTTTAAACAGAACATGAAAATGGAACAAATAGATAGCAAGTTAAAGACTTAAAATGCAATCATGTACAATGGCACAAAACTATATTTTGATCTTAGCGGTAAACTTCCTGAAATTCATGTAACAAATACAAGTATTAGCTCTATGTTTGTCTTTTTCTCTCTAAATAAAGATGATCACATTAATACAATGAAAATAAAATAATACTAACAGACTGTGCATGTCTAATGAAGTCAAGAATGTCCTCTTGTAGAGCGCCATACATCTTGCTTGGGCCTTTGTCATCCCACAGGCACACTGAATGCACAGCACTGCAAAAGCATTTAACTTATATGACAATGGAAACTCATGCTACTTTCAGAAAAGTATTTTAATATGAAAATTTACATTTAGAAGTCTACTACATTCCTAAAATTTGGGAAGTCAAATTGTAATGAAATGAGACCTAATGACATGGAGTGATTTGTTAATGTATGATATATATCTAAAAATTCAGAAGATGAAGTAAGGCACTGAATATCATGCAGACTCATCCACTTTTACACTAGTGAGTCTTTAAGGACACTTCAATATGTATAGTTTCAACTATTTCATACAAAATCATTTCTAGCCTTCATATAACATACAAGTATATGTCTGCCCTGAGTAACACATGTTCAGTGTTTACACAAGACAAGGGTTCACTCTTAAACAATTATATCTGAATATCTCACCTGTGGTTGAAGTTACACCTTGACAGCTTTCCTAATCTTGCTTACCCCATGTCAAAGTGTTCTGTACATACTTGTATTTCAGAACTTAAATTTAATATTTAACAAATTTCTTGGTGTATCTTCTAGAGAAACTTTTATCTTACTCACCAGAAAAGATCCTGCCATTCTATTTTGGTGACAGGCTCCTGACGAAGCAACTTCAAGGCTGTGGGACGCATTAACGGCCATCGTTCTTCAAACTGGGACTGTCCTTGTTGCTGAGAAGTATGAAATACAGTCAAAAATAAAAATACATGAAGCACTTGGTCTATTATTGAAACTATCAGTAATTTAAAATTCATGTCAAAGTTTGTTTGACAATTTTTACTAGATTATAATGCAATGGTATTATGAAGCCTTCACTACAAAGTGGTGACATAGTGTGAGACCACATCCAATATCCGTACTGAATGTATGTAACATAACAAGGTAAAATCAATCTGTTTAGGGAAGTTTTGCCTAGTTTTACACATGATGATTTTCACCACATGAAACTCATTTCTCCTTTGACCTTATAATTATCAAATATATATCTTTAAAGTGATTTAAACATTTCTGAATCTTGCACTATCAAACATTTGTATAAAAGTTCATATCTCCATAATGATAATAATAATAACAATAATAATAGACTTTATTTAAAGCTTATAATTATATTTCAAAATACCGGTAGTGACCTATCTAATGGTGCCACAACTAGTGAATACTGATTAATTACTGATTCAGTCAAAGACTGATACTTTCTCTATGATCAGTACAGCATCTGTAGCCATGACCAATATTTTGTAGCCCTAGGATCAATTTCTAGCAAACGAAATTACAGAAAAGATCAATAATCCAATTTTTCATTACAGTTTGTGAAATACCATTTTTTTGGATATTTTTAGTTCTGCCTACCAGCTACATTTAACACATCTGATTATGCAAATTTGAAGGAACTGTAGGCTAGCAATCCTTCAAAATTCAAAAAGTGTTCTTGAATTTTTTGTCACTGTTGTCCTAACGTTAAGCACATTCTTTAATAAACTCCACATTCTCTTACAGATATACATGTTTTATCATTGCTTACACATATTCCTCTTTATATAGTAAGTTGGTTACTGCCTTACTTTTTCCAGACAAAAATCAAAAGAATAAATAAATACAAAACTTTTGACACTGCAGGTCAACATAGTCATTAACACAGATTTTGTTAATTTCTAACAAAATTGCTGACTTCCTACAATAATGATATTTTGTGATAATTGTTATTTCTATTCCTTCTTTCAAATGAAAACTTCATTAAACAAATACTTTTGTCGCAATCTCTACCTATGTAGATGTCAGAAAATTGTTAATCTGTTCATGAACAGATTTTGACTCTGTTGTAAATATAAATGTTCATAACATATATAAATACACTGAAGAAAAATGTCGCAGAAACTGCTTACATACTTCCTTGAATCTTGAATATTTTAAAAGTGTTTGATAATTATGGTTTTGTATCATCTCTCTGTGCTAATTAAAAAAGGATGTAATTCACAAGGCAGTTCAAGAGACCAGACAAAATTTTTCAACATTCAGATTACCCTGTAAGTCTCTTAGTATCTGTAATGAAAATTAAACAAAGATTAAAGCTCCCTTTCATATTAGGCATTTCTGGAGCAGACTTCATGATTAGTTTCTACAGTGATTTTTTTTCTTTAATAGTCATACCTACATATGAATTTTACCAAGCATACCTTAAACCCATAAATACTATCTAATTCTTTAATATCTTTAAAACAATTTTAGTTGATTTGATATTGCTATGATGAAGGAATTCTTTCGCATTTCAGACATATCACATAAAGTTGATGAAGGAACCATATATTCAGTAAGTTAAATGGTAAAAGATCAATGACCTTGTATTTCTTGTGAATTTGGAAAAGATGCTTGGCTAGCATGTGTCTAACATGAGATAACATTTCACTGTTAAGGTAATTATAACCTAATTCCATCAACATTTTGTTTTAAAAATCAAAGGCGAATGCTATTGCTAAGACCAATAAGTGTTTTTATGACTGATCAAAGAATTAATGCAGAAAAATACAGGATTGCTGTAAAGAAAGCCTAAAGACATTACATATCGTGACAGCACTGTCAATGTGATAAAATGATTTCCCAAAGTGATAACGACACAATTCCACTGAATGTCAAAAATATATGTCAATTTCTCCTTTCATTAATGAGAAGTAATAGTTGATTTTTTTCTTTGTTTACCTACAACTGCCCTGCTATTTTTTTTCTACGAATACAATTCACACTCCAAATCGGACCTTCCTACTACTACAAGCATAGATCGAATATATGTATTACTTAATCGGAACATTCTGGCTGTTAAGACAAGTGCCAGAGTGAACCTCGCCACGAAATCGATGTCTTGTTCTGATCAGTGACAGAACAAACATTTTTACCCAAAACTAAGGACTGTCAACAGCGATCAATTTATTATTCACAAGCGATTTGTTACCATATTAAAATCATCCTGAAACAAAAAAAGGATAGTAGAACGAATGAATTGAGTAAATGAGTATTCAAATGGATTATAAAACCAGAATTCACAATATTATCAACGATATGTGAAGTAGATCCTCACCTTCAACATTGCCATCTTTATATTCCATCGGAACCTCTCTGCGTTCGCCTAACATAACAGAAGGCTGATGATCGGCTTATCGAATGTTGATTTTTGCGAGATTTGGCGAGAGTCATTTCTAAACATGGCGACCACCGAAAGCATGCCCGAACAAACGAAACACGCTGGCATTCCTTTGGCAGAATTTGTGGTGAGAAAAGCGACATGCACTTTAATTTTTTTTCACTGAAAATGACAGTATATTTGATGGAACATGTGAATGTTTTAGCACCATCAGGAAAATAGACGTATCGTTTTGTTTATGGTACGGTATCGATGACGGATGTCCATAAATAATCAGGCACGTGAGGTTCTCACTGTGTCTAATGTGAGAGTACCAAAAATGAAATTCTATACTGAAATACATTTTATTTCACTATATAGCATTTCTTACTTATTACAGTGTATAACTAGTTACTTGAGAATATTTACTATCTTGAATCAAAATTGACAGACATAGGGTTTGTTCATTATAAATGTGGACAAACCGGTTCGTCGGCAATGTAACATTTCGGACTTAAATCAAGATGGACCTGCAAATATTCATACATACCTTCAAAAGTTCAGTGGGTGATACGACGCCTATAAATAGGACGAGTCTAGAAGACGAAAAACATGTAACCAACCAACCAGTCATAGCTTGTCTGAAAGCAAAATCAGATCAGTAGGTCTCCCTTAATATGAAATAGGCACTGCCTAAAAGCGAGCGCAAGTTGGCCAACAAGATGCACAATTTGAACAGCCTGATCCATGTCTTCACTGAAGCGTGTTTTTTAAAAATCTTGTATATTTCGCAATATTTTAACAAACATTGGCACATACAAAACTAAATAATAAACAATGATTACATATAAAGGAGAGTGCTTGAAAACTTGGGCTACAGGTCTTGAATTTCACTAAATTTTGGGGGTTAGTAACCTTATTCAGGGGTATTGGGCAACACTGATCATCAATTTTCCTGGTAAAATATTATTATTGTAATGTATTTCTTACTATTTCTTAATCCATTTTCCCACTGTCAACTTAAATATCCTCAAAAATAAGACAAAGTACATATATAAACCCAACCTCAAATGTCAGTGTTTTTGTTGTAATTGTGTTGAAATTAAGTGAATAAAACACAACTAAGTCATGTTGCCATGCAAATTTTTGTTAATAAAATTGAAGCTGAAGCATGCAAACCTTATTTTGGAATATAGCTGTTCTGAATTAATTTTAATGACTCGTATCTGTCGCAGAATTAAAATAAGACTCCTGCACAAAATAGGATAGTTTAAGAAACAAATAACAATCAACAACTCCCACAGTTAATATTGGTGATATCACATGATACTTCTACAAATAAGAATCAACCACTCATGTCCACAGTTAATACTAGTGATATCACATGATACTTCTACAAATAAGAATCAACCACTCACTTCCACCGTTAATATTAGTGATATCAGATAGTACTTCTACAAATAAGATTTAACCACCCACTTCCACAGTTAATATTAGTGATATCAGATGGTACTTCTACAAATAAGATTTAACCACTCACTTCCACAGTTAATATTAGTGATCTCACATGATACTTCTACAAACAAGATTCAATCACACACTTCCACCGTTAATATTAGTGATATCAGATGGTACTTCTACAAATAAGATTTAACCACCCACTTCCTCAGTTAATATTAGTGATCTCACATGATACTTCTACAAATAAGAATCAACCACTCACTTCCACCGTTAATATTAGTGATATCAGATGGTACTTCTACAAATAAGGTTCAATCACTCACTTCCAACGTTAATATTAGTGATCTCACATGATACTTCTACAAATAAGATTTAACCACCCACTTCCACAGTTAATGTCTGTAAAATCACTTATGCTTCCACATTTCTGTATATGACTACTGTATGTATGTGGATTGATAGATGCCCCAGTGTAGCTTGTTGGTGAAATAAAGATAGATGGGGATTATTAATGTATTACTGTGTTTATTTTTGTGCAGGAAGATGTTGATAGTTATATGCAGAGAGCTAGTAATGAATCAGCTGAAGTAGTTCTCAAAAGGCTAGATGAGCAACACAACAAATACAAATTCATGGAATACAACCTCAACACTAAAAAGGCCAGGTAAACATTGTCAGATTATTTCATATTCTTTCTTATAACATCTCAGTTTAACTACTGTTATATCTTCCTTCAACATTTAAAGTCTATAAACCTGTGTTTAGACTGATAATTATTTTCCTGTATAAAAAGGGATGTGATGTCAAGATAGTAACTTGTTTAAACAATGTTCTTTTTTCAGGTTAAAGTCCCAAATCCCTGACATAAAGACCTCTTTAGATATAGTAAAACATCTACAGTCAAGAAAGGTGAGTGTTATCCTCTGAGTTATTTATTAAAGTTTATTCAGCTAGGTAAGATGATGAATAGTTGGAAACTGACCATTTTATAATAATACACATATTTCAGTACAAGCACTATCTATGAAATGTCTACCAGGTATTTGATATGGTTTCTGTATTGTTGAAATGAAATGATTTTCACCAGTTTGTTTGCTCTGAAGAATGTAATTTTTTGGGGGGTTTTAGTTTTTTTTGTTTTTGTGAGCCTCTTTTTATGGTATTGTATAGCCCAAAATAACTGTGCAGTACAAACATATCACAAGCAAGTATTCAAGATAAAGGGAGATAACACCTATATAATCATATTCTCACAAAGATTGAAAAATGGTGCTTGATTCACTCCCTGAATACAAAGTAGGTTCCATATTCATTAATATTTATGAGTAATATTTACCAGCAACTGACTTTCAATAAAAACACTGTATACTGCTGTTGATTTTCAGGATTCCACTGACCCAGTAGAGACAAGGTTTTTACTATCAGATCAGGTGTATGCTAAAGCAAAGATTCCACCTACAGAGAAAGTGTGTTTATGGTTAGGGGTAAGTACATCATCATTTCACTGCCAAATGTACATGTTTCTCGCTCATTGAAGATAGGTATTTTGACATCTTTTGAAGTCTGTTAATATGTTATTGTGGAGTTAATTAAGAAATGATAATATTTACATGTTGGATCCTAGGGGAAAAATCTGCTCAGTTATTTATCAATTGAATAGCCCTCAATTATGAAAGTATGCTAGGGAAAGTTAGATATAATGGTTTGATAAGAATATGTAATTCAAAATGTAATAGGATTTCTTACATACCTCACAGGGTGATCCTGTGGTTGCTATATCACACAAGGAAGGGAGATATCTATCATGTTACATTACATAACAAAAGCATAGCACTATCATTTTCTGTAGCGTAGTCATGTGGGAAATTGATAAGATCAACAATTTTGACACAAATTTCTTGAGACATTGATGATAGCACAATGAATAGTGATCTCAACAACTCACATTTTCATCAGAAGGTTGGCTGTTTAAATTGCCGTACATCTGTGGTTTTTCTTGAGGAGTTAAGGATTCATCTTTCTCATTTTTATTTAACTGATCAGAAAAAGGCGACCATCTTATGGGTTTTGAATATGAAAATTTGTTATCTCTATTTCTTTAGTACTACAGAATGGATCTTTCTCAAATTTCATAGATAGATTCTCATTGGTCCAACAAGGAGAAGTGCAGTGCACAAGAACTATCACTTATTTTTGCATAATTCAGTAGTAATTGCCCTTTGTTATTTTTTTATAGTTAAATTTTGTCTGGAGCAAGAGGTATTAACATGAAGCTTTCAAGGTAGATAAGTCTCAATGAGAAGGGGGGCAGTGCACAAGAATCATTACTCTTTTATTGCCCTTTGTTATTTTTCATAATTAAATTTTGTCACAATCTAGGAACATCACCCATCTCTGATGGCCCTTGTTTCTATTATGATCAAACATGGGTCTCAACCTGGTGTAAAAGTTTGGCAAACTATGACTTGACAGCTAAACTCTTACACTGGTTGAGATATCCTGTCCTTGGAACAGACCCATGCAAGATTCAATTAACATCAAGCTTAGGTTGAAAGGTTTTCTGAGATGCTTGTTATAATGACTTTAATGGCTTTACACATGTGCTTAATCTATTTTGCTTTTTAAGTCATGAGTGAGTTACCAGGCTCTTTTTCTTTTCAGGCTAATGTAATGCTGGAGTACACAATTGATGATGCCACAAGTTTGTTAGAAAAGAACTTAGATGCAGCTACCAAAAACCTAACACAAGTTGATGATGATTTAAGTTATATTAGAGACCAAACAACAACATTAGAAGTCAGTATCCTTTTTAAATAAGTTTTGCCTGTTAACAGAAACTTGACCAAATGATCTTGCGACCCTTTCGTGAGATTTGGGGGGAAAACACAGCATTTTAATTTGTATGTTCTAATAGCCTAGCTGTAAGGATGGAAGCACCTTTTGTGAGACAAATGGTCTTGTATTATTGTACATTTATGTCATTGTTGCTACCCTGACTCATAAGTTCTTATATAAAGGTTTGGTGGTTTTGTCAAACTTTTAATTGAAATAGGCTAGCTTTACTGCAGTAAAGGAGGAAATTAGGAGCACTGTCATATTTTGTGTTTTACAGTTTTGTGGTTAACAGTCGTTTACTTGGTCCATATTGTATACTCAAAGATAAATCTAGTCAGTCACATGTAAAAGGAGCCAAGCAGATCAGTGTGGCTCGCACATAATTTTAATACACTATATTATTCAGCTAGCTTGTTTCTTTGGCTCAGTCAGTAAAGTCAGATATTATCACACTGAAGGCCTGGGTTTGAATCTTCGTGGGATACTTGCCAGGGATGTGTCTTTCCCTTCCTTTCACACATCAGATTGATTGCATTTACTAAGCTATAACCAATGAGAAAATCATGATTATGTGCATTACTTCATGAAACATGTTCTCAAATAAAGATTAAATGCATTAATTTAAAATTGGAAAGATTTTTCCAAAGTTTGGCTTAAGCAAAACTTCTTTAGAGTAATGCCTCTTTTTCAAGAATATTATAAGGACTATAGGGACTCAACACATAGTGTTGCATGCATACATTATGGAACCATTTTAATTTGAGAGCTCTTTGAGCAATATTACATAAATCATGACAAGATTTCCTGCACAAAATAGATTTCTCTTGTAGAGTTTCCTTAACTGAATTCAAAGACATGGCACGAGTTTACAACTGGGATGTGAAGAGACGCCAGGCAGCCCAGGGATCAAAGTCTTAGTCTATATCCTACTCCATGTCCAAGTTTTCTAACCTTAATGAAAAATCTGACACTTGTTTATGACAAACTTTTCAAATATCAAACTAATTTGAAATTTCCTGCCATTCTTTGCAGTGAAGTTTCCTGACATTGGAAACAGTTTAAGCTTCTTTGCAGTTTTTCTGATATTAAATGCAGGTTTGTTTCTTTATATTGAAATTTCCTGACATTAAAAACAGCTTTAGTTTCTTACAGCTAAGGTCTGCAATGTACTTTTGTGATGAATATTATGATTGATAAGGTGAGGACATTGCCTGTTTAGACAAGAGAAGGTATAAGTGATTTGTATCGCAAACAAGTAATCCTCTGCTGCGCACAATGTAATGATGATGGTTTTTATCTTATTTTAAGCAAAATTTTACTAAAGAAAATATAGAAAATGAAAAACATCTGATATTATTGAAGATATACCAAAATCTGGACATTAAGACTTTAAAGTTCGAACATGGTGAAAACACAGCAGCATGTGATGGTTACAGTGACCTAATTGAACATATTTGTGAACAAAATACTAGTATGTCTTTTTATATTTCATAAACTTGGAAATAAATCCTCTGTATGATATACTCTTATTTCTTGTGATGTTCAATCAATTAAATATATGTACAGCAAAATCATCACTTATTATTTTGCATAATTAATCACAAATGTAAATAAAGCATGATGTCGTGGCCAAAGAGTACTTGTTTTGGAGTGAAGTTGTGAAAATGAGTTTTTTATATCAGAATTTGTGGTGGCTTCAGGATCTTGGGAAATGGCCTAAAAACATTGTCATCGACTATTTGATAAGAAAAATGCTGAACCAAAAGAGAACAATTAAAAAAATAGGAGGAACTTAGAATGGTTAGGCATTTCAATTGAGGGGAGTGTCCTGTTAGCTTGTACACTAAAAACCACACTGCCCCATAAGCTTGTGCAAGTGATCCTATTGATGAAAATCCTGATTCCAAAGGGTCATAATTACTTTACAGTAAGCCAATGCCTGGTAATGAGCCCATCCTTACGTCTTGCAGCTCAGTTAAAATGCTAAATATCCTGCCATAAGCCCAATGCCTTCACTTAATCCAAATTTTGTTTGGTGACCCCTGTGCTTATCACAGATTACTGTATTTATCCTCAAACAAGATCCCTCCCCAGTGTAAATAATTAGTTAGAGTTTGGAAATCTTACTTGTAAACTACTTTCAGCATACTGTTTTCAAATTGATTGTTCTACAAAAGTGGAGAAGGGGCTTATCTCTTGGCACAGAATTATTTGTGGAAAAATATTGTTTTTACAGTAGAATAATTATTGTTGTGACTTGTATATTTTCAATTTTTGGGTGATCGGGTGCTGCAGTGGTAACCCACTCGCCTTTCTCCTAGCCGACCGGGGTTCGATTCCCGGAACGGACATAAAAAGGTAAGGGTTCACCTGCCTGACCACATGGGTTTTCCCCGGGTTTCCCCGGTTTCCTCCTACAATAAGACCCCTCATATGCTTACATCCGGGCCAACAAGAGTGATTATTATAAGCTGACATAACTTGTTTCACAATTGTGAAATAAATAAAGTTTATATTATATATACATTTTCAATAACTTAGTTGTGGAAACATTTTGCATCCCATTTCTGTGATTGTGATAAATGACACAAATTTCTAGTTAAATTAATTTTCATAACAACTATTTGATAAAATATTTAGGATTCAGAATTTCTGTTAGGATAAAAAAAAATCATAAGGAGAAATCAGTAAAAAGACATTTCAATAAAAAGTGGTATTGATCAATGTAAAATGCATAACCAAATATTGTGGACTAATAAGGCCTCAATATTCAACTGTTTAATGGAAATAGATATTTTATGCTTGTGAACAATGATGATCAGGAAAACATTCTCTTTGTGTGACGAAAGCCGCATAATATCCTGTAAACATTGCCTACAGTACAGGATTTCCTGTGAACATACATTGATCCATTGATGCTATACACCCTCTTTGTACAATTGACAGTTGGTCAGAGGGCAGGGTACACATCTTTCTGGAGCAGATTGATTTCATACTAGCATTTAATGGTTGATCCTGTTGTAGATTATATGACGTCAGAACACTGACATTTGTCAGTGAGATAATACCCGGCAGTAGGAGTCACCGAGATGGAAAACCTGTCATTTAGTCAAGCAATTCAGAGTATACAGTTGACTCTAGTGGAGTACTGCAGCTTTTTGTTAACTTCAACACCTCTGTCGATTACAATCCAAGTTAATTAAAATATAACAGAATAAATGATCAGGAAGCCCATACCAAAAATAGATACAAAAAATATACATCTCTTTAGGTGCTAAAGATTTACAACTTGTAATGCTATATTAGCACCATTTCTGACCAAGATTCCGGTCTAGTACTAAAATATTCGTGAAAAGGTATAGCAAATCAAATAAAACAAGTCACTCGATTAAAAAACTTACAAAAAGTTAAAACTTTGTTTAGATACAAATAGTTACAATATCAGAAGTTAAAAAAAAACTAAATAAATACATATATTATGTAAACATACGAAAAAAGTTCAAAGTTAAAAAAAGTAAAACTTTTCTGCTGATTCTTAAAATCAGTAATAATACATAAAATGAAAGTATACTGTACTGAGTGAAAAGTTACAGAAAGGTACAGGTAAGCTGGACGATCTCCCCCATCTGTAGTGATATTCCAATATACTCGTATTTCATTTATTATGAAATATCTTAAGTTGACCTTATTGACATTATATTCATATATCTTATCTAAGTTGTTGAAGAAGAGAAACAGAACAAAGCAGAATAATCATCTCTTTTATCATGATATTAACTTGTTTTAATGATAGATAGTACTAGTTTTAACACAATACATTTTGAATGCCTTTGCATTCATATCTAATTCTTTCTGTCCGAAGCATATAATGCTTTGAGATGAATTTTGATATTTTCAGCTAGAATTTTAGCAATAGTATGATGAAGCAAATAAAATATTTGAATATCATTGAACTACAATGTCAAATGTTATCATCAGCAAACTTCCTTACAACAATTTTGGCTCAACGCAGCGAAACACATGATCAGTTGTATTAAGTAATTATCATACCGGTATACATAAACTTCTAATAATGATTAGTTGATGATGTCCACATTTCTTGAGGTTTAGATTATTCCGCTCATGTTGTTTTCATGAAAATAAAAACATACTGAGATAATCTCTCAAACAACAGGAGATCCCTGAGAAATCTTGATGCCCACAATATTTACAATCTTTATTTAGTCTCTTAAAAAGATTGATATTTTCTCAGCTTTGCACTTTAAGATGTGAAATTTGAAAATTCCTCATAAGAAATGGTAATCTCAGTTTTAATAGCTACATCAATTATGGTTGCCTGTGCACCTATAAGAACAACAACAAGGCACAAAGTAGAAATTGTGTGATAGCTAGCAAGAAGGTTTACTCCCCAAGAAACAGTGATAACAATCTTTCATAGTCAAAATCCAACATGTTCTGATCTGTCCCAAACTCAAAGGACCAAAGCAACCAATCTCACAAAAAATGAAAAAAATGTCAGGTGCTTCTCAAGAAATATCAATTTCATTGCCAAATCCAAGATGGTCACCTGTCAACCATCTTTTTTTCTATCGGTCTCGAAATCAAAAAGGGCACACCTAATGACCTTGGGAAACCTTAATAGGAATATTTTAAAAAGATCTGTGTAGGTTTACTCACCATGCAATAATTTTTCATAGTACACAAGATGACCACCTGTTGGACGTTTTCGTTTTTCTGATAATTCCCAAATTCTACAGGTAATGTACACAACTGACGAACAGATAAAAAAATGAATGAAATGTAATGTTATTTTTACAGCACTGAGAAATAACAATACATTCTTATCGTCAAACCCCAATATAAAATGGCCATCTTCAACCAATATTTTGTCAGTCCCAAATTGAAAAGGGCGTAACGAGGGACTAAAGTGAACATGTATGAAGTCTCGGAAGGATCCAACCAGGGACCGAAGGAAACATGCATGAAGTCTGGGAAGGATCCAACCAGGGACCGAAGGGAACATGCATAAAGTCTGGGAAGGATCCAACCAGGGACCGAAGGAAACATGCATGAAGTCTGGGAAGGATCCAACCAGGGACCGATGGAAACATGCATGAAGTCTGGGAAGGATCCAACCAGGGATCGAAGGGAACATGCATGAAGTCTGGGAAGGATCCATCAACAGTATCTATCCTGGAATAACGATAAAAATGGTACTGTCAAAAACCGTGTTGTTTTTCAGTAAGTCGTAAAATAGACCATGCACAAGACGAAACTACATCTGAAATTTGAAAATTATCCATCGAACACTTCTCCAGAAATAGCTATAACGATGTACATACTACTATCAAATTCCGAGATGACTGCCTGTAAGCCATAGTACTTTTCAGACCGATTCAATAATTACACAATGTGCATTTAAGGACTAATAGGAAAAATTGTAGTCAACTATTGTTACGTTGTTTCTAGAGAAGTACATGATGGATCATTTTCATAATTCATGTGTAAGTACCACTTGGTCCATGGTTTTGCATTGTCCCTTTTTTCCCATTGATTATCGACACAACATGCCTGACTTCACAATAATAACTTGAAGGGTTATCTCATTGTTGTGTAACCTTTCTAACCAGTGGCGTAGCAAAACATTTTTAGGAGTGTTTGCTTTCAAGAGAGGATCCAAGGGCGAAGCCCCGGTTAAGGGGGTCTAGGGGTGCAGTAAGGTTAAAAAAAGTAGGGCAAATATATCTCAATGGAATTCGAGTGTATGTTTAAGCATACAAGCATACATTATTGCTACGCCTCTGCTAACCCCCATTTACATCCAATTTTAAGACAATCTTTCTTCCAAGGTTCAGAAGAGTAATAATGCTGATAAAGAATGACACGTCTGTAGATTTATGCTGTCTTAGTAAAATTGTTTTAAAATGTTTACTTTTGGCACAATTGCTTACAAAGTTATAGAGTATTCGGTATTTCCCTAAATTTTCATGTGCTATTTATAGATATTTGTCACCCCCCCTTATCATGTGACGTGTACATGTAGTTGATGTGCTCAACGGATCATACTTATAATAAGTATGAGGTGTCACGGCAAATAACCTCTTTGTTTGGAATGAACCATCTCATCAGATGGTTATGTAACAATAGGGAGAATCGCGATGACGTCACGAAATCCACCGAATCTACATGTTTAGTATACACTGTACTGTAGTTACAGGGAAAATGGTTTTACGTACCACGCTTATGCCTACCAATGGCAAAATCGGTAAATAAGATATGTATTAATGTTTTTTTACTATTGAATTTCAAACATCTTTCAATGATTACGTGTCATTAATTAATAGTACGCAATGTCCCTATCAGTACCCCTTGCTCTGGGGAAACCCCAAAGCTACGTATGTAGTCACTTCCATTTTACATATCCGTTACATTGTATTACCGTGGCAAGGCGAAAGATGACGTCTGCGGAAGTGGAATATTACTCGTAATGATGGACACATCGAGATCATGAAGTCTGATTTTTATTGGCACAGAGCGAGAAAAGTGTCGGTATGTGGCTGCTTTTGTTGTATACTTAAAAGATATGATTGAGTTTATAGCTCCAAACTTTACATAATCCTTCCGTGGCAAAGTTGAATCCAAACTGTAAATTATATGATCCCTGTCCCTCAGGTGAATTTCATAACCCCAGGATCTCATATTTACCCTTGGGGTCTGGAGGTACCGTTAACTATACTGTAAACTCGTTCATCTTTGTGGATATCCTGTTAATCCGTGAATTTATATTTCGATGAATTGGTGAATAAATGTGAGGAGGGGTTGAGTAGTGCCCTCAATTCTCTCGCTAGGAAATAGTGATGGTAATAAATGCATTGCTTCTCCAGTCCACTGCAGTCCCATTTCAGGATCAAGTATGACATGACCTAAAAAGGGGCTGTGTACAGAAGGGCCTATGGTAATAAAGTGATGCCTCTGTAATAGAAGGGGAGATAATAAGTAATGAGAAATGTAAATCTACATTATGGAACATTTTGACACAGTGAAGTTGGCAGTATTTCCATAAAAAATTTCCCTTACCATGTGAGACAATAAGTATTTCTGTGGAAATTTCCAATCCCAAATAGCTGTTTCCTTGTTATCAAACAACACATTTAATTGTATAATTCCAGACACACAGACTGAAAACAGGCACTCCTTAAGACATACACACAGGGAATATGTGTCACTCAGCTATAGAGTGTGTGTAACTCACAGTCCATGGTAAGAATAAACACCATGTTCTGAGACCGCTAGGATCTGAATATTCCTTGTACGATTTTAAAATAATTTATCAAACACCAGTTAATAAATTAATAGCATGCCAAAATATTTTAAGATAATATTGATAACAGGGAAGTCTTTTACTATTATTGAGAAATTTAGATTTTATGAGTTGTCTTCCTTTAAGTGTTATTTCCTATAGAGGTCCATCACCCTACATGGGGTAAGGTAAATTGGGTTTTCATGCTTAAAAAGGTGTTGAAGATATCTCAAGTATTATCCTCACTTGATGCTTTTTCCCTTTTTTCTTCTTTTTTATTCAAAGTGATGTTTTCTCTTTGAATGTTTTTTTCCCAAGATTCTCACAATACGAGAGATGGATGAAACATTGTGTCTTGTTTTGGGTTAAAATGTATAGAATTTAAGTGGATAGGGGGGTAACCAAGGATTACAACTGAGCAGCATGACATAATCATTTGATGCAACTAGAGATTCTATCTTGTAATGCCAAAGATGTTAACTCTGGATTTTATTTCTAATACAAGTGCATGTATATAATAGTTGTATATTTTCAAAAAAGTAGTTTTAAGAAATAGAATGAAGTTTTATCATCGCTATCTTGCTTTTAGGTGGATCAGCATTTCTAAATACCATTATCTATGTCTTTGACAATGGCTGAAGGTGGTAACTGGATAGAGCCATTGAATTCTGATGGCTTTGTAGGGAGGCAGGATGCTTTGGAATGGCTGAAGGAAAAGTACACGACAACACAAGGGAAAAGAGGTTTGCAGCACCATCAGTACAGAATTTATGGTATATACGGTAAAAAAGGAGTTGGAAAGTCATGCTTGATGCAGAAATTTTTACAACAAATTCAACAGGATGATTCAAGGAATCAAAAAGTACATGTTGTATCTTTCAATTTTGACAAATATAGGAATTTTGAAAGTTTTTTAAACAGTCTTTGTAGTTTTTATGGAGTTGAAAATCATAAATGGAAAAAAGATTTGAACTGTAGAGATGATGAGGAGGAGGAAGACGACTTTATGGACTGTATGACTCAGATTAAGAAAAGGATGAATGATGAGCCTAACAACACATTTATTTTATTCCTTGACAACATGGAACATGCTTGTGGTAAGGCTAATAGTAGTGGGGTCGCACCCGATTCTTCCAAGACTTTTCTGCGGGACAAGATTTATAGGGAGATCATCCACAATCTTCTACCTGAGTGTTACAACTTCCTTGTATTCATCACATCATCACAAACAACAAGGTTTGCAGAGTTTCAACAGTTTGTTTGTAGTAAAGACTTAAAGGAGATGAACGATGATGAAGCAATATGTTTGCTACGAAGCCAAGTTTTAGAGGTTCATGCTAATGGAGAAAGCTTGTCAGCAATTGTAGAATTATGTGATGGTTTGCCACCAACTATCATAAAAGCAGGTATGTTTACATTTAATCTAAGGAGATAAGTATACTTATATAGGGAATTAACTAATAGGTCTGATCCCCTCAAAATAAATTGGCGAGGTGAGAAAGAGATATGGTCATATGTATGAGCCTGAGGATGTATGTAAGTACTTGTTTGTAACCCAGTGATGTCCTTGCTCTACCAACTTCAGTAATTTTCAGATTGTCTTGAATCTTCATACACTTCCTCACATGCATCCTTTCTTGGGTCTCAACTTCATGTGGTCAACATTGGAGTCACTGATACTATAAAAAGATTTTTTACGTCCTCATGCTACCAGCTTCAATTATCTGCTTGTCATAAACTTTATATACTTACTCACAGCTATCATCTCTTGTGTGAGTTCACATCTCATCTTCCTGAGGTCAAAAATGAGGTTACTGTTACCATAAATAGATATGTGATGGCCTCGCTCCTCCAGCTTCATACACTTACTTACTAGGATCATATCTTCTTTGAGATTGCACCTCAACCTTCTGGGGGTGAGATAAAGGTCACATTTTAGTGTTGCTATAAAAAAAAATTATGGGCTCAGCATTAATATTAATCCTTGGTTTACTGACTTAATTAAAACATTTCTGATTGTCCTGAAACTCTACAAAATTAGGCTATATGTATTTTATTTTTTTAGATGTATAATATGAATTTAAGTTTTTTTTTAGTTAGAAACAAATTTTTTATTTCCAGGTGCGATGCTTCGTGAGGGGGATTACAAACTAGAAGAGGTAGTTGAACTTTTAAAAGAATTTGAAAGCAAAAGGAATATACACAATGATGAATTGTGTGCCAAGGACGATCGCTATGGTATGTTTTTGATGGTCCATTAACATTAATTTATAAACATTTATGGCTTGTTGAAATATACAGGTATATCAAAAGGGTTCCCTTGGCAAGGATCTGATCATGTCCTTGTATTGTCTTACGATGAAACTTAGATCAAATCCAATTCTGATCTATTGTAACAGGAAAGAATAATGAAAAATATTCAGCCTGCTGGGGCTGGAATATAGAACCTTTTGCTCTAAAGATGAGCTCTTTACAGTTTTGTTAAGGGAAAATACAAGTTGAGGCCAGAAAGGTGAACTATAATAGTGAAAGCATTATTAATTCTCTGTCTCACTCTGAAGTCAGAACCAGCCGTTTGTCTGTCTTTGTTTACATGTAGATGAGCAGCTTAGGAAATGTATAGACCGCTTGTCCAATGAAAGCAAGAAGAACCTCAGGTATCTAGCGAAGATGATCAGCGAGAAGGAAGGAGGTATCAGCATCACTAAGGCTGCTTCAGAACTAAGTATGTAGGTTTTGTTCCATTGTTCATAAAAATAAAGATCTACCTACACCACCTAGTCATGATGACCTTCATAGAAAGCAAAAGTTTAAAATCGGTTAAGTTTAAAATATCTATGACCATCTCACAGGTGTACAGTATAGCTTGGTGCTGGTCATTTAGATTTTAATTTCTTTGTTAAAATTGAAACAACGTGCATGCTTTATTTGGTTTCATTTTCTGTCAAAATGTGGTTTGGATATCAGAGTACACTTACAGAAAATACACTTCCATATCCAGATAGCTTATAACAAGTGATTACACAAATGGTAATGTTCATAACACAGTTGTGTTGTGGACTTGACAGAAACATGGCTGTGTTTTGGTACTATGTATAGTTGTGTTGTGGGCTTGACAGAAACATGGCTGTGTTTTGATACTGTGTATAGTTGTGTTGTGAGCTTGACAGAAACATGGCTGTGTTTTGATACTGTGTATAGTTGTGTTGTGAGCTTGACAGAAACATGGCTGTGTTTTGATACTGTGTATAGTTGTGAGCTTGACAGAAACATGGCTGTGTTTTGATACTGTGTATAGTTGTGAGCTTGACAGAAACATGGCTGTGTTTTGACTCAGTGTATAGTTGTGAGCTTGACAGAAACATGGCTGTGTTTGATACTGTGTATAGTTGTGAGCTTGACAGAAACATGGCTGTGTTTTGATACTGTGTATAGTTGTGAGCTTGACAGAAACATGGCTGTGTTTGATACTGTGTATAGTTGTGAGCCTGACAGAAACATGGCTGTGTTTTGATGCTGTGTATAGTTATGTTGTGAGCTTGACAGAAACATGGCTGTGTTTTGATACTGTGTATAGTTGTGAGCTTGACAGAAACATGGCTGTGTTTTGATACTGTGTATAGTTGTGAGCTTGACAGAAACATGGCTGTGCTTTGATACTGTGTATAGTTGTGAGCTTGACAGAAACATGGCTGTGTTTTGATACTGTGTATAGTTGTGAGCTTGACAGAAACATGGCTGTGTTTTGATACTGTGTATAGTTGTGAGCTTGACAGAAACATGGCTGTGTTTTGACTCAGTGTATAGTTGTGAGCTTGACAGAAACATGGCTGTGTTTTGACTCAGTGTGTAGTTGTGAGCTTGACAGAAACATGGCTGTGTTTTGACTCAGTGTATAGTTGTGAGCTTGACAGAAACATGGCTGTGTTTTGACTCAGTGTATAGTTGTGAGCTTGACAGAAACATGGCTGTGTTTTGACTCAGTGTATAGTTGTGAGCTTGACAGAAACATGACTGTGATTTGACTCCGTGTATAGCTGTGAGCTTGACAGAAACATGGCTGTGTTTTGATTCTATGTGTAACAGAGATATATTTAACACCATTGATTTAGTGTATGGTCATGTTGTAGAGTTTGACTGAGGTGTTTAAGTGCATAATTAGCATTATAATCTTATTCACTTCATTCAAACGAACACAAAACATTAACATATAAACTCGACACCAATAAAGGGGTGTGGCCTTCCATGGTCCACCTGCTCTTTATCAATGGAAACAATACAAATTGTTATGGCTAGTGTAATAACTTGAGGAAAAGGCACAACTTCTCTTCTTGTGGTCTTTTCGGAATTGGAGTCTGTAACCAGCAATTACAATGAATTTTTTTTGTTTTTTTGTTTTTTGTTTGCTCTAAATATTGAAATATGAAAAATTTTGTGTAATCTTTTGCTATAAACTCACCTTTCCATTTCAACTCTTGACACGAAAATTATATATGAGTACATGAAGTCATGTTCTCTCCACTCTTAATCAATTTACCTGTATTACCTTACATACCAGACACACATGGCACTATTTACAAACATCGGTGACATGTGACTATGATAAATTCATCAGTGTATGGTTATACTGTCAAGCTTTCACTGCTGTGTTTAAGGACACAATTGATACTGGGTATTGTTTTATTGTAGACTTTGACAGAAACACAGCTTTATTTAAGCTAAGATTCCTTCTTCCACTGAGATTTAGAGGGATGGTTGAAGTAGTAAATGAAAAGATCAGCATGAATCCATTTTTTCAGCAGTTTGTCATCGAATATATCAAAGGTAAGTAATAATTTGCTGAATACTTCGTACATATATTGATAGAAGGAAATGGTGTATGTTGAAGACAATGGCCTTGAAGATAAATGTTTTGTGTTACAATGTTCTTTGTTAGGTAATTATGCATTTGCAAGTAAACTTTGTCAAAGTGAAGGAAATATGTTTTTCTTCTAAATCCCACTACGAGGGATTATATAAATTTCAGTAAATCATATGAGTATTTTAATCAATCTGATTGAGCACATCCATTATTATTGAAATTAATAAAACTAAACTAAAAACAAAGAAACGTTAAATAATTGGATATCGTTTTTTTGTGCCAATAAATATTTCAGGTTGTTAACTTACAAATCAACTCTTACCTTTTAACAAGGACTTCTCAACAGATGTATTTAAAATTTTAGACCACCTGGTCTGGGTCAAGTTAGCTCATGTAGTAGCACTTTATCCATTATTCATTTGATTTTGTTTAATCTTTACTACCCATCTGACCTTCTTTCAAGGTCACATGGGTAATATATAAAACCTTCACACAACATCTGATATCTTCTCAATAATGAAAAGACCTAAGGTCACGATATTAGTCCAATAGCATGCGTAGATGAAGCACAACAAGTTTGATAGAATAGATAACCTTGACCTACTTTCAAGGTCACAGGGGTCAAATTTGTTAGAATCTTTTAACAGCTTCTCAATAGCCAAGACACCAATTGTTACACTATGAAGCATGGCTTGCTGGGATGGAGGGAATTCACATTTGTTTAAATGAATGACCTTGATTATAGATTGTCCACTTCCCAAATTCCTGTGGGTCAGTTTTAACATTAGTGACCAATCAATAACCTTAGATTGATATTTGTAATCAATTTAATGCTCTTATAATTGGCTGAGAGTTCTTCGTGATCAAAAGTTACTTGTAGTGCTCTGTTGTATTAGACTTGTATTTGTGAGTGATAATTACTTGTAGTGTTCTCTAATTGGCTGAGACTTGCAATCAATTTTCCTGTAGTATTTGATTGGTTGAGATTTGTTTGTAATCAATGATTACCTGTCGTGATCTGTGATTGGCTGATATTTTTTAACACATTTTAAATCTTACATCAGCCTATAGCTTCCAAAAGCATAGAGACTACTCTGTTATGAGATTATTTAAGAAAACCAATTCACACGGCAGTCACAACATTTACAATATCAAATAGATCATGAAAGTCCTTATTTGGCCATGCCTTGGAGTTTCCTGTCTAGAAACCTGTTGTTTGTTTATGGATATCCAGGCATTTTTCCCATTAGGCAATGTTACAAAATAATGTTTGCGTAGTCCAATCATTTCCAAACACTGTTGTTACTTGATTTCAATTGTAGCAATAGTGCAGCTGAAAAATGCTGTTATTTACAGGAGAAAAAAACGCCAGGGTTGGATTAGAAAGAGCCTCTGAACATTCCTCACGACATGGACAAGAAAAAGCTTCTAGATATTCACCTCCACGTGGTGCACAGATAGGACCAAATATTACTAGTTCAGGTTAGTCATAAACGTACTTGTCTATTTAAATGTGAGCATAAGTTTTATACACATAGTAATTTTTAGGTCGCCTGAGCAGAAGGCTCACAGTGACCTAATGCCATCATGATTTGTCTGTCGTTGTGCATCGTTAACTTTTCACATATTCGACTTCTTTTCAAGAACCACTGAATGGATTTTGACCAAACTTGGCACAAAGCATCCCCACTAGGGGGCACTCAAAAGTGTCAAAAATTCAGCTTTGACCGATTTCAACAAAATTTGGTAGAAAGCATCCCTTAGTGAAGGACATATGAAATTATGTTGAAAAAAGTAATTATGTCCCCTTTGGGGCCCATAAGGGGTGTAAAAGGGGCCATATGTAAAAACCTTCTTTAAATGACTTCTTCTCAAGAACCTGTGGATGGATTTTGACCAAACTTGGCACAAAGCGTCCCAATGGGAAGCGGCTTCAAGTTTGCGAAGAAAAAGGGTGTGGCAATAGGGGCCACAGGATGGGGGAAAAGGGGGTAAAATTAGGTAAAACTTTAAAAATCTTCTTCTCATGAACCAACAGTCAGATTAAATTCATATTTAATATCTAGGGTCCTTATGTCAAGATCTACAAAGTTTGCAAATGAAAAAAAATCGGGTCAAAAACGGCCCCACTAGGGGGCACTCAAAAGGGTAAAAAATTCAACTTTGACCAATTTCAACCAAATTTGGTAGACAGCATCACTTAGTGAAGGGCAAATGAAATTAAGTTGAAAAAAGTGATAATGTCCCCTTTGGGGCCCATAAGGGGTGTAAAAGGGGCCATATGTAAAAACCTTCTTTAAATGACTTCTTCTCAAGAACCAGTGGATGGATTTTCTTCGCAAGAACCACTGAGTTGATCATGTCCAAACTGATACAGATGTTCAACACAATGTCCTGCATAAGTGTTGTTACTTTTTGGTTCGATTCAAAATCCAAGATGGCCACCATGGCCTCTGTTTGGCTAGGACATTTTGGACTTCCTCTCAAGAACCGCTGGGTGGATCTTGTTAAAACTTGGTACAGATGTTTTACACTTGGTCCTGCACAAGTGTTGTTACATTTTTGCAACATTTTAAAAAACCCAGATTATTGACACATATTCCTCAGGTGACTGTTAAGGCCCCTTGGGCCTCTTGTTAATATTAGAGACATAAGGTTTATAGACATAGTAATTTTTAATATTACAGATGTAAGGTTTACATACATAGTAATTTTTAATAATTATAGATGTAAGGATTTAATACAGTATAATTTGTAATTTTTTAATATCATATATTAAAGATTTATATAACACCAAACAGATTCTGTATGAATTTAGAGGTTTTTGCTTTTTCAGTGTCTTATTTATACTGAATACAATACCTATATATAATGAGTACTGTGAATTGATATTCTGAGTAAAATTATGATTTCAGAGGATGATGATGATGATTATGATGCTGGAAGCCCATCTGCAAACCATTTGATTGTTCCAAGTGCTAATTCTCCAGACAAGTCCTGTCGTCTGTTAGAGGAAGTCCATGGTATGGTCACTAATTTTCTTAGTTAAATGAGTTTATATCCTGCTTGAATAGTTGCTGAGAAATATCAGAGAGAAATCAGTGTTACAGAAATAGCAGTGATAATACAAGGCATACAAAATTTTGTAGTAGGAAACTGCACAATCAGCTGTTTGGTCCTTATAATTTCTTCATTTATATTGTCAGTAGATCCTAGTTTAATCATTTATACTGTCAGTAGGTCCTAGTTTAATCGTTTATACTGTCAGTAGGTCCTAGTTTAATGGTTTATACTGTCAGTAGGTCCTAGTTTAATCGTTTATACTGTCTGTCAGTAGGTCCTAGTTTAATCGTTTATACTGTCAGTAGGTCCTAGTTTAATCGTTTATACTGTCAGTAGGTCCTAGTTTAAATGTTTATACTGTCAGTAGGTCCTAGTTTAATCGTTTATACTGTCAGTAGGTCCTAGTTTAATCGTTTATACTGTCAGTAGGTCCTAGTTTAAATGTTTATACTGTCAGTAGGTCCTAGTTTAAATACTGTCAGTTTAGTTTAATCGTTTATACTGTCAGTAGATCCTAGTTTTATCGTTTATACTGTCAGTAGGTCCTAGTTTAATCGTTTATACTGTCAGTAGGTCCTAGTTTAATCGTTTATACTGTCAGTAGGTCCTAGTTTAATCGTTTATACTGTCAGTAGGTCCTAGTTTAATCGTTTATACTGTCAGTAGGTCCTAGTTTAATCATTTATACTGTCAGTAGGTCCTAGTTTAATCGTTTATACTGTCAGTAGATCCTAGTTTAATCGTTTATACTGTCAGTAGGTCCTAGTTTAATCGTTTATACTGTCAGTAGGTCCTAGTTTAATCGTTTATACTGTCAGTAGGTCCTAGTTTAATCGTTTATACTGTCAGTAGGTCCTAGTTTAATCGTTTATACTGTCAGTAGGTCCTAGTTTGATCTGTCTAGTTTTATCGTTTATACTGTCAGAAGATCCTAGTTTTATCGTTTATACTGTCAGTAGGTCCTAGTTTAATTGTTTATACTGTCAGTAGGTCCTAGTTTTTTAATCGTTGATACTGTCAGTTAGGTCCTAGTTTAATCGTTTATACTGTCAGTAGGTCCTAGTTTAAATGTTTATACTGTCAGTAGGTCCTAGTTTAATCATTTATATTGTCAGTAGGTCCTAGTTTAATCGTTTATACTGTTTATGTTTAGTAGGTCCTAGTTTAATCGTTTATACTGTCAGTAGGTCCTAGTTTAATCGTTTATACTGTCAGTAGGTCCTAGTTTAATTGTTTATACTGTCAGTAGGTCCTAGTTTAATCGTTTATACTGTTTAGTTTACGTTTAAATCGTTTATACTGTCAGTAGTTTAATCGTTTATACTGTCAGTAGGTTTAAATGTTTATACTGTCAGTAGGTCCTAGTTTAATCGTTTATACTGTCAGTAGGTCCTAGTTTAATCGTTTATACTGTCAGTAGGTCCTAGTTTAATCGTTTATACTGTCAGTAGGTCCTAGTTTAATTGTTTATACTGTCAGTAGGTCCTAGTTTAATCGTTTATACTGTCAGTAGGTCCTAGTTTAATCCTGTCAGTAGGTCCTAGTTTAATGTTTATACTGTCAGTAGGTCCTAGTTTAATTGTTTATGTTCAGTAGGTCCTAGTTTAATCATTTATACTGTCAGTAGGTCCTAGTTTAAATGTTTAGTCAGTAGGTCCTATTTAAATGTTTATACTGTCAGTTAATCGTTTATACTGTCAGTAGGTCCTAGTTTAAATGTTTATACTGTCAGTAGGTCCTAGTTTAAATGTTTATACTGTCAGTAGGTCCTAGTTTAATCGTTTATACTGTCAGTAGGTCCTAGTTTAAATGTTTATACTGTCAGTAGGTCCTAGTTTAATCGTTTATACTGTCAGTAGGTCCTAGTTTGATTGTTTATGTTAGTAGGGCCTAGTTTAATCATTTATACTGTCAGTAGGTCCTAGTAAAATCAGTTATTTCATTTTAAACTGTAAACAATTTTCTGTTAAAATCCGGAACCGCATGTATTAGTAGTTATTTCAAATGATGGTATTTATCTGACTGCATTTAACCCTTCCATTAGTTTGAAAACATTGATTTACAGATGATGATGTCTATCCTCACAAAGGTGAAGGTCATAGGACTGTACCAAGTGATATACACCAGGATAGGACTAGTCCCCTATTGGGCAACGAGTCTGAATTCGAAAAACCGGAACCAAATGTAGCCAAGATGGAGGGTCAATATATAGGAAATAGGGAGGATAAACTTCAGTATGACCTTACTCTGACCAACCAGGACTCTGTAGGGACTGTAAACAGACTGACGGAAAACAATGATCTATCATCGCACAAAGTCAGCAATAGAGAGAGTCCAATGAATATACCGAACACAGAACATAATCTGACTAGTGAATTCTGTACAGCAGAGGGTAAAGGTGATGAGGGGTGTAATCTAGATAAAACAAGGCTAACTGGAAATAACAATGTAAAAATGGTAAAAAGTCATGAAAAATGTGGGGAAGAACATTTCTCAGAGAAATCAGATTTTCGAAAGAAACGATCTGATACACTCGAGGAAAATACAGTGACAACATGTAAAAATCAAACACATAAAAGTATAGATTGGTGCATGTCCATTGAAAACAACAGCTTTCAGCCACTCAAAGGTTATACCAGTTCTTCAGAACGTATTCCAGAGAAGAAACTAAATCGAAGTATTGATGAAATTGATGATTCCAGAAAAGAAAAGACAACAGAACTTCCAATTGGCAAGGAAAACTCATCTGATCACATTTTAAGTGCTACTTCTGAAGTTTTACAACAGAGTGCATCTGATGATAGTGATGTGACAGAAGATGTTGATCATAGTGAGACATATGAGAAACAAATATGCGATATTGACAGCAGATCTGGTGATGTAACAGCATTGCCTCCATGTTACCAGTTAGATGAAAAAGATGTTTTATCCTCTCAGTACAACGGCATGCCATACTTTGGTACTACAGATTCTCATAACACAAACTCTGAGGACCCTTCAACAGAACAATCACTCAATTGTTCTTTTTCTAGTGTGGACCTGTTCGCAAGTGGAAGATTGAATAAATCAGATTTTTGTGGTGATGGTGAGGACCAAAGACCAGATGTACAATCCTTTCACAAGTATTCTGTACAAAGTATGACAGAAGGAGCGACAGGTTCAGAGAGACAAACCTTAATGAAGCCACCAAGAACTGTAAACGAATCATTAAATGATACAGCTCTGAACACAAGGCAGCCAACTGGACAGGAAGGGGATACATATCGTCATACACATCAAATGTACTCATCCCAAACAGCAAGAGTACAAGGACTTTCATCAGAGGATGAAGAGGTTGCCACGCCTTCCTGTGATGAACATGTGACCAATCCTTCAATACAAAATGCCATGGCAATTGGTATTGAAGAAAATCTAGCAGGACCTGTAAATGAGCAGAAAGAAAATAGGATTTTGGCTGGTCTTTCCAAATTTTTCACCAACACCATTGAGGTTTTTAAAGGAATTGAGGGCTAATGTATATTTATATTGTTTATGGTACTTGGTAGAGCGACAGGTGGATGACTTACAAGGTACATGTTTGTGAGGAACGCTAGTCATTGGTTCTTCTAAAATCATAACTTCTTTATTGCTAGTCCTGACTTTTGTTGGGTTAGAATGAGGTAAGCAAAATTGTCTTTAGGAAATTGGATGACCAGACTTCTTATATATATTTATCCGTCCTAAATGCTATTCTACAACCTGTTTTCAAAAACTCCTAGACACATTAATATTGAGATTGAACCATTCATCAAGATCAAGTTAGTGGTATGTATTCATCTGTCTGGAGAACAACTAAACTTACAACACAATGGAAGTGATTCAATCTATTTGTCCAGTATTAAACAAAGCAACTTATTTACAAATTTTGCACTGTAGTTCATGACATTGCCTCGTGTCCTGTGACTGTACTGAAAGCGATATATTTTACACATTGGTTGTATGTTTGTGGTTTTATCAATATAATGCTCGCTTGTATGGCTTTCTGATTCCATGTATTAAAGATGTGTCAGCTGAACAACCCACCAAATAAGACTTATATATACCATCAGGCCATTATATAATAATTGTGTGTTGGTTTTTATATATCCTGGTTTAGGAATTCTATATACCATCAGGCCATTATATAATAATTGTGTGTTGGTTTTTATATATCCTGGTTTAGGAATTCTGTATACCATCAGGCCATTGTATAATAATTGTGTGTTGGTTTTTATATATCCTGGTTTAAGAATTCTATATACCATCAGGCCATTGTATAATAATTATGTGTTGGTTTTTATGCATCCTGGTTTAGGAATTCTGTATACCATCAGGCCATTGTATAATAATTGTGTGTTGGTTTTTATATATCCTGGTTTAGGAATTCTATATACCATCAGGCCATTGTGTAATAGTTATGTGTTGGTTTTTATGTATTCTGATAATAACATGTGAAATTATTGTCCACCATGTGCCATAACTGCATGATGAAATGCCATGGATGATGTGTTTTTGATTGGTTCACAAATTAGATAGTACTCACTAATCAGCATAATAGGTTTATGGTTTTTATTAATTATAACTTGCTTTCAATGTCCCACTGAAATTGATTACATTTATTTGTTGATCTAATACATTTTGTAGTTAGGACCACAGACTTAGACACCATTACAGGAAACGACTTACATTACACATTAGAAAAATAACTTCATCTAACTTATAGCTATACATTTTTACCCCACAGCCCAAAAGGGTGTGGGGTATTGCGTTCACACATGGCGTCCGTCTGTCCACCATTGCATACCGCTTATTATCTCAAAAACTACATCACAGGTCATCATCATTTTTGCTGGGCATGTTGGGTCTATGGACCTACACAACCCTATTGTTTTTTGTTGCCGCCCGGTATCCAATATGGCGGTTACGGCCGCCATCTTGAATTTGAAAATTCCGTAGGTCTAAGGCCCAACATCATATCATGAAGATGGAGATTCGCAGTGATGTCGTGACATAATGAGCGGAATGCAAATGCCAACATAAATCTACAGGCTTATTTACGTCCATAGAGCCAAAATGCTCGGTGAAAATGGCGATCTCCGGTGATCTCATTCTTGAGATAAATTTCCACTCACCCCAACCACACATTTCTAACTTTATAATAAGGCTGTGGGGTATTGCCCACGTTTGTGGAGCTATTTTTTTAGTATTGCAGTATAAAAGAGATAGCTGTGAATCTTTGACTTTTAAACTACACAAAGAACAAGTCAATGATCAGTTGGTCTTCTTGTTCTTGACAGTCAGTTTGTGGAGCTATTTTTTTAGTATTGCAGTATAAAAGAGATAGCTGTGAATCTTTGACTTTTAAACTACACAAAGAACAAGTCAATGATCAGTTGGTCTTGTTCTTGACAGTCAGTTTGTGGAGCTATTTTTTTAGTATTGCAGTATAAAAGAGATAGCTGTGAATCTTTGACTTTTAAACTACACAAAGAACAAGTCAATGATCAGTTGGTCTTCTTGTTCTTGACAGTCAGTTTGTGGAGCTATTTTTTTAGTATTGCAGTATAAAAGAGATAGCTGTGAATCTTTGACTTTTAAACTACACAAAGAACAAGTCAATGATCAGTTGGTCTTCTTGTTCTTGACAGTCAGTTTGTGGAGCTATTTTTTTAGTATTGCAGTATAAAAGAGATAGCTGTGAATCTTTGACTTTTAAACTACACAAAGAACAAGTCAATGATCAGTTGGTCTTCTTGTTCTTGACAGTCAGTTTGTGGAGCTATTTTTTTAGTATTGCAGTATAAAAGAGATAGCTGTGAATCTTTGACTTTTAAACTACACAAAGAACAAGTCAATGATCAGTTGGTCTTCTTGTTCTTGACAGTCAGTACATTTTTGTTGCTGTTTCACAGAACAAAGTAGATTATACTATACTCAGATTCCAGCTTGTGCATGTTTCACTACCATCACCTCGTTTCATCTGTTTTTGTATTAACTATTAGAAATCAGTAAATAATTTACAATATTTGGAGCAAATTCAGTTGGAAAAAAAGTATACCATTTGGTTCAGTTGTTGTATACCTTGTTGTCATCTGAGAAGGTGACATTACTTCTACAAACTGACCAAGGTTTACATGGCGGGGGTCGAGATGAAGCAGTGGACGATTACTCTTCAGAACACCAGGTCTTATTCTCCTTGGAATTTATTTCTGGAGTCTCTGTGCAGATCTATCTTTTATTCATATTTTAACATATTTTTATTGAATTTGAGATTGGATTACGATGATATTGACATGTTGACTTTATCTTCTTTTTCACTATGTCCCTTTCTGTTCTGTTTTTCCCATAAATAATAAATGACACATGTCCATGGGTGGATTATATATATATATTTTGAATACAAAATGCATTTTTTCAATACATTCCAAAATAAACTCATTCTATTTATTCTATATAAAGAAGTTGTGTTGTAAAGCTATGAATGTAATAAATCATCACATGACTACATCATGCAACATAGCTTTAATGGCACGTTCAAGTGATCAGCAATAGTGACGTCATGTGATCAGTAATAGTGACATCATGTGATCGGTAATAGTGACATCATGTTATCAGCAATAGTGACGTCATGTGATCAGCAATAGTGATGTCATGTGATTGGTAATGGTGACATCATGTGATCGGTAATGGTGACGTCATGTTATCAGCAATAGAGTTGTCATGTTATCAGCAATAGTGACGTCATGTGATAGGTAATGGTGACATCATGTTATCAGCAATAGTGACGTAATGTGATCAGTAGTAGTGGCGTCATGTGATCAGCAATAGTAATGTCATGCGATCAGCAGTATTGACGTCATGTGATTGGTAATGGTGACATCATGTGATCGGTAATGGTGACATCATGTGATCAGTAATAGTGACGTCATGTGATAGGTAATGGTGACATCAAATCAAAACATTGATAAAAGAGGTTGATTTCAAGCATTAAATTGTCAATGAATTCGTTGTTCATTTGTTCACTGGCTTGCTGTGTGATTGGAAAGTTGTTTTGTTTTTTACATTTCTTAAGATTTAAAACATTTTAAACTGGTTTTTTTCAGTATAACACATTGGATTGTGTTTGATGAGGATTTTCACCATGGCTAGCCATTTTATCAGTAGTTGGTCAAGCATTTTCACGTTTTACTATAACATTGAAAGGTATCTAATGTTCATGATACGTTCAAATTGGTCAACATTAACATTATAGACTAATTAATTTGGGTCTTACTTCTTCTCAATTACAAGTTGAATCCATGGCAGAAAAATATGAGATATATAATCATAAAGACTTGTCACTCAATGTAATAGGCCTGGTAATTTTATAGAATTTCTAAGGAGTATATAAAATCTGTAATTTTTAATGTCAATCTAAGAACAATGACAACTTGGATGCTATATCAAATATACCTCATAATGCTTTAATCTTTAACATGACTGTCAATTCAACGAAATCGAGACTATTATTACCATACTTAAACTGTTCCATTGATTTTTAATTCTTATCTTCATGTACCTTAATATTTGAAGTTTTACTTAAGTTTGGTGAAATATATTGTTATGTAACTTTAACAATCACTTGAACATAAGTTTGTTACTGAAGATTGGAGTCATTGAGTATCAAACGATGCTATATCTGTTGGACATTCAAACTGATAATGTGAATATTGGTGTTGGTTTTTCTGTCTGTGAAGTATTAGCCACATTTTACTGTGAAAGTACGATATCAATGATGCTAAACTCGACTGCAACATCACAATCTAGTGGTACATTTGAAATTAATATGAAGTTCACACAACCAGATCATGGGTTTTTTGTTTGGTATATATACATTCTTATGACAGATATATATAGTTCATGAGTAAATGTATACTGCCCTATTAACAAACTTGTTGTGTCGTAACCAGACCAGCATCCCGAGATGTACATATATCTTTTGACAAACTTGTTGTGTCGTAACCAGACCAGCATCCCGAGATGTACATATCTTTTGACAAACTTGTGTGGTAACCAGACCAGCATCCCGAGATGCACATATCTTTTGACAAACTTTTGTGGTAACCAGACCAGCATCCGGAGATGTATATATCTTTTGACAAACTTTTGTGGTAATCAGACCAGCATCCCGAGATGTACATATCTTTTGACAAACTTGTTGTGTGGTAACCAGACCAGCATCCTGAGATGTACATATCTTTTGACAAACTTGTTGTGGTAACCAGACCAGCATCCCGAGATGTACATATCTTTTGATAAATTTGTGTGGTAACCAGACCAGCATCCCGAGATGTACATATCTTTTGACAAACTTGTTGTGTGGTAATCAGACCAGCATCCCGAGATGTATATATCTTTTGACAAACTTTTGTGGTAATCAGACCAGCATCCCGAGATGTACATATGTTTTGACAAACTTGTTGTGGTAACCAGACCAGCATTCCGAGATGTGTATATCTTTTGACAAACTTTTGTGGTAATCAGACCAGCATCCCGAGATGTACATATCTTTTGACAAACTTTTGTGGTAATCAGACCAGCATCCCGAGATGTACATATGTTTTGACAAACTTGTTGTGGTAACCAGACCAGCATCCCGAGATGTGTATATCTTTTGACAAACTTTTGTGGTAATCAGACCAGCATCCCGAGATGTACATATGTTTTGACAAACTTGTTGTGGTAACCAGACCAGCATTCCGAGATGTGTATATCTTTTGACAAACTTTTGTGGTAATCAGACCAGCATCCCGAGATGTACATATCTTTTGACAAACTTTTGTGGTAATCAGACCAGCATCCCGAGATGTACATATGTTTTGACAAACTTGTTGTGGTAACCAGACCAGCATCCCGAGATGTATATATCTTTTGACAAACTTGTTGTGCGGTAACCAGACCAGCATCCTGTGATGTACATATCTTTTGACAAACTTGTGCGGTAACCAGACCAGCATCCCGAGATGTACATATCTTTTGATAAACTTTTGTGGTTACCAGACCAGCATCCCGAGATGTATATATCTTTTGACAAACTTGTGCGGTAACCAGACCAGCATCCCGAGATGTGTATATCTTTTGACAAACTTTTGTGGTAATCAGACCAGCATCCCGAGATGTACATATCTTTTGACAAACTTGTGCGGTAACCAGACCAGCATCCCGAGATATATATACATATATATAATGACAAACTTTTGTTTTAACCGTATGGTACTAGTTAAAGTAATCCATTTATTTTCGCTGCCTTTGAATATTGTACATGATGAGTGTTTTCGATCGTGTCACAGACATTGTGTTTAACATTACCATCTCAGTGAAATAAATCGACTTCTCTCTTCATCTTACAGGTATAAACATCATGGAAGTTTTCGAAAATAACTTATCATTGATGTTATCAAATATGACACGAAATTGGCGTCAGTTTTTTTATACACTGATATGGTGTTTATAGTAGTGGTGATAGCTCCTGGTGTCTTATCACTTCAGCTTGGCTATCTCGCGATATTTGTTATTCTGTTTATGAGAAAAAGGGTTTCTGAAATCCAGATAACCATATTTCTGTAAATCATGAAAACCCCTCTTATTAGAGACATCGTAATTTTACAGAAATAGAAAATTAATCAGCAAAGATTTGGAAATCGTACACAAATGAGGGTACTCATTACGACTATTATAAAAATCTGATTTTGTAAATGTAAAGTAGTATTTAAGTGATGACGAAGGGCACAGACTCAAACTAATCTACATGTTACATTTTGACGAGGGCAGTTGGTGGGGGGTTGATTCTGGATAATTTAATTCAATATTTTGATACCATGATGATTACTTTTCCATAAGATATAAGATTTAAGAAAGATCATATTGACCATGTAAGACACAGTTCTAGACCACAGTTTTTTCGCGATGGACTTTCTTTTTCGTAATTGTCACACACCAACCTTCCCTGCTTAAGGAATTATCATTAAGCAGTATACTTGATTTTCTGATGTCTATTGCAAGTGCAAGACTTGAAACTTGTACAAGTACTTGGACTTAATGGTAAATTCGGTTGGTCCATACAATATTTCAGTTACAGTTGATGATTTATCGACAATGTGATTTCCTTATATGCTGCTGGGTACTGGAGGTCACGCCTTGCTGACTTTCCGGAATAAGACTAGACTGGTGCCATCACCTGTTTATCCTTCTAGAGCCAACGATTTTCCATTCTGGGCTGGTATTCGTTGTGTCTTTGCTGGTTTGTTCATGTTTATTGCAGGTGTGGCTTTCCTCTATAGTCCCCGTGTCTATCTGGTAGGCTTGTTTTAGACTTTGTTGCCTGCTA